TATGGTGGGTAGCATGATTGGCGCACTGCCAAAGGATTGGTGCCATTCTACTTTTCTGTTGATTGGTGTGTTCACTTCATAGGTTCCTGCTCTGGAAAAAAACATGAACTGGGTTTAATAAAGATGGGTTTTATCTTTTTAATCTTACTGTTTGAAATTGAAAATAATAAAAGTAAAAGTAAAATTCCCTTTAAAACCTGACAGTCACTGTGGCAAGTGAAGTAGAGTTCACCTGTTTCTGTGACCTTGACATATGAAAGGAGAGTGTAGTTAACATTATGCCTAGCTGCCTTTACTTTCTCTAACATGAGTTAGGTACCCATCTGACCTATGTAGACTCAGGGATAGCTAAATCAATGCAGTTAAAATTTAATAATTTACTAAATTGCTCAGGGCTGATGAAATCTGGACATGTTGATTTCAATTTATTTTTATTTAATTAAACTCTGCTGTTAACAGAAAACATGAGTGATTTCGTTATCAATATAGTCTAATGTAATTAAACCAACCAATTTCACATGTTATGAATTAAGAGGTAAGCAGTTTTCTAGCCTTTGTTTTCAGGAAAAAAATCAATACTCAGATTCATGTTGATTATCTTTTCTTGTCTCACACGCACATTTTTTTTTTTAACTCACCCCGGCACTACATCTACTAAATCCCTTTTATAAACAGGAAACCTCTCTGCCCCGACTTTGAAAGGCTTTTTATCCTTTTCAGCAACAATAGGATCAGTTGTGTGCTGCTGGTACTCAGCTGGTGATGGCGTTTTGTCCTAGAGAGGGAAAAAATAATAAAATCAATAACATTATTAGACTTTATTCTGCTAAAAGCTGCTCAAAGGGACATAACTAGCAAATCTATAACATAAGTTTTTTCCCATGAAGCTTTTTTTTTTGTTTCAAATATTAAAAATATATTACTTTTTATTTAGCACTCTGATAAATGAAGCTTTTAAAAATATTGTTTTCCTGTTGGAGTTTTCAGTATCATATTTATTCTTTTTTATCCATCCATTATTTTAAATATTTTCCAACTCCAGCCCAGCCATCACCCACCCTCTCTTTCTTAAGACTTTAGAAGCCAGAACAAAAGCAAGGAATGGTGTTGGCAATCATGATATAAAGTGGCTATCATAAGATGATACTAAGTGGCAATCATAGGATGATACAAAGTGGCAATCATGATACAAAGTGGCTATCATAACATGATACAATGTGGCAATCATATGATGATATAAAGTGGCAATCATATGATGATATAAAATGGCAATCATAAGATGGTACAAAGTGGCAATTATAAGATGATACAAAAGGAAAATCATATGATGATACAAAGTGACAAGCATGTGATGATACAAAGTGGCAATAAGATGATACAACGTGGCAATCATAAGACGATACAAAGTGGCAATAATCAGAACTCCTGGCTTTGGTTGTGATCAAAACAGTTTTGTGTTCAATTAATTAAATTGAGTTGCAACATGACCCAAACCCAAATTATGTGAGTTACGTTGTAAACATGAAACAAAACTAGAAATTTGAATTAGACATGGCCTAAATATGAAACAAAACAAACATGATTGGAATTACCTGAAAAAATACATTAGACCTACCTAAAAATAATAACCCAAATGGGAATTACCTGATAAATTTTGAGCAATCTTGGTCCTGTTCTGGCACCCAGTGTGTATCCCTTTGTACTCACAAGTTTCGTCTTGACTAAATGATACATGTTGGTTTTCTTTAGAGAGGAAGGAAATCAAGTTTGATCTATGTGATACATTTTCTTCAGAGAGGAAGGAAATCAAGTTTGATCTATGTGATACATGTTGGTTTTCTTTAGAGAGGAAGGAAATCAAGTTTGATCTATGTGATACATTTTCTTCAGAGAGGAAGGAAATCAAGTTTGATCTATGTGATACATGTTGGTTTTCTTTAGAGAGGAAGGAAATCAAGTTTGATCTATGTGATACATTTTCTTCAGAGAGGAAGGAAATCAAGTTTGATCTATGTGATACATGTTGGTTTTCTTTAGAGAGGAAGGAAATCAAGTTTGATCTATGTGATACATGTTGGTTTTCTTTAGAGAGGAAGGAAATCAAATTTGATCTATGTGATACATGTTGGTTTTCTTTAGAGAGGAAGGAAATCAAATTTGATCTATGTGATACATGTTGGTTTTCTTTAGAGAGGAAGGAAATCAAGTTTGATCTATGTGATACATTTTCTTCAGAGAGGAAGGAAATCAAGTTTGATCTATGTGATAAATGTTGGTTTTCTTTAGAGAGGAAGGAAATCAAATTTGATCTATGTGATACATGTTGGTTTTCTTTAGAGAGGAAGGAAATCAAATTTGATCTATGTGATACATGTTGGTTTTCTTTAGAGAGGAAGGAAATCAAATTTGATCTATGTGATACATGTTGGTTTTCTTTAGAGAGGAAGGAAATCAAATTTGATCTATGTGATGATGCAGGTTGGGCAATATTAAAAAATAGGTCAAAGAAAGAAGAGTGTTGGTCAATTAGACCATAGGTGACATGGGTCAAGCAAAACAAACAGAATTGCCTGACTAATTAAGAAAAAACTGACTGGCCATGTTTGACAGTCTACTGATAATTGAAATGTGTAGTAAGCAGTTGGACATAGATATTGTTAGAAGATAGTCAATGAGTTGGAGTTTGGAGAATAGATTAGCTAGGTTATAGCTGAGGAGTTAATGGTGGAAGTAATAGGAAGTTAAGGTCCGTCAAAAAATAGGAATAATGTGTAGGACAGCTGATTTAAGATTAGAAATAAGATTGATAGTACATATATTAAATAAACATTGAAATTTGAACTGTATCAGATGTGTTATAGTTATATATATTCCCACTGGAGAAATCTGTACATCATTAGAAGAGTCGATCCATTAACCCTGTACATGCACATTAAGGTGTATATATCAACTTTTCCTCACCAAAATCAAATACACTCTCATTATTTTGTACAGCAGTACAGCTATATCTGGGTTTTTTATTTCTAACATTTACCAGTTTGGCATAGTAGTCAGAATTAGCTTAAGGCTTGCAGGCCTTATCTCATTTTTCAAATAATAGTTTAGTGTTTGCTTTTTTGCTATTACAGATGAAGTACAGTTCACCTGTTTGGCATATAAATAGGATAGTGTTATCAGTTCTATGCCCAATTGTCTTTACTGTCCCTAACACACGGCAGGTACTATTCCAATACAGGAACATCCTGTAGACTCCAGATATTGATCCGAACTCAAGACTTTCAGGTTAGTTATTGTGCACTTTACCACCCAGCTACACCATCCCATAGAAATCAAGTACCATAGAAATAATAATAAGCATTAAGACTTGCATACACCATATTGAACTTAAGAAGGGTTTTTGAAAAAAGCAAGCATTGAAATATTTAGATGAAACTGACAATAAGCCTTGAATGAGTTGAAACCAGGTTTTCGGAAAAGAAAAAGAAAACACATTACAACTTGGCAACACAATTTCTTACTTCTTCGTTTTCATAACAGCCTGGGCCAACATTAGGGTTGCCAATGACAAGTGACATCTCGTTGCCAAATCTGTCCTGGGCCATGCTTGTTGGGAACATCTCCCTGTTCTTGGTTGTCATGAAGGCAACAGTGTTTTTAGCTGTTAAAACACACAAGAGTCAAGTGTTAATCGTACATTTTTTAATTCATTTATATAGTGCCTTGAATTTATTTTAGTTTATGTGTAAACTGTTTGTTTTAAGTAAACCTTCATAAATTGTACAAAAAAAAAGTGGTGCATAAAAACCTTTTTTTATTGAGGTTACTTAATCAACTAATTGGGTAGGGCTTAGGGAGTTTAATTTAGGTGCTGCGGCCCCTGTACCAATGTTCTTATTTGCAACTAAACTGTGAACTGCAACTTTTAAAGCCATTAGTTGTATTTTATCAGGCTCAGTGCTTTTTTTGGGACGGTACGCACCAGTATGACTTACCGGCACCTTTTTCAATGTGGGGGGGGGGGGGGATTATTACCTTTCTTGTATTTTAACATTTATTATTGATTTATGATATTATTAATTTGTTAATTGTAGTTGTGATTTAGCTTGCATCGAGTTGCAAACTGGTAGTTTAAAGTTAGGCAATCCATCACACAGTACCGGTACCTATTTTTTTACAAACAAAAGCATTAATAAGGCAAATACCATAACTGTTTCTCTTCCACATATACATATTACTACAAATTGAAGTTCTGACACTGATTCCTCATATCTTTGCTTAAGAGATAAATAAAAAATACCAGCTTCAAAAACAGAATCTCAAAATAATTTATAGAAGAATTAAGGGATTGCTGAAGATATTGCCATTTAAGTTCTTAGAATCTTGGATATAATCAATAGGCAATTATATTTTTTATTAAGGCCTAATTATTAGGCCTATAATGTATAAGGCTATAATTCATATTATTATATAAAAATAATTAAAATACCAATAGATTTGAATAGATTAGGGCTAATATTTAAATTTTTATTAAATTAATAAAATAAGAAAATGGCCTAAAATTGTCTACAATGTAAAATAATAAATTATTAAAATAGGTCCAAATAATGTAATAATATTATTTATTAATATTTTTTTATTAATTAATTATTTTTAGTAAAAAAGCCTTTTAAAAAGGCCTACAAATATTAATAAATAATTAATAATTAAAATATCCCATTTCTACTTTCTACTTAAAAATAAATAAAGTTTTGTACTCTACCATTGCCTTCCATTTTCAGTTATTGTGTTTTATATTTTATGCTATATGAGTTCTAAGTAATCTTTGAAAAAGTAAATAAAATCATTCTAGGACTGAGAACTAAACATTAATTATTCACTGATGATGGTTTTATCTCTGCTTCCTTAGATACTGAGGTTGTGAAGGAAGTGAAGGTTTTGAAAGTCGTAAATCCGGAAACAACGCTTTAATAATAAAAACAAAAATTAAATAAAACGAAACAAGACGCATCATAGCCGACGTACTGTCCACTCCATACATTCACCAACTTGAGCTTTTTTTTTATAAAACTTGCATGTGTTTTTGTCTGTTGTTTTGCTACAATCATTTACTAGAAGTATGATACATACTGCTGTTATAACATAATCATAAGCAAATTAAATCTAGATCTAGATTCTAAATGTTTACTCAAATTGCAAATATTTTTTTATTCTTTCTTATCGGTCAGAAATTTTTCTACTGACTGGCTGTCGCAGTGTCTGCTGTATTATAAAATAACGAGCCGACCCGCGGCGTATCGTACGCCGCTATTTCGTGGTTTTATTTTCTACTTTTCAGTAATTCATAAATTGTGAATTTGACAGTACCAATGCTGCCACCGAAAATATTTGCTTTAAAACACTACCCCCCCTTTCCCTCAACCCCTACCCTATACCCCCCCCCCCCCCCGTGAAAGCAGCCTCCTCTTAGTTGCCTCCTCTAAGTTTAAAATCGTTTCAAACTAAATTATCTGCCCCTAATAGCCGTCACTAAACCCGGCTATACGAATGTAAACATTTAGAGTGAACACCGCTCACCAGACCATGTGGAGGAGGGGTGGGGGTGGTAGCGATAGAGAGGAAGAGAGGGGACTGCAAGGCGCAGTTTGCAACTTGTTTTCTAACGTCTCCCAGAAGAAAATTATATATATAGATTATGACTACTCAAGCCCTTAGATTCTAGCTGCAGCCAGTGTGACGATCGTCTGTCAGTAAACAAATTGAAGACTGCGAGAAATCTATACTATAGGCCTATGTGTTATGTTTGTGAAGCTTAGATCCATTATTCGTATGGACTATGCATTTTGTATTTTGTAAGCTTTAGCCTTTAAAACTAAATTATTAATTAAAATGTTGAGCTTATGATTAATAATGTAATATGAAACATGCAAATTTTAAATTTAACTTACCTGTCATGTACAGTACAGTAACACAAGAATCTAATTTTTTAGGCTTTGACTAGAATCTAGAATAACATCTAGATCTATATCTAGCTTCTAGAGACTGTTAAAATGCAAATATTTAGGCCTATTTTAATTTTTTCTATTATTATTCTCAGATTTGACAGCAGTACTCTCAAGCAGCTCAATGACAATGGCTTGTTCAATTCTCATCAAGCAAAGTTAATGTGAACATATTTTTTATTGGAACAGTTTGACTATCTACCTCAGTTTTGTTTACAAAAACTATTTTAAATCAACATGTTAGTGCAGTCATCATATTAAAAAATAATGTGTTATTTACATTAATGTGCATGAACTTTTTAATTACTGACAAGTTCAACTTAAATAGAACCCCACACATTCATTATAATGTCCAAGTCTTCAGAAGAAGTGTTGTTGATAGTGAAAAATGTCAAAAATAAAAAAACAGATGGAACTTTGTATATGATGGGGGAAAGGATGGCATGGATGCTTGAATCTAAAAATGTGTTCAATATAAGCTACATGTATGCAGATATTAAAAGTAAGTTTTGAACAATTTAGTTTTTGTAGGCCTATATTTGTTACAAAATGTATTCATTATATATTACATGTATTGTATACAGATAGTAAATGTAGTTTGTGACCACATTAAATTTGTATTGTTTCAGATGCAATTGCTTTTTACAATTTTCTTTTGAATTTGCATTTACATTTAAAATAACAAAGAATAGGGCATAGTACATTAAGGGGATATGCTATGTTTTTTTCTATTTTTTACAGTTTAAGATCTAAAGCCTTTTAAATACTTTTATCATATTTGGCATATAAAAGTAAGCTTTAAACAGCAAAAAAAAAGGTCGAAAACAATTTTGGTTGTCATGGAAACCCAAAAAACCTCCGCCATTTTGAATTTTTCGGTACTTTTAAAAATACTAAGGCTTTTTTATTTATGCGCCTATAGCAATCAAATTTAAACTGCTTATATTTCAGTATATATTAAAACTTTTGTCACGACAACTTTTTGAAATAAATACTGGTAAGAGTTTTACAAGGTCTAAAAAATCGTGCCCTTTTTAGAATTCAAAAGTTTCAAAATGTGCATATTAATTACCAAATACTTTTTTTCTATGAAAGCAATCACAATTCCCTCATGACAAAAGTTGTATTTTTGCACGAAGAACAACTTCTGAAAATATGGTTGGCATTGTTTAATAAATAAAAAAGTAGTAGGCTTTTTAGTGTTAAAAACATGCGAACTGAGAAAAACAGCCAAAAGTAACGAAAACTAGGTCAGGAAAGTACCATATCTGTGTAAACTACAAAGCCGATTGTAAGCTTTGGGTGTTTCCGAGATGTAGGAAATTAAGTTTATTAGATACATGAGAAATCCAGCTTTCCAATGATGTCAAATACAATATAATGACGGATATAAAACTTTTCATAGAGAGCTTGTAAGATTGGGAAAAATTGATTATTTTTTAATTAATAGGGTCATAAAAATCGTAATTCAAACACATAAAATAATTTTTTCTCTTTAAAGTTATTATTTTCTTTATACAAAAATGGACAAAGTATCCAAAAGTGCAAGAAACCCATCATGACGAAAAAGAAGAAATTTTGTGATTTTTTTCCGCACATATCCCCTTAAAATATACTGTACAATGGAATTTTAAAACAATTATTGAGCACTTTTAAGCATTTCATAATAGATTGTTTGATTGAAATCATTTTTAAGAAGTTCTTTTTAATTTTGTTTGAAAAAAATATTAACCAACTAAAAAAACTAGTCACTATTTTATAGCAATTTAAATGATGAAGTTATAAATATATCTGTGACTTATCCTTACATTTCAGCTCAGAAAATCTCACCTGAATATATCTGTGACTTATCCTTACATTTCAGCGCAGAAAATCTCACCTGAAACAAAGGAGAAGGTGCAGCTCCAGGTTATCCTCAATGACGGCAGTGCAAACACATTCCTCTTCAATAACCCCAAGGGACGGCAGGTACAGTTGCAGGACAGGGAGTCTGTGAAGGAGCTGCTACAACAGCTTTTGCCCAGGTTCAAGAGGAAGATCAGCTCAGAGCTGGAGGAGAAGAACAGGTATTGCCCAATGTTGTGTGTTTGTTGTCATTTAATATAATTCATTGTTAGCTGTTCATATAGTCTTGTACTAATTTTCCCTGGTATTTTCATACATACTATATCTTAGGAGTATTCAAGTCTCACACTATTTTGGTGTAATGTTGTGTTTGGCTATCATACTTAGTCATTTTGTAAAAGTAGTCTCTCTAGTTTCAATCAATTTATATCTCATGTGTTTTTATATATGTTAATTCATTTTTAGCAGTCTATATAGACACATACCATTTTTGTCTGATGTTGTTTTCATGTATTCTAATACTTTGCAGTCGATCAGGTTTCAATCAATTATTTTTGACGTTTTCATAATAGCCTACTAATTATTTAAAATCATTATGTCAAGTTTCAATCAATGTGTGCCATATGTTGTGTTTAGGACCTACTAATAGTTTAAATTAATTGGTGTTATCAGTTGTTATGGCGTACAATTGTTTACCACATATTGTTATGTTTCTGGCTGTTCTTGAATCCACCCAGCCCTGATGGATACGTATTTCACATAAAATCAAGGTAGCTGGGTATCCTAAGTGTCCCACCATACTTTTATGTGCAGTCAGTAATGAAAGAGATTATCTCCACTTCATCTATCTTGTGATGTATTGTTGTCATATGTCCTAAAATGCTGAGATAGTGTTTTTGACAGAAATAGTTTTAGGGTCTAGGTAAATTTGTGCTGCTTTGTAAGTCGATGGAAGATGGGGCGTTTGACAGATATTTAAAGTCCAGTTGAATCTGTGCTGCTGTGGTCAATGGAAGATGGTGATTTTGACAGAAGTAGTTTCTTGTTTAATGGTGTGGTTGAACTGTTCTGTCTCAGCTATTTTTTAATACATTAACACCTTTACAGCCTTCAAATAAAACTCTTTATAATGCCATTTCTTTGTCTTGTAGAATCCTTCAGCAAGATCCAGAATCTTATCAGCTATATAAAGACTTAGTTGTAAGTGGAGTTATCTCCCCTGAAGAGTTCTGGGCCTCAAGATCACATGTAAGTTTTAGGCAGCCATTTTGTTTATTTCACATAAGTTTTTTGATAGAAAATTCATATCGAATTCAAAGACCAGATTGGGCTTTATATATATATATATAGATATAGATAGATATATATATAGATAGATATATATATATATAGATATATATATAGATAGATATATACATATATATATATATATAGATAGATAGATATATACATATATATATATAGATAGATATATAGATATATACATATATATAGATATATAGATATATATATATAATCTGGATACTTCTTAAATTCAAATATTTGACTTACCATGACAGGATGAGTGGCATAACACCTCCAGCTGATATTAAGTTGTTCATTCAGTTTTAATGTATTTTTAGCATTGATTCCAATAGAGAAAAATGTTACAGAATTGTACCAATCCTGGAATATAAGGAATAGTACCAAAAATTATAGTATAATGATAGTTTATCTTTTAGATCAATTCATCTTTAACTATAGCTCAGAATAACTCGAGGTACCAAGTGGATTGTTTTGTTGTACATTACTTGATGTGCCTTAGCAATTTTGTGTACTATCATAATCTTAACCCTTCAGCTAAATTAAACTCTATGCACAGTATTGTTTTTTACTGGTGTTTTTATCAAAACCATGATTAGTAACTAAGATATTGTTTGGAAAAAATATTTTTACATTAAATATGACCAGGGACACAAGTAACAGTTTTTATAATAATTTAGTAGCTTATAAAATGTTATTATGATATCAAGGCATCACAGACAATGAGGCTTAATTGTTGAATTATGGCATTAGCTTCCACCTTCTAAAAATTTTTTTTTTATTTCCAGTTATTATCAACATCATCATCATCATCATCTAGTAAATCATCAGCAGGTCAGAATGTTGGGGTTTCCCCTGCTTTCTTGGTATGTATATTATTGTTGTTTTTATATATAGGCTGTAGGGTTTTAAGTCTTTTGGTGATGATAACTGTAGTAAATGTTTTATTCCCTTTAGGCTGATATCAAACCACAAACGGATGGTGCTAATGGTCTTAAATACAATCTTACAGCTGACATAATTCAGTCTATTTTTAAAACATACCCAATGGGTAAGTGGTATATTTAAGCTGAGCAAGGGTAAAAGTGTGCCTTTTATTTTAAAAAAATTTAGTTGTACATGTTTAATTGAGCAGTCTTATTTTAAAGAATTTTTTCAAATGCCTATTGCTAAGGCTTGTAGTGTTTATATTTTGAAGGACATTAAAGTTTGTTCATTTTTAATTTATTTTAAATCATCTAAAAAAATTTCTAGTATTTTGGTTACTGTTTGCTAAACGTGCTGTTTTTATAATTATACTTCACTCTGCACAGTTTAATTATATACAAGACTCTATTCTAATTTTATTAGTGAAAAAGAAACACGCTGAAGCAGTTCCCCATTCTGTGAGTGAGTCTGAGTTTTGGACCCGTTTCTTTCAATCTCATTATTTTCATAGAGATCGTCAGGCCCTTGCATCTAAAGATATTTTTACTGAATGTGCCAAAAATGATGAAGAAGGTGAGCTTTAAACATAAAAATATATCTGCTTCTTCAGTTATAATAATTATTTTATTTTTAAAGATTATTTTAAATAATCTTAATTTTTTTTAAAATTTAATTGAATTCAGGTAATTTTTTATTAAGTGGGTTTTTACAAGTTTCACATTTCAAATTAACAAAATGTTTAAATATTTTTTTTTTACTAAATTTAAAAATCTTCAAAATTTTATTCTTTTTTGGTGAGTTTGAAGGTAGAATTTTTCTTTTTTAAGTTGATTGATTCTCATAAATTTAGCTATGTTTTATTCTATTTTCAACATCAGTTATGAAAGAAGAAATAAGTAAGAATGTGAATGATCCATTGGTTGATTTGACACAGATTAAAGATCAGGAAGTGGATGAGGTAGGAAGATAGTATAGTTTTTTTATCAATTAGATTTTATAAGAACCACAATGAAAGCTGGTGGTTTGTGTATCACATTCTGTGGATGTTTTCATGTATTTTATTGTTTATTGGGTTGACAGTTTTCTAGTCATTTCTTGAATTGTTAAAATAATCACATGAATATTGATTTGTATTTATTTTTTTATTTTTATAATACAAAGCCATTTTGAATATTTAGTTTTTAATTATGGTTAATTTACATGAAAAGAAATCTGACATATTTATTTTATTCTCAGTTTTAAGTTTCAAAATTGTTTTACTTTACATACAAAGAAATCTAGCAACATGTTATTTTATTTAAAGTTTTTCAAGTTAAATTTTACATGAAAAGAAACCTAGAAGTATGTTCTATTATTTTAAAAATTTTTTAAAAGTTAAATATTTAATTTTTGGAAAGAAATCTAGCAGCAAGTTATTTTAAGATTTTTTAAAAAGTTAAATTATTTTATTTTACATGGAACAAAACCTAACAACATATTGCTCTATTTTAAGGAATACAGAGGGATAGTGGACGACACCAGAGCCAGCAATAACACAGCCAACCAATCAATGATCAGACGCTTCAACCAACACTCCACCATGGTACTCAGGGCCTGCAGCAACACCACACCATCCTCGTCCACCCCAGATCCCATCACAGCAGAGAGTCCAGCACCCTCCAATGGTAGGAAGACAAAACTCCCTGGCAGCCTCAATGGTGTTCAACCTTTTTTAAATGGTGCGTCCACAAGTAGTGGCTATACACAGGAACCTCATATAAAGAAGGTAAAGGACTGATTTGTATTGTAAAGATTTATTTTTTTAAATATAAATGTGTGTATCCACAAGTAGTAGCTATACACAGGAACCTCATGTAAAGCAGGTAAAGGACTGATTTGTAAAGAATTTTTGTTTTTTAAATATAAATTTGTCCATCAACAAATAGCTATTCATTAAAACCTCATATAAAGAAGGTAAAAGACTGATTTGTATTTGTTGAGAATTTTTTTGTAAATATAAGATTGTGCATCCACAAGCAGTAGCTATATGCCAAAACCTCAGATAAACAAGGTAATGGACTGATTTGTAAAGAATTTGTTTGAAATATAAAATTGTGCATCCACAAGAAGTAGCTGAGTGTCAAAACATCACATAAAAAAGGTAATGGACTGATTTGTGAAGAATTTTTTGAAATACACCAAGGTGTTCTTGATCAAAGTATCTTAAATGAAATGAAAAATATTCGGCCTTAGTAAAGGAATAAATTAAGCCTATTGCTGTAACAGTTTGCACAGAGAATCAAAATATGGACCAAAGAAAAGGTTATTTTTAGCATTAGTTAGACAGTGCTTAGTTGCGTCATTCCTGTTACCTGTAGTTTGGTACAAAATGGAGGCTGACTGATACAGGATATTTTACATTTATTACAAAGGATTCCATTGCTTGCCAACTTTTTAGCACTGAAATCTTGTCTTCTGTAATGAAGATTAATCTGATTAAGTTTCTTTTATCACTCTATATAAGTTAAAAATATGATTCCCTATTCACTTTGGTAAGAAATTTTTTTTAGACTTTAAATGTTTTTTTTTTAAATTAAGTTTTTAACCAATCTTTGCAGAGAAAAATCAAAGAAAAACTGGAATATGAAGATCTAGATAACAAAGATGCAGCAGAGGGGGTAACACTAAGGCAAGTTTTTACTTTGTCCTCTAAAATGTTCATGTTTTCAAGTTGTTGTTTTTTTAAACTGAGCATTCTTTAAAAAGGTTTTTATTCTTAATATTAGGTTAACACATATGGATCGCCAAGTTTTTTTTTTAAACCGAGCATTCTTTAAACAGGTTTTTATTCTTAATATTAGGTTAACACATATGGATCACTGTTTTTTTTTTATTTTTAAACTGAGCATTCTTTAAACAGGTTTTTATTCTTAATATTAGGTTAACACATATGGATCACTAAGTTTTTTTTTTAAAAACTGAGCATTCTTTAAACAGGTTTTTATTCTTAATATTAGGTTAACACATATGGATCGCTAAGTTTTTTTTTTTTAACTGAGCATTCTTTAAACAGATTTTTATTCTTAATATTAGGTTAACACATATGGATCGCTAAGTTTTTTTTTTTAAAACTGAGCATTCTTTAAACAGGTTTTTATTCTTAATATTAGGTTAACACATATGGATCGCTACCTTCATGGGCCCACACCAGCAACCAGCAGTTTTAGCCATGATAACAGGGATGTAATGATGGATGTGACTACTGAAGATTCTATAAACGCAGTAGCATATGAAGTGAGCAGCTGGGGACATTCAAGACACAGGGTACAGTAACTATAAACTTTGACAACTGGTTTAATGTGTTTATGTTCATTTTATGTATTTGTTCTTACGTCTAACCAGGTACGTTTTATAAGTTTAAATTTTTTTTTTAAAGCTAGTTTGCTGAACACTTTATCATCCTGAGTTTGTAAAACAAATTGTTCGTGTTATTTCAACAAAGTTTCTAACAAACATTATTCATACAACATATTAGCTTGTAAAAAAAATTGTTTAAATAATTACATGTAAATTAATGTTTCAGTTTTTAGGTGGTACACAAGCCCTCTCAGTATTGGGTGAACTTTCACCTGGCGGTGCTTTAATGTCTGGTACCACGCTACAAAAACTTCACCGTATGTATCAAATATATTTATTTTAAAAGTATAAATTATGTGCCAGATTTTAACATTTAACAAAATTAAAAGGTTGTGTTTTATTTAACCACATTTTCTAGATCAAATGTATAATTTTTTTTTAATCAGGTTAATTAATTTACTTAATTGTGCTTTAGTCTTTAAGTTTTGTCATGAAATCATATTGCCTGATTAGTCAAAGATCTATACTGTAGTTTTATTATACCAGAACAAGTGGCGCCTGCAACTAGAGATGAGATCAAACAGAACTATAATGCCATGTGTGAACTGCTGCGACATTTCTGGGCATGTTTTCCAGTTTCATCTAAAGCCTTGGAAGACAAGGTATACTTGACCAGTTTACTCTTAATTATAGTCATTTTTTCTAGGTTTTCGAGTACTAGAGGATTAGATAAAAATTTGCACTTAACCATACACTGTTAAAATAAGACTTTTTGACATTAAACCCAACTTCAGAGTTGACATTAATAATTTGTCGAATAAAATACAATAGTTGAAGTGAAGATAATTTTTTTTTAAAAGCATCAAGTTTTCTATAACTAGTATAACGTCTAGGTTTAAGACTTGGTCTTAAATATCTACATTTTTTTTAAATTATTTATTTTAGGTGCTGAAGATGCGAATGACTTTAGAAAGATTTGAGATGAGTAAGCTTGTACCATTAAAGGAGAAACTAACACAGTATCATTATGCTATGAATGTAAGTCATCACTCAGTTATTCTTTGTACAAATTAATCGTTTGTAGATCAAGAAATGTTTTATCTCGTGGAAACAGATAATTAGTGTCAGGCACAAAAAAGAGTTAGTAGATTAAGTAATTTATTCTACTATGGAATACAATTAACATCAGACTATTCAGTTTTCCCTATAAAATCTTTAGCAAATCATTTTCACATGTTAGAAACTAACTTGATTAAGGGGTTAGTAATTTGATTCTGTACTCTTTTATGAAAATTTTATTTTTAGTTATATTGAAATACAAATCTATGGCCTAAGTTCATTTTAAAAAAACTGAATTAACTATTACTTGTAACTTAGCCTTGGTGTTTTCTTCAAGTGAACATTTTTTTTTCAGCTGACAGGGCATTTGGAAGAAATGTTGAGAGCAGCCTACAATAAGTTTGACCTGTGGCAGGCCAAACGAAGTGCTAGGAGATAATGACAAGAATGTTTATTGATTCACCCTTATGGTCATTTTTGCTTGTTTGTAATTTTTGTTCAAGTCAAAATGGGCAACTATAGATGGTAAACCCTATACTCTTTTCAAATTTCATGCTTTTGTTTTGTTTTCTTTTAGAAATGTTTTGTTAAAAGCGTTTTTTTAATGCTTTCCCTCTGAGATAGATACTGGGCATTACCATATTGCAATTTAATGTGACCCATTATTAAAGCAATATTTTTTTAACCTCCTACATTTAGAAAAAAAAAACAGAGTTGATGCTTATGTATTTTACATTTTGTTACTGCTACTTTTAAATAGATACTTGCATCTTCAGCTGCCCATTATTTTGCATATTTACTATGTTAAAACTTAGTATCTCTGCAGTATACATTTTCTCTGATTGAAGGAATATGGATGTTGTTCTTCAAATTGTATAGCAATTTTTGTACATATAAAGCACAAGATTATAAAAATAATATTTTGAGCCAAATTGATATAACAAATTACACTAGAAAAAGTGAGTTTTTCAATTTTCTGTGAAATACATATATATATTATAAAAAATTTCTGTTTGATTTGTTATTTCATCTTCCTTTATACTATAGAGCAATAACATTTCATGACTTTCATCAATAAAAAAATGAAATTTTAATTTTATTTTTTATTCAACATGAAAACAATGCAGGGAAAATATACATGTGACTTGGTAAAGAACAACACCCTCTGTTGATTCAAAAATCTTGATAGGTTATTACAATAACTTTCCAGTTACACAAAAGCATGAATCACAGTAGTTATTTTCAAACACAAATTGTGTTTTAAATAACTAAAATTAAAGCACAAAATTTACTTGCTGAACAGTGAAAATGTAACTGACATGTTTTTTTTCACTGCCTGTGAGTTTGGAATGAACATGTGAAGATGATTTTGAAACTAACAAAATATTTTATACAATTGACTAAATGTTAATACTGGATAACTAATCAAATGCCCATGTTTCAAACTTGATTCTAAATTGTTTTTAATTCTGGTTTCAATTCAGATCTTCATTAAAAAGAAGTATTCAACCAGGACTATAATTGTTATGTTTTACTTTTGTCAATAAAAAATTTTATAAACAGTAAACCCTAATGAACAAACCAGTTCAATGTTAGTTTTGGTTAGTTCACATTTAAAATTTAGATGTTTTATTTGACACAATAAGTGTCACCAAATGTTATTTTAGCATCAATAGGAAGCTGGTTTGAAATTAGTCCTTATTTACAATTTTATAAAATGAGCCTGTCCAGGAGTAAGTGGCTACAACCCAAACAATGTATAAAAAATGAATGAATTATTTCACAAGGTGAGGAAGTGAAAAGCAAATGCATGAATGAAAAACAAAGTAATGATTATGTATATATGGGCTATGCAAGTAAATCATCAATGTCTTGTAGTAAATCATCAATAGGCTCTACATCTCCAGAGATTACATTGTCATCATCCAAACCAACATCATCAAAAAAACTGAACTCGTCCTCAAAAGATGGTCTGGACTTTTTCACTGGTCTGAAAAATATAATGCACTTTTATTATCATAGCTAGAATATACAATGCAATTTAGAGTAATTTCTAATATTCTACTGGTATTTTGCTTTTTAAAGTAAAGTACATTAACATAATTGCTTAAGATTTAATGCACCCATTACATACGAATAAAAACATCTAATAGTGTCAATACAATTTAGCTTTTAAAAAATTGAGTTTTTATGACTGATACAAATCTGTATTGAAAATTTAGAGAATAAAACAGTGCAGGGCATTGCTTTGGGAAAAATCATTTAATATTCTACTCAGTGTATATAAATATATATATATAATTGTATATATATGGCTCTACTATAGTAGGGGAAATCCAAGTGCAAAGCCTGGACACTAAGTTGAAAAGAGCTACATATTGTCCATATATCAGACCTCTCTCTCTCCACAAAGCTGATAGACCCTCGAGAAAGGACATTATATTTACAGCTTGGGATATAGCTTCAACAATAAAAAGCTAGTGATAAAGTCTCACTTCTACTAGTGGGTTTTGAGTATCAAATAACTCTTCCCTAATGAAAAATTTGACTGCTATACATTATTAGACAGAAGTGCTTGAGGAGTAATGACAAAAAAGTATAAAAATACATGAAAATAATTTCAACAACTTACTCAGTTTCTGTAGGTACAGGTTGTTTGTATACACTGGCCGCCGTATCAGGTTCCTTTTCATATGGTGAGACTAGACTAACCGCCGATGTACTGGGTAAATGGCTGTGTGTGTTGCCATGATTTTTGGGAGTTGACATTGGGTTGTGTGAATGGCTAGACGACGCGTTAGAACTTGCCCCTTTCTGGTGTGTTGCTGGTTTGGTTAGTGATGTTTCAGTCTTTACAGAATACGAGGAAGGTGTACTGTTTGAGGAGTTGGATAAATCACTGTCCTCAGAAATATTTGTATCACTGTGTTCAATGCTTTTCCTCTTTGTAAAGAGTTTGACTTTATTGTTTTTCACATGAGCTGAATTGAAAGATTTTAGTTTGACACGCTGCTGTGATTCTCTGTTGTGAGTAATGGCAGGATGAGACTTGGATGAGAACACAGGGGCATCAGGCTGCTGTGGGACAGGTTTAGGCGGTGCGGTCAATGGTGGGTCCACAGTAGGCTGCAGACGATCGCTAGACATGGCAGTATCTGGAAAAGGTGCATTATAATAAAATGAGTTTTTTTCCTCCTGTTTTTACAAAGTGCAGCCTTAATAAAATCAATAAATAAATAAATCATTTCCTTTTATTATGATAATGTAATTATTTTTTCTAAACCAAGTAAATACTATAGTTTATAGTCTGTAGTTGGATTTTTCTTTTATTTCTAAAATAAACTAATATGTTTAAGTGAAATATAGTTACTTGAAAATGTATGATAAAGTGCCAATTCATAGAATGCTTAAGTGCATCATAATCGAAATAAGCTAGTATATGAGATTATATAATCTATGATATATCTAAATATTTTTTTTAAAGATAAAATTCTAATTTTAACAATTATATACCTGTATTGAAAACAATTGGAGTTATAGGTACTCTTGGTTTATTTGCGATATTCTTTGAAGGACTAGAAGTTGAAGACATAGATGATAATGAAACTGAAGATGCAGGTAATGAGTCTGATGGCACCAATCCTGTAGAAGCATTAGCACCAGACTTTTGGGCCTGCATCTCCAGTCTCTTTCTGCGCTTCTCAGCCATGATTTCAGAAAATGACTTTATGGTCACTTCAGTTGGCTGTTCTATTTGCTGAAAATTTTAAAAAATAGAACTGTCAATTTAGAGAGCATTTCTTGGCTTCTGTTAAAACACCTAAGAAAATATCACCGTAAATTTTTAATTCATGCTGTGTTGAATAAGAAGAAAAATATTTATCAAATCATAGCCATTTATCTTTACTATTTCACTTTGAAACTCATTACAGTAATTTTCTCTCCTCCATTTTTTTGTACCCATCACCAAAAGACTGAAATCCAGTAAATAAAATGATGGGGAAGTTGAAAATGAATCAGCTTGTAATTTTTTACAAGGAGATTCATAAAAATTTTAGGAGGGCCCTGGAACTTTTAATCTAGATTCATGCTTGGTAGCTGAGAACAAGACCAGCATAATTTACCAGAATTAGAAATCAAGGCAGGATACAAACAATACCTGATAGTCTTTTACATACAGAGATTACTTTTAAAATAAAACAGTTTCTGTCATTCTTGTCAAACCCATTCTACTTGGTTACACTGACTAGGTAACTATTGCAATATATATTTTTTAATTTTAAAAAACTTAATCGATCAAAACTCACTTCATTTGTTTGAATTTTAGTGCATTTCTTTTCAGGGGAGTTTTCTTTAATATTCAGCCTGGAAACAACCCTGATCTTTTCATTGGTTCCCAGCCTCTCAGAGATAGGCATCACTTCGACAGCAGGCCTTTTGCCCTGGGTACCTTTAGCTGACAATGTCAAGCCAGCAGCCCAGGCTGCTGCTATGGGGTGAGGGCCCCTTTTCTGTGGGGCTACTTTGGCTGTTGGTGCCACCACAGCCTCTTTCATTGTCACGTCTTCTTCTTTCAAAGCTGAAATGATCAAGTAGTAATAATAATAAAACATGAATCCTTATGATTTATTAGCTCAATAGTAAGAGCTCATTGAAAAAACTGATCTACACATGGAGGCTACCAAATTAATAGAATATGAATAATGCTCCATTAAACATCAATGCAATTTCAATAATTTACCAAATGATTGTTTCTTTTTGGTAATATTTCCTATCTTTTTTATTCGATGAAATGTATCAAATTAATATTGAAATACAAATATATTTAATTTAAAAATTTTGGGTAGAAATTAATTTTAAAACTATTTGAAGTAACTAACCAGAGCTTTTCATAGCTGGAGGTACATAAATTTGTCTCTCTGTCTTTGATTTTCTATCCTGTTTATGTTTGTGCCTATGTTTATGTTTCTTGTTGCTAGAGTTGACAACTTCTTCCTCCACTGCCTCATCATTGTCCCCAGCTAGATCTTCAACTGTAAACAAACAATTTATAAAATATATATTTATCTAAATGTTATTGGCTTAGTAAGAAAGCTAACAGATTACTGTAAAATGAAACTTACAGTCTTGTAAAACTTGTCTTTTTGGGGAGGCTTGAATTCTTAGATCATGTTCTAAAAGTACAGTGAATATAATTATTTTATTTAAAATTTTTACTTTTACTGTTACTAAATAAGTGTTATAAGACTAGTACTAAAATTTAAAGTGCAATCTCTAGTTAATTACTTTGGGACCAAAATATCAAGCAGATTTTATTTTTTACCTTCATTCACTGATGCATGTAGTTTTAATCTTTTAGCTTCAATTGTTTTCTTCTTTTTTATCAGAGCTTTTCTCCTCAATCTCTCAAAGGGTGACTCTTCAATGCTTTGTTCTTCTTCTTCTGAATTTAAATACAATCAGTAAAAGTCTGAGTAAAACTATGTTATGGTTGATTAATGGTTGACAAATTAAAAATAATTGGAGATGTATTGCAAGATGGTAGTGATAAAATTAAAAAAAATTAAGCTTTCATATCAAATGTTTCTATGAACTTCTGACTGCACCTAATTAATAAATAAACACTCATCCAACAGAATAAAGTTATCCTAACCTGGCATATCTCCATCGGCAGACACCTGCCTCTGTTTCAACAACGTCGTTCTGCCTCCATCCCCTCCATCACCAATATTAACTTGATCCACCCCACGTTTCTGTGTTCTCCAAGGTCTTTTCTTAGCTTTCTTTTGCTCTTCCGTTATTCCAGCATTATCAGCATCATCTGACTTGGAACCTGATTCGACAGTTAGCAAAGCAGTTTTATTAAAAAAATGTTACAATTTCCTAATAAAAGAAATATATTACTCATAAGATTTAAAATGACTATCAGTCATGAGTATCAACTTACTTGTCCAATGATACCAGTCATGTGACCAGTACACTGAACAGAACAGGTCAAAAAGAGCCAGTGGTTTAATAAAGTATTATTCATAATCAATCTTCAGTTTGACCATAATAGTAAAAATTTAAAAAAAAAAGGCCTTACAAATAAGTCAACAGAAATGTACATACCACTAATAATTAGAATTTGTCTTCCCTTGGTATCAGAATCATTTTGTTTTAGACCTAGTCTTTGTTTGACAGTAGACTGCTGTTTATTTTCTGAAAATTTTCAATTTTTGATATAGCAGTTACAAATATATAATGAAAGAGTTCCTAAATTGAAAATTTAAAATGGATTTACATAAAGCTATTTTAACATGAATTCAAAAAATGTAATTTCAACCAGTTACATGTGAAAAATCATGTGTACTAACCTAAGCGCTGCTGGGAGGCCAGCTTTCTCATTTTTTCTTGTCTGATTTCTTCCAGAGTTTTGATCTTGATGTCTGCAAGAGGGTTCTGCTCCTCGTCGGAGTTGCCCTTTGACACCTTTACAATTTTACTTTTATGAGGAGAATTGGCCTCTCTCTTGGGTATTCCACTAGAAAGCTCAAGCCTTTCTGATCTTGACTGTACGCTAGCACTAACAGCTTTTTTATTATTGAGGGAGTTTCCGAGGCGATCCCTAACATTCAAAACAAGTGGTTCCTTCACACGACAAGACACAATGTCATCAGAATCATAATCAACATTGACCTTTCGCTTTTTGAGGACTGCTTGTTTGCTGGATACTGCAGCATTCTGCCTAACTGGCACCCTGGCATTAGACATTTTCTTTCCCTTTGTTACAGGTGGATGTACGGAAATTTGTTTCTTTTGTAGACTTGCATGTGCTTGAGAGAGAAAAAAAATTATTTAAATAATTATTTTTAGTAAACATTCACAAAAATTAATACTTGCAAATTCTACTTTTTATTTTAACTTCTTTACAGATGGTTACTACGTTTTATAAAATAATGATATTCAAAAAACTAGACAAAAAAAACTCAAAATAAACCTTAACAGACTAATATATTTTTTTTACATATACTGAAGACCTATTTTGATTTCAAGCTATCTCTTTACCTTGCAACTTTTTCATTCTTTTTAGACAACATTAAAAAAGGCAAACAGCAAATCTTAACACATGAAAATTCTTTACTTTTACTAAATTCCAATTTAGATTTTAAGCTACCTCTTTTCCTTGCAACTTTTTCATTTTCTTCCTGGACAATGACTCTTCTAACATCCGGTTCTGTGAGAAAATGAGAAAAGCAATTATTTGTAAGTTATTAAAAAATCTTGAACCTTACTTCTGTGGCCTTTAAATATAAATGTGAATCCACTTTTTATCTTAGCTTTTTATTTGTACAATCAAATATATTTTTATCAGTTTCAACTATAATGTACAAAAATGATGGTATAGAATTATGAATAAAAATAAATTCTAACATTCCAAAAGCAACTTTACCTTGTCTAGCTAAACAAAGTAATGTGTAAAATAAATACACAAATTTAAAATACGTCTTACCAAATTCATCATCATCATCCTCCTCCTCTTCCTCACTGTCAGAACTAGAACTTGAGGAATCAGAATCAGATGATGCCTTCATTGTTGTCTCCTTTTCATCAGAAGTTTCTTCTTCTTCTTCTTCTGATGATGACGAGGAGGTGGTGGTGGCAGATGAGCTTTCAGCCAATGCTGCAACTGGTGGTGTTTTTTTCTCCACAATAACAGAGCTTGGAGTAGTTGCCAATTGTGATGTCTGAGTATTATTTTCGGCTGTATTTTTAAAAGAATATTTATAATATCATTCAAAATAAAATATTTCAATGAAATAGCTTAATCAATTTTCAAAAAAATAGGAAAAGTTGCTTGATAAACTTTAGTAAAAAAAATGCTTAGATATTTAACAGATAAGGTAAGACAGTTGTTAATATATTTAAGTAACAAATACCTCTCTTTTTAAGCATCGACTCTAACGCTTTTTGTCTAAAAATCTCCTCCATAGACATTACTTTGATATTTTCAATGGAGTCATCAGAATCTGAATTCGTTGTAAAATAGGATATTATCTTATATATGTACATATAAATGTATTAGATAAACAGAGGGGACTTTGTGAGATTCACGAAATAGCATTCAGAGATGTAGTGAAACTTCAGAATACAGGACACATATTTTTTAAAAATTCAAATGCACAAGAGTGAAATGGAATGGCCATCAAACTGTTTAGTAGACCAATATGAATTAATCTGGTCCAAACAAGAAGTTAAAACAGTAACGCTGTTGTCAGATGATAGAGCACACAACAGCTAAGCTGGGCTCTCAAGTCTGTAGGACTTCAGCTCTGATGGGTACCTGATTGACGTTAGGGAAACCAAGGCAGCTGAGAATAGTGCTGACCACATTATCCCGCTCTATACCAAGGTCATTGAAATAGATTAACTCTACTTCATGTACCCCATGTGTCTTGGGGCACAAACAGGAATGATGAGATGAAGAAGTTAAAACTTTTTTATCTAGAGCCTTCCATATGTCAACTAAGCCAGTAATAGCTATCCAGAAAGTTTAAAAACATACCAGAATCAGATTCACTTTCACTGCTTTCAACAGCAGGAGGTTCAGCTGTCTGCACTGGGGCTGCACCAAGTCGTTCCCTCACACTTTTCTTCTGTACATTAGGATTCTTCATTTTTTTACCTAACTGTTTGGCTTTTACGCCAAGCATATCTTCTTTAGCTTTAACAAGTTTCTTCCCTGGATTTACTTTCACTTTTTTAACTTTCATTTTGGGTTTAGTAGATTTGTCTTTAACATTCACTTTCACAGCTTTTGTTTCCTGTTTTGTGTTTTCCTGGTTTGTTGTCTTCTGGTTGTCTTCAGGATTAGGAACACTTTCTTTTGTAGGTACCTGGCCACTTCCTTGCCCTATTGCGAGCTTAACTGGTGAAGTATTGCTTTCATCAGATTCTGCTAAGTAAAATAGTCATCCAATATAGATTACAGCTAATGCATTCAACTTTATTTACATCTAACAACTCAATTTTCTTCTTATGAAACTTTAAGTTTTAAACACTATGATAATAGCAAATCTATTATGAACTAACTACAGTGCATGTTTCATCAAGCTTTACATTTATTCATAACATAATATTTTTAAACTTAGTAACACAGAGTATTCTTCTTTAATAAAAAAAATAATTGATATACCTTCTTTTATTCTTAAAAAAAAAACAGTAATTCAAAACATTGAAATTAAAAAGATAATCAAGTATTAAACTACAAGTAAGGACTAAAAAAAAACAGACTTACTCGCTGGTTGTATGACAACTGGTTTAACCAAGGGTGGTACAATGTTTTGTGTTGTAGATGATGTGATTGGTGTTGTCACTGAAGGTTCAGTTGCTGTACTACTGGGTACAGTGTTTGTCACTGTGAAATCGAGATACACTAATTAAGATACACTGTAAAAATAATGCATCTTATTCATGTTTATACCAGTACAATGGAATAATTAAAAAGTAAAAATAGAACACTACTATGTAATTAAATAAGTTAACTGTACCAGAGGATTAGGAACTAAGTTCTAACCTGGAGCTGCAGGAGAAATTTGAGATCTTGGCTTGGAGTGTTTATAAAGACAGTTTGGCTTAGTGCAACCAACTGGTTGTGATTCCCAATAGCATGGAACTTCTGTTGAATCAACTTGAAGCTGGAAGAAAAAAGTAAATTGCTCTGACTTTTTTGTCAAAAAATACGGCACTGCTTGCTTACAGTCTGGTTTGTTAAATATCTAATTACAGCTCAATCTTCCTTAATTTGAAAATGGTTATCAATTTTTAATTTTTTTTTACCTTAAAATTAGAATGTCTGAATTTACACATAGGCCTCATGCATCCTCCCATCTCCCAGTGTTGACAAATAATTTTTGCAGTTTTGGCTGACTCTACATGTCTAAATGGACAAGCAGCCCCCTGAAAAATGGAACCAAATTATCTCATTTGAAATGTATTCACTATTATTTTAACTTCCTAAAATTTGATAAATCTTTTATTGATGCTGGTTTATTACTTAAATTAATAATTTGTGGTACAGAGTCTTAAGTTTTATAAATACCTTTGCACATGATGATGTGCAGAAAAAATAGCAGTCATCGCCGATAGTGGCCATTTTTCTCTAATAAAGGTATTGATAGCTGTTAGTTTTATCAAGATAATCAGACCAAAGCAAGTCCACAAAGAGGACAAAGAAACAAAAAGATGAATGATAGGCCTTGATGTTGGAAGATGGGTTTAGCAAAACTCAAGGGATATGGCATCCACAATAAGGACATGGCCAATTCACAAACATGTGTCAGTATCTGAAATAAATGGTAACAAAATTTGTAATTACAAGTGAAATTATTTAAAATTTTAAATTATAGCAAATGGGCCTACATTAAGTATTAAAAAAAATAATTTATTAATAACTTAAAACTCTTGAACATAAGTAAGCAAGTTTCTTTACAAGATAAATATAGTTATACACTTTAGTATATCTATTATTAATTTGAATAACATTCATAAAGTGACCCTAATTTAACAAATTTTTTAAAATGAAAAAAAAGTACTAACCAGCGAGATACCATCATGCCTGCTTGTGTAACCATCATACTCGGCAACTCATACTCAGCAGGATCAGATTGTGATAAATGTATCTGATCCACGCTATGAGCCCCAACCCACTTACATGTAAAATTAGTGCCAAGTTGAAAAATATTTGCTAACTCCATAAAACACTAGTCAAAAAACTTATTCCTATGACCCCTATTTATCTCCCTTTATTGTTATTTTTTTTAAAAGACACTAGACAAAAATCACTTTCTTATTAATATGCTAATGGCACTTATTTTGTTTCTAATTTTAATGTATTATGATTTTGAATTATTGAATCAAATCAAAAATCTAAACTGTTTCTTAGAAGGAACACTTGCTTTAAATAGTGATTAGCGTAATAATTATTCATTCATGTTAAAACAAATAACGGACAAAAAATTAGGTACAATTGCCAAAGTAAGGAACAAAGCTATCGAGAAGTACAATGATCAACACAAAGTTAGGATGAAAGTTGCATATCGGTACAAGTTGTAAAAAAAAATAACAATGAGGTAAAGTGCTGAATAAAACACAGCAGACAAAAAAAACCTAACTGACAGCATTCAATTTCCAATAAACATCATAATAAATTATTTCAAGCTATTGTTTTCTAGAATAACTTAGTTTAAAAATCAGAATTTTTCTCTTAAAAGTGTACCTATTATTGTAACTGAGAAATTTGATATACAATACAATTTAAAAAATGAACTCTAAATAAGTTACACTAATACCAAAAGCATTTGGCTATAAACTACTCTTTTAGGATATACAACTGCTGATTCATCAATTAACTGTTCTAATATTTAACTAGGCAAAACTTTTAACTACTTCTAGAAAAAATAATTTTTAATACAAAAGTTTCAGCCAAATCTGTTAAATTATTATCTAAACATGTGTAGGATGATTTGTTATTCTTAATTAATTTGAAATGGAAACCACTCATTATCTAATTTGTTGGTTTTTTTAAATGTATTGTTTTACAAAATATACAACATGTAATCTAGAAAGAAAATAAAAAGCAAAGGAAACTACAACATCAGTATTTATTTAGAGCCTTGATCTGTTAACATTGCATCCCATTTCAGTTTGTATACCATTTTTTTAGCCTATAATTTTTCCTCAATTTCAAGTCTAAAGTAAAGTATGTGTTAAAAGTAGTAGCATTAAGTTCAGCTGACAATACATGAAAAGTAGTATCGTAGCAGGAACAACAGCCCTAGGTGAAAACAGACTAAATAAAATACAGTGTGTGCTACAACTCCGTTTTTTTCATAGAAGTCTTGAAGATGCCTGCAGAACGTAGAAGTTCAACAGTAGGAAAAGAAAGCCTGTGACTGTAGCATCAATCTTTGGAGCTTTGAGTTAATAACATTCATTCTTCCTTTAGGCTTAACTTTATTAATGATCTGCTTTAAAGAACTAAGCATACAATTACTAGGCTGATATTCCAGTTAATAGATATAAGACTGTTCGCTTATATGGTTCTTTTTTTGTTTGGTCTCCAGATAATTCAGGGTATCTTTTACAGCACACAAATCCTGTTCTGGACAGCTTGCGATGGATTATATTTAACACTGTTGGCCTATTGTACTTACAGAACAGGCTAATGAAGTATGTTCTACATACTATGCGAGCATATTGTTAAGCATCGCATAAAAAATACTAAGGAGGCCTCGTATAGTAATACCATGAGCACGCCTGCCTATTACTTTGATTTTGATCAAGGTGTTGGTAGCGGACTGGTTGTTTATCAAAATGAGCTAAACACAGTAAACAGTGGTGTAAATTATACAGCTTGTTTATGGATCTAGGACTAACTCCTCGAAAGGTTGCTAACTCTACTAAACTCATTTTGTTTGTGATTTCTTTTAAAACTATTTATGTAGGTAATCTATTGGCCTGAATAATTTGACGTGGTATTTAATAAGCCTATTTGATTTTGGTTTATCATATGTTGTCTGATGTAAGTTGTGGTTTATGATGGTTGACATCAAATCCAAACCAATAAAAAATATTTAATTTTAGATTCTAGGCCTACCAAAGTTAGAGGGCCTAGCTAATTTTTTAGTTTATCATTTTTTTATGCCTCAGCCTACCTAAAAAAATTTAATTAAAATTGTATCATTTATTCATTATTGCCATTTTTATCATGAATCATTATAAAATTATACAAACAAAAACATAATTCTAGATCTATTTTAGATCTAAATCTAGATCAATCGTTGCAAGTGTAAAAAAAATTGTTTACAAAAATTGTCAAAAAAGTCTCACAGTGAGTTGACTTTTTTTTATTTTTTTTGCTATCGAGATTTGGTGATTCTCCTAAGCCTATGAAATTAACAAATATTATTAGTCTACTGTTATTGTTTAATATTGATACATACTTATGATTCGTGGGTATTTTAACCTTCTACATTAAATTGTATATGAAACTAGAATATAATTTGAAAAACTATATAATCTAGTATTCTAGAAATATGAGCAAGTTTAGTATACAATAACCCAAAGAAAGAGGTCGCTGTAGGCTTTTGTCTAGTAACTTCCGGCGACGTCATCACATTTATTATTTTGGAGCTAGATCTAGATCTAGAATATCTAGATCTAGAATCTAGATCTAGATCTACAGAGTAAATTAAAGTTACATATTTGTATTTTAAACATAACCCTCACTTTTATGATCGCATAAAATGTACACAAAAGAAAATGTCCAGCATCATTTGTAGTTTTCAAACATTTCTTTTTAAAATCATCGGCATGATAATGATATAGTATAGACCTATGCCTATAGTAACCTGGGTGGGCGGGGGGGGGGGGGGTGCTTTTCTGGAGGATGGGACATCATTTTATCGGGTGCGTCCCCTCCTTCTCCACTCCAAGAAAGTACCCCCTCCCTCCCCCACACAGGATATTAGCCTGTATGTATCCATTCTATAATGACTGCTTGGCTTGAATTCGGAGTTAGCAAACGCAAGAGATTGACGCAATATGTAATGTCCCTCCTGTGACCTGAAGTCTCTTAGAGTGGATGCTCCTCAATTGATGAGGATCGATCGATCCCCAGTTGTTAGTGAGTCAGTTTCATGGGTTTGGCAAAGGTCAAGACACACACACGCTTATGATTAGGGATAGGATTTTGCCAGTGGGGATAATAGAACTAGAGCGACAACAGTTCAAAAGCGAAATCAAGACATAGTATAATAAAGTGCGACAGAGCGAGTTAACACCAGAGTTTCTTCCAGGCATATCTTCGCCCCCCCCCCCCCCCCCGAAGAAAGTCTACCGCTCCCAGAGCCGGCGTTAGGAATACGCGGGGCCTAGGGCCAACCATCCGCGCGGGGCCTGCTTTTTTCCATTATATATATATATATATATATATATATATATATATATATATATATATATATATATATATATATATATATATATATATATATATATATATATATATATATATATATATATATATATATATATATGTGTGTGTGGGGGGGGGGGGTGTATGTGTATAAGCCTATATAATATACATACACACATAATAACACATAAATGTTTTGGAGTCTATAAGCTAATGCCAAACTTTCCACTTTAATAACATGTTTTAACCCAATGTTTTTAGTTGTTTTTTTTCCTTGCTAAGATATTAAATCACTTTTGACAGTTATGTAACCCACACCAAATCACTTAAGAAAGTTCAATCACGTGCCAAATAATTAGTAAAATAAAGTTGTTTAAATTGTTTGTTGATGACTAATTGTTAATATAAAAGCAGGGGCGGGGGGGTGGACCGCACCGGGAGACACCATTTAGGGGGGGGGGGTGACACCAAGGCAAAAAAATAGCAAAACATATGCTGAAAAATGATAGTTCCACTTTAAAAAGTGGTTAATTAGAGTGTTAAATAGTCTTTTAAGGGCAAATTTGATAAATCCTGACAAAGGTGGAGAGGGGGGTGGGGGTGACACTATGACGCAAACCCGCTAATGATAGAGAAAACATGCTACATCAACACTTTTAACTTTGTTCCAAAAAAAAAAATAATAAATCACTCTGTCTAATGCCCCTTGATATAGATCCTAAGGGCCTCCCCCCCTCGTCGCCCTGTTCCCACCCCTCTGCACACAACTGAATGGTAATTATGTTATACCAAGATAAGTAGGCCTACATATACGACATATACAACAAGAAAGTCAGGACTTGCGTTCATCAGGTCACCAACTGTCTACTACAGGCATCCCGTCTGCTCACTAAAAGGACGTCTTCATCGGTCCGCATACAATAGAGTATCACTTTCCCAAATTTCCATCCCATGTCAGGTCGGGGGCTGATTCGCGTCAAACTATCTCCAGTCAGCTCAGCTACAATGCGTACCCTACACAAAGGGGAGGTGTGTGACACTGTTTTTGTATCGAATTACGACCTGTCCTAGTCAGTGTTTCTTCCAGACTTTTTTCTCCGGGGGGGCACTTGAAATTTTCGGGGGGGGCGGTAGACTTTCTTCGGGGGGGGGGGGGGCGGACACTGTTAAAAGTATATATTTTCTATATAAATTATATAAATTTAATTTCGTTCGGGGGGGGCGGTAAAAAATTTTCGGGGGGGCTTCGCCCCCCCCCCCCCGAAGAGATGCCTGGAAGAAACTCTGGTCCTAGTTCAGGTGGGTGATAACTCACCAACATCAACCGCTGCCTCAGTTATAACAATCAACAACTTCGGCATTCGACCATTTAGTTTTTCCCAATTGAATTCAGCAACAATTTTTTTTTAAGTTTACAAACTAATTCAGACAACAATGGCGGTGCTGAAGCGCGGGGCCCCTTCAAGCGCGGGGCCTGGGGCGACCGCCCCGTTTGCCACCCCCTAACGCCGGCTCGTCCGCCCCCCCCCCCCCCCGAACAAACTGGAATTTATATAGAAAATATGTACTATTAACAGTGTCCCCCCCCCCCCGCCGAAAATTGTTGTCTCCCCCCCCCCCCCGAAAATTTCAAGTGCACCCCCGGAGAATTAAGTCTGGAAGAAACACTGGTTAACACGTATCGGTATCGCGATATTTCTATATCGTGAAACCATTGACGTCACGCCAAATACGGTGTTCGGTACCTCCAAAAGGTTAAGAACCACTGATTTAAGGTGAAGCCTTTCTAAACTGTGTGTCTGAAAGGCAACAACAGATGTCACATTCATTTGCAGCAAATAGGACCTATTCATTATTATGTTTTTGTTTTTGTGTGAAAATCATACTTTGATTCTTTTGTTCTTTGAACACAGTAATGTTGATTCATATTCATTTTGTGCACCAGTAAATATATACTTATGTTTTGAATTTGAAAATAAAATAATAGTTTATTTTGTCCTATTAAGAAGGGTTTGGTGAATGCACGCATGAAGTTTGTGGGGTTCGGTACCTCCAAAAAGGTTAAGAACCTCTGATATCCGCTTCTCAGTGAGAATATGTTATAATGGCAATTTGTGTGTGCTTTTATAAATCTGATTAATTCAAATTGTAACATGCGTGTTTCAATTACATAAGATCTACGGTGAAAAAGTGACACCCTTGCTTAGTGCAAGCTTGTCCTCTCAACTTAGGGGTCATCCATAAATAACGTCACGCTTTTTTGGACGATTTTTACCTCCCCCCTCCCCTCCGTCACACGCCGTCACAAATAGCCAGAACCCCCCCCCCCCCTAAAATGACTTCATATTTCAGCCTACAACCCCCCTTAAAAACTGCTGTTGAATTTTTCTTAAAACATCGATAATTTTCCAAAATCTTGTCAGAACTCTGTCAACATAGAGTATTTTGATCAATTCCTATTATTATAGTTTATTAAAACCTTTTTCTAAAACTCGTTTTCCAACATTGCTTTTTTATAATGCAAAAAAGTGACGTCACACCATCTGAATCCCCCCGCCTCCCCATCATCACACACCGTCACAAAATCACGGACCCCCCCCCCCCCCCACGAGTGTGACGTCATTAATCGGCATCGGTTTCATGAGGCCGTCTTATATGAAAACCGCCAAACCCAAATAATAGTTGGCCTGTCGCCCCACTGGAACTGTCACCGTTGACAAAAGTCTCCAAGACAATGCCATCCAGCTTTCCCAACCGTCCAAAACGGTAATCCATCTTAAACTAACGTCTTCAAGACAACCCCATCCAGCTTTCTCCAACCACCCACAACGGTAATCTATCTTAAACTTACGTCTTCAAGACAACGCCATCCAGCTTTCTCCAACCGTTCACAACGGTTATCTTTCTTAAACTAACGTATTCAAGATAATTACATCCAGCTTTCTCCAACCGTTCACAGCGGTAATCTATCTTAAACTAACGTCTTCAAGACAACGCCATCCAGCTTTCTCCAACCGTTCACAACGGTAATCTATCTTAAACTAACGTCTTCAAGACAACGCAATACAGCTTTCTCCAACCGTTCACAACGGTTATCTACGTCTTCAAGACAACGCCATACAGCTTTCTCCAACTGTCCACAACGGTAATCTATCTTAAACTTTGTTGTGTATTCATCCAATTCACAGCTCCAGATTTTTCATGGAATGTTTCTTTTTTTTTTCTTTTGCCCTAGGGGTTCCATGTGGATTTTTTAAAGCTGGTTGTGGGTTGTTAAGTATGTTTAACATAAAGTACGACGCTAAGGTTGCAAAATTATTTTTTATACTACTCATTTAGAAAAAAAGGAGTAATAAATTATTGTTTTGTCTTTTCAACTTAGTTCAAAAGTAATTGAAAAGTACATATAAAACGCAAACTTAACAAAGATCCAAAAGGCAGTGCCGGCGGCAGGTTATTTAGCGCCCTAGGCAAAACTTATTAAAACGCCCCCTTTCACACAAATTAATTTCTAAAACATGTATAAGAAAAAAATTAATTAAAAGTGACATTGTAATTTATTATCAGTTGCATACAGGTTATAAGTACGCATCAAAATCAGATTTTACTTGACCCATCGTCGCAAAAGTTTGTACTAATTCCTTCAATTCCAGTTTGCAAGCGTAATCACATTCTAAAGAAATTGTTGCTAAGTCCACACGTCTACTTTGTACTTTATGACATAGCCCCCCCCCCCCTTAGAAAATGTCAAGTGCTTCTGCTCTACATAATTTTTATAATGACAAATAATAACTTGTAAAAGTTGTATTTATAAGTAAGTGGTCAACTCAAGGTACAGGAATTTGAAATGAATGTAAAGTTAAACAACGACTTATCTCCCATTTGGAAATCTAATACCAAAATTTTATTCAAGGGAAATAGCTTTCACAAGAATGGCAAAATTAACGAAGTGTAATTAAGACATACTTGAAAAACACAATAAAACGCTCTAAATTTCATTAGGTAATAATTATAAAAAATCTTTTATATTAACAATGTAACTGTGTCAAAAGAATATATTTTACTCATTGACTACTTAACTGTAGGTTTTGTTTGAAAGTCTAAACATGGTAGTTTTATCATAACACACTTCTACTCAATTTTGATGACATAAATTTACAGATTTATCCGTCGAGTTCTAGTTTCTAAAATTTAGGATCCCCTAGGGACGCCTTTCAAAAATATCTAATACGGGTAACAGTAACTGTTTGAGACATTGCTGTAATAATTGATTACTTATTAAAAAAATATAATTAAAAAAAACAACCTTTGTATATTACCATATATAGTAATATAGTTTATAAAAGATAATCAAAGTTATTAATTATTAGGTACTTTTTGATAATAGTAATTAAACCTTTTTGCGCCCCAAGGGATGGCGCCCTAGGCGACCGCCTAGTTCGCCTTATAGGGCTGGTAAGTAGGTCACCAACCAGCTCTACGGCTCAATAAAACCTGCATGAGCCATAGAACTGGTTGGTGACCCACTTACCAGCCCCATAGGTAGCGCTGGTCCTGCCAAAGGATCAACTGTTTATCTTCAATGATAAACACGATGCTGAGGAATGAATAGTTTAAGGATTCACAGCAGACTATACTGTGTAAAATTTATCAATTTCTATTACAGAGGCGTAGTGACCGATTCCGGCGCCCGAGATGAACTATTAATTTTGTTTCCCATTAACCATTTGATATACAGAGCTTCTTTCAGGCATCTATTCGGAGGGGGGGGGGCTCTGCTGAAGAACGTCTACCGCACCCCCCCCCCCCCCCCAACCAAACGAAATAGAATTTATATAGAAAATATATAATTTTACCAATATCCGCCCCCCCCTGGAAATTTTAGTCTACCTCCCTCGAAAATTTCAAGTGCCCCCCACTACCCGGAGAATAAAAAGTCTGAAAGAAACACTTTTTGTATGCTGTTATTCACTCTAACAAAAAAAGGCACCCACCCAACTTGGAAGGTTGGGGCGCCAGTCACCGTCGCTTAACAGTTATTTTTTCTTTCTTTTTGGTGTGACACACTAATAAGTTCTGTAGAAAACAGTTAAATCAGTCTGTAAAGCCAATCAGTAGTTTATTTTCTTAACGTTGTATAATTCAGTAATGCAACTCAGAATGGGTTTTTTAAAAAGTTTTTCACCACGTTCAGTGTCCCCCTTGAGTTGGTGCCCGGGGCGCTTCCCAACCCTCCCTCCCCTATAGCCACGCCTCTGTTCCAAAAATCAAAGGATTCGAACCGGTGAAACCACCCACAGCCTCTGTTGAGTGTAACGCCGACTTAACATTTTTCTGAAAATATGGAGGGCTGTTATAACGTGCTTTAAATGTGTGAATAAAAAAAATACAGCACAGCAACAATTCTCCTCCTCTACCAAACTTAATAGCGGTTCGGTACATTTAGCCTACAACATCTTTCAGGCATCTCTCCACGTCTACCACCCCTGGGCGAAATAGAAGTATATAAAAATTATCAAGTGTTCTCCCAGCCCCACCCCAGGAGAAAATATCTGAAAGAAACCCAAATTTTCATTTAGATTTTTCATGATTTTTTTTTAGCATTTTGTTATTTTATTTTTTGTTGGGGGTGATTTCATTTTCTGAACGTGCAATAGTTAACAAAGAGTTTACTGAACGACATATAGGTCTACTCAGTGGCGTAGGTCTACCCCCCCCCCCCCCAGAAAAAAACCTGTTATATATATATATATATATATATATATATATATATATATATATATATATATATATATATATATATATATATATATATAGGCCTAGTTGGTTGCAATTAGTGACATCTCCTTCCCATTATGCCTAATGGAGTAAATGTGGGCATACAATCCACCTATTAATTCGTGTGGGAAAAAAAAACGTCGTTTTTATCGTAAGTCATTAGATTTTGGTGTCACCCCCTCTACCATCGTTCATTGGCGTGGTCGAGTCGGTGAAGCTCATGGTTGCTAAACCGAAAAGTCTCGAGTTCGAACCCTCGGGCAGATGAGGCTCGTTAGCTGGGGACAGCGACTCTTCTAGGAGAGATAACTCCAAAATTAAACAACTGCTGCCTTGTAGATTGTTCTTGGTTGGACAAAGGCTATGGAAGCAAATCCAAAAAGAAAAGCAGGCTTAAATCGGAGTCAATGGCCTCAATGGCGCATAACCAGTTGACACGTACCGCTTAATTGTGTTGGAGGCGTGGTTGAGTCGGCAAAAAGCTCATGGTTGATAAATTCGAACAAAGTCTCGAGTTCAAACCCATTGGCAGATAAATCTCGATCCCCTTCAACACTAATAATTAAGAACGAAGAAGAAGAAGAAGTTCATTGACTTATCTGTTAATCAAAATACTCAACAAGCCTTTATTCCTCTCTAAATTCATCAGTTGGAGTCACCCCCCCCCCCGGATGGTAGCTTTAAAGGGGTGCTCAGTTAATAGTAAAGATGGTTATCTAAAGTCAGTTATTAATACAGGTGGATTAACTCTTATTAATCATTAATTGAACTGGCAAAAGCATTTTCTTCTATATATTTTGTAATTTTTCGTCATGGTGTCATCCCCTAAATGGTGTCACCCGGTGCGGTCCGCACCCCCTGCCCCCCCCCCCCCCCCCTTCGCGACGCATCTGGGTCTACTTGAATTATGCCTAGATTAGATCAGAAAACAATTAATCCCACTGACTAGTTTATCCATGTTTTACGCGATTCGTTTAATATCCGCGAAAAATAATCAAATTAAGCCTAACAATGAGAACGATCTTATGTGGAGGTGTGTCTTACATATAAATAGCACGATTGGATAGTCCCTATCTTTAAAAAAACATTAGCCATGGTCATGTGATTTTTGTGTTCCCTATTAAATAGTAAAGATGGCGGAAGCTATTATTGAAAACAAACCAGAGGGTTTTCTGCAGAGACTTTTAAAAAAAATTGGAGAAGAAAGAAGGCGTAGCGGTAAAGGCATAGTGGATGCAGGTATTATAAATATGGACACGAAATTTAAAAAATGTAATTAACTGCTGATGAATGTCTAGAGTATGATGAGTAATGCCCAGTGGAGTAAAGATCAGTAAGCGAACCGCTGGTGTGGAACGATCGCTTTGCTGTAAATTTAAAGTAAATTAGTGTAAATTAGTGTAAAATGTAAAAATGCTGTGTATGTCACTGTATGTGACTGTGTGCAGTTGAGTGAGAGTAACTTTAAACAGAGTAGTGACTCAGAAGTAAACAAATCATTAGTCTTTAATTGCATTTTAAAATTTTAAGATTTGACTGTCTCTAGTCTAGAATCTAGAATCTAGATTTTGTCTAATTAATTGACATTGTAATTGAATAGAATAGTGAATAGTAAAATTTAAGTAGACTGTTTAAGATTAGATTAAAATAAAAATAAAAAAGGTGGTAGTCTAGATCTACTAGATTCTAGATGTAGTTACTAGTTACTAAACTAGTTAGATCTAGAATCCTAACTAGTAGTTACCTACTCTAGCAGTAGCAGTCACCTACTTTCCTACACATAGCCACCTAGCCTAGTCCTAGTGTTTAGTTAGTATTCAGTAGGCCTATTTAATACTTTTAAAAAAAATACTAACAAGGGCGAGCACTTTTAGTATTGACAGAGAATACATGCAATATTCACTAGACTAGAAAAAAAATGTACTTCAATGTAAACATTGATTAGAAAGTTGCAAGATGATTATTTAAAAATAAAAATATATTTACATTCTACACTCTACACTTTAAAAAAAAAATTTTTTTCAGAAAACGGATTTGAGTTGTTAAATACTAATCAATTCTGGCCAGACATATTTTCACAATATTATTTGAATGGTGGGTCTTCACCAGATGACTGCAGGGATGATATGTTGTTTTATATTCGTAAAAATCCAGAGCTTAAAACAAAACATGGTCTTATACAGGTACTACAATATAAAGAGCCATATATATATATATATATATATACCTATATTTTTCTAAGGTTTTATTAAATATGATAGTGCCTACATATTTTGCTATGCATTAATAAAAATTAAAATGTTAAAAAGGTGAATTTTTTTCTGTAGCCTTTAGTGGAGGTGTACAGACGAGACTCTAAACGTCTTCCTGCGTTAGATGAACCTACAATTGATTGGGAAGAAACAGTTTATTTAAATTTAATTTTACATCAGGTAAGATGTACTGGTTAGCTTTTTACGTGACATTTTATGGCAGATTTTAAGTATAATTAAAGTTAAAGGGTCATCCATTTATTGTGTCAATAAGGGGAGGATTTTGAAAATTTTAATTTAGATTGGATGTGATAAATAAATGGCCTCTAATATTTTTTTCAGTTTGAATATACATTGACATGTGGTTTGTGTACAAGAACAGACGAAAATAACTTACAGATTTTAAAAAAGTTTTCACAGGTATAAGAAAATAAACTAAACAGTTATTTGAAAATAAGTTATAAGAAAATAAACAGATAAAAAATGAAAAGTTTATTTCATTTTATGCACTAAACAGTTATTTGAAATTCTTTAATATTATAGGAATAAAAGTGTAATATTGTTTTCAAAATTTGTTGCATTATAGCTATATTATTCATCATAAAAGATATTCATTATGTTGAAGATAATTAAATCAACTTAAGTAAAAACAATTGTCTTTGCGATTAGTGTCAGGGCATATTAATTTTTTCTGTGATTAATTTTTCAAATGTGAATACAATTTTGAAGTAAAAAATAAATAAAAAATAATGCCAGTTCTCTGTGTATGCTGAAACATATTTAAACATTTTAAAAAAAAACTTAAATGGTTAAAACTGACTCTAATAAATAATTGTGTTTTGTTTTTATTTTTATCTTGCAGAGAGTTTATCCAAGTCCAAGCAGGAGGTCAATGGATAGTAAAGGAACACATGAAGAAATCACATATCCTAATATATTTTTCACTGTGGATGATTTTGAAGAGGTTTGCTTGATATGAATTTCAGTATTGCTCTCAGTAGCTTAGACTATAAGTCGAATATTTTCCATCACAACATCCTGCTTTTTGTATATTGATCATCATCATTTCTATGGACCCTTTGTGGAACACAGGCATACAACCTCTCCATTATACTCCGTTTTGGGTGATTCCTGATAGTTAGATCCTTGGCATGATGTGTATAGATATACTATCACAAGTATCAAATAAATACCACAAGAGATGGATGAGTAGAGTTCATCTCTTACGTTAGCTGTGATATGGATGTCATATCCCTTTTATTTTCCCCTATTTTGTTCATGTGTATTCCTTATAACACCTAGAGTTTTGAGCTTGAAATTTGGAATAGACCTTTTGTTTTATAATCATGGGCTCTTGCAACCCAACCTCACCACACTGCCATAAGAATTTACCTTGTTGCTTATCTTAGGTGGGGGATAGCCTAGCCTAGCGGTATAGCGCTAGACTAGTAATTTGAAAGTCTTGAGTTTGAATCCGGGTTCAAATCAGTAAAACGTCCCTCGAGTCCACCCAGCTCTGATGGGTACCTAACTCATGTTAGGGAAAGTAAAGGCGGCTGGGCATAGTGCTGACTACACTATCCCTTAATATGCTGAGGTTACAGAAACAGGTGAACACTACTTCATTTGCCTCATAGGCCATTAGATTTGAAAAACTACTTTTTTTTATCTTAGGTATTTCAAGATATGATTGTTCGTGACAGTGAAAGCGTAGCCGTTGAGTTAACAGCCAATGACAAGCAGGGATCATTTAATGGTGTTTTATTCCTAGGTTCTGTCAAATATGATGCATTGAAGCGGGTCTATGATTCAAGGGTAATTATAGTTTAATTATTTAATTAAATTTTTTTTTAAAGAGATATTGATGTTAAATAAAATTGTGTTGCCTACCAAAATTCAACATTTCTTTCAGTTTAAGGCAAGCTTAACACAAAAATTAATCTTTTTTAAAAGCAGTGATGTAAAAAAAAATGTGTTTCTTACTGGAATTCAACACATTTCTTTTATATAGATTAAGCCAAATACAAAAATTAGTACAAAGATTTTCCTTATAAAATTTGACATTTCTTCTATTTAAAGACAAGCCTAAGGAAAAATTAAACATAGAGAATTAGTTTCCTACTAAAGTTTGTAATTTCTTTTGTTCAAAGGCAAGTCTAACACAAAAGTTGACACAAAGAATGTCAATGGGGCTAATAAAAAACAAAAAGAGGGTAGAGTTCATGAAGATGAGAGGGCCTAGAGGAAAAGGCTGTGCTGAAATGGCCGTCAGTAGGCTTAAAGGATCTGGGCCAGAAACACCGGACCTAGAAAACTTTCCCGTGGGGGACTTTGACAATGGGGAACAAGAGGTAATTTACTTTGCAGCAGATCTTTGTTAAGTATGGAGATTTTTCCTCCACTGTTCCATTTGTAGTAGATCTTTGTTAAGTATGGAGATTTTTCCTTCACTGTTCCATTTGTAGTAGATCTTTGTTAAGTAGATTTTTTCTTCACTGTTCCATTTGTAGTAGATCTTTGTTAAGTATGGAGATTTTTCCTTCACTGTTCCATTTGTAGTAGATCTTTGTTAAGTATGGAGATTTTTCCTTTACTGTTCCATTTGTAGTAGATCTTTGTTAAGTATGGAGATTTTTCCTTCACTGTTTCATTAGTAATAGATTTTTGTTAAGTATGGAGATTTTTCCTTCACTGTTCCATTTGTAGTAGATCTTTGTTAAGTAGATTTTTCCTTCACTGTTTCATTAGTAATAGATCTTTGTTAAGTATGGAGATTTTTCCTTCACTGTTTCATTAGTAATAGATCTTTGTTAAGTATGGAGATTTTTCCTTCACTGTTCCATTTGTAGTAGATCTTTGTTAAGTATGGAGATTTTTCCTTCACTGTTTCATTAGTAATAGATCTTTGTTAAGTATGTAGATTTTTCCTTCACTGTTCCATTTGTAGTAGATCTTTGTTAAGAAGGATATGTTGAGACAATGTACCAGTTTGCTTTTAAAAATGTTATCCCTTAAATTTATATTATGAAATAACAGGGTAACAAAATGCATTGTTTATATATTCCAAAAAACTATAGGACCAGTATTCTCAAAGAAGAATGAGTGATCCGAGTCAAGGGATCACAAATTATGTACGCGGCAGCTTTCGACGTGCCCTTAGTATGAAAAAGTCCCGCTCAGATACAGGGAGTGTTGACACAGGGAACGCTGATGAGGATGAAACAGAGGTGGAGGCAGGTACATTACAGGACGGTATGGGGATAAAGTTCCTTTCCTTTTCTGACCCAATAGCGTGGACCTCAGTGTTGGAATGTTTTTTCTGCTAGACTCATGTTCGTTGTTTTTCAAAATTTGTTTGCTAAAAGAAATACTCATAACTTTTTATTTTTTATTAAATGGTAAGTACTTAGTTGACAAAGTTAATTTATTTGTATATCTTTTATCCAAAATTTACATAGTTATCTTTGGTTTTGCAATTTTAAATTAAAAATCATAGTGCACTATTTAAAAAAAAAGATTTAATAGTTATAGATTTATATTTTAGTTTACATTTACATTTTTTTCCCTTATAATCCAACATTTTTTTTACTTCCTCTGAATAATAATAGTTTAAATTAAATTGTTTCCATTTATCCCCATTTGGTTGATGTTTCTGCCTGAATTTCATGGGAAATGCAGTAAGGTGTTCAGTGTTCCTCACTCTTTCATAAGCTTGTCAATTGCTATAAAAAGCAGCTTATGCAAAAGGATGTTAATACTCTAATATTACTGCAGTTTTTATGCTTTTGGTGTACCATTCAAATGAAGTATGTGCTACTGCATGTGTCATATAATTCAGCATCCAAATTTGTAATTCATTTTAACTTATTGATTTTATTTATTATAATAGGGCAATGCAAATATCTTAAATTAAACGTTACATACTTTAATGAAGTCTTGAAGGTTTGTAGAATATCACTTCATTAAGTTTTAAAATGTACTCAATATATTTTGTTAGTATTGGCAAAATGTAAATTTAAAAGATCTGACTGACAAATATCATGCACTTTTTTAAGCATGGCTAATAGTTATTCCTTTTATTACCCATATTAAGATTAGTTTATCTTTAATGATTTTATTTTAATGATAGACAATAAGTATCCTATATTTAAAGTCTGAATTTTCTGTAGAAAGTTAAGTTTCATATTTATTCTGTAAAAACTTAAGTACATGTAATAAAATGTTTTAATTTTGAGTATTTTTAAGTATAATTAAGCAATTATTAATAATCTTACCCTTAACTCAAAAGAATCTCTTCAAACATTGGATTGCACTAAAAACATTATTTCAGATTCATGGAGTATTAGCTGTTTTACTTTTGCATAATGTGGATTAGCCAGTTTTGTATATGATAATAGCTAGTATTGCTGGTAATGATAATTAAACATTAAAGCTCACCCTTAGCCCAATCTGAAAAATAAAAGCTCTGCTTGGTTGAAATCTGAAATGTTTTCAACCCAAGGTCTTATATGCTTTGAATTTTAAAAAAATGTAGGGCCTAATCCTCACAGATCCGGTCTGTAACAAAATATTTTCTCACAGATTTTATCTGCTGAACTACTGTAACAAAATATTTTCTCACAGATTTTATCTGCTGAACTGTAACAAAATATTTTCTACCACAGATTTTATCTGCCTCTCCGTAACAAAATATTTTCTCCAACAGAACTAGCAGAGAGTGAGCATTACAATGGGTTTTGGGGCAAGTCTTTCGGCCAAGCGTGGCATTGGTTTAAAGAAAAAAAGAGAGCCTCTTCTGTAGCCTTAAATGCTAACCTCACCTACGTCATGTTACCTTGGCACAGAATTATTGCAGGTATTATGCTAGTTATTTTTTGTATTCAGATTACTCTGGATTAAGTTATCCATAATTTTTAATAAGATTTAAACTTTTACAATGTTCTTCAAATTGATTCCAACACCATTACCTAACTTAAAACAATATAAAGTTTAAAGACATCTGTAACCATAAAAAATTCACATTATGTTATTTTAATACTCATAATCTACAAACTAACCTACAGCATATATTTTCCAATGGTTTTCAGTGCAATATATTAAAAAAGTTGTATTTTCATTATGCACTTCACTTCACAACAAGTGTTTGCTTACATCTAGAATTACATTCAACTTGTTTTTTAAAAAGTAATAATCCTCAATTCAGGGCAATATAAGGGTTGATTTTGATAATTATGTTTTAAGTTATGTGTTTACACAGGCTTTTTTTTGTTTTGTTTTATCACGGTAGTTAAAATAGATTTTTTCATTTTTTTTTTAGTTACAGTGGTTGAAATGAGATTTTCTTCATTATTTTATTTACATTAGTTGAATTATTTTTTAAATTCTTTTGTTTTATTACAATGGTTAAAATGAGAATTTATTTTTCCAGATTTGTTGGATGAGCAACAGAAACCTGTTCTTACACACTGACAGTTGTTTCAGTTGTCATCAAGTCAGGTTCAACCTCGTGGCAGTATGTAATGAATCAGGTTCAACCTTATAGTAGTATGTAATGAATCAGGTTCAACCTTATAGCACTAGCAGTATGTAATGAATCAGGTTCAACCTTATAGCACTAACAGTATGTAACAAGTCAGGTTCAACCTCGTAGCAGTATGTAACAAATCAGGTTCAAATTTAAAGCAGTATGTAACAAAAGAGTTTCAAACTTGTAGCAGTATGTAATGAATCAGGTTCAACCTTATAGCAGTATGTAATGAATCAGGTTCAACCTTATAGCAGTATGTAATGAATAAGGTTCAACCTCATAGCAGTATGTATTAAGTCAGGTTCAACCTCTTAGCATGTAACAAGTCAGGTTTATTAATGTAGTTGTATGTAATGAATCAGGTTCAACTTCATAGCAGTACGTAATGAATTAGGTTTAACCTCATAGCAGTATGTATTAAGTCAGGTTCAACCTCACAGTATGTCAGGTTTAATTATGTAATTCATAGTCATCTTGGATGGTCCCAGTGTTCAATGTTGGCTCAATTGTATGGTAGTTTATAATTAGTTCTACAAAAATGCAGGGAAAAGATTATATACTTTTTGTTTAAAAAGTTATTGTGAATTTAGCAAAATGTATCATTAAAATTACGTATCATCATGTAATTTACTGACTATACATGTGCATAATGTATTTCATTTCATGTTGGCAGATAATGATATACTCTTCTACTTAAATAAATTTTACTGTTTAATAAGTTTCAGCATTAAAGCTTGTTGATAACTTTTTAATGTAATAGTTTATATTAATTAGAAAGATGCTGTTGTTTCTAAATTTGCATTTTTAATTGTTAAATTGAAGTAAATTTGAATCCCAGTTAAGATAAATAATGCTGAACAAGTTTTTTTTGTTAAAATAAATTCTTAATTTTTTAGTATTTATATTCTCATGAACAATTATTTTTGGCTAAGCCGCTGATTGATAAAAACTTGGATTTAGTAAGAATGAGAATAATCTCAAAGAATTATAAGAAAATAAAACCTAGTTATTCTAAGAAATTAGAACTTGTATTACTAATACATTACCGGCACGCCAAACTTAAGGTTTATCAAATTCTAAGAACGATTTTTAATTTATTTGTTCATTTTAATTTTAATCTACTGATGTGTAAATTTACTTTAAGATGAAACAACTGTAAATGAATTTCCTTTAACGATATAATCTGAGATGAAGCCTTCCAGTTACAAAAGTTATACATTTTATGACATTTTTTAAGTTAACATACATTTTCAGGAATAGATAAGCCACCATTCCAAATTCATTTGTAGATGATTTTAGGAACAAATATATTTATCCTTTACATAAGGCAGCAGTTAGTGTTTTTCTTAATGAGTCATAGTCTAAATAAGAGTTGAACAATTTTCATACTTGTCAGTTGAAAGTAACTAAAATGGTCAGAAATAACTTGGCCAGACAAGTTTATAATTACAATGTGGTCCATTTCATTATGGCTTCATATAAACAAAAGTACCATTGTGTTTATAACATAATGGCCATCTATTAAGTTAAGTTTTACTCACTTACATATTTTTTAAATAGCTACACTTCATACTAATGCATGCTATTGTAATAACACTACTATATTGAAACCAGTATTATGGCTGTATAAATGAGCTAAAACTTTAGTCAGATGTAGTTTATGTTTGCTCTGTAAGTCTGCATTTAGGTACTTTTTGTTGTTGATGTGTAAAAGCTAGTATCTTAAAGTCATTCCATTGTTATCTTTTGTAAAACATGTTACTTAAAACATGTTACATAATTTTACTCCATCGTGTTTTAAAAGTGTGCTGTTTTATTTTAAGTGCATGGTTTCGTAAACTGTTTTATGCTGGAAATGTTTAATATTTTCATCAAATAACCAGCAAGCGAAATGAATCTTGTATATCATGAAATGTTTGTATTCAGACCAATTAATCTGCAAATCGGTGCTGTCCACGGACCAACAGTTTGAGAAAGACTGATTGAGAATAAAGAGTTAATGTCATCCATCTACAGTGTCACGCAAGTCTCTTTAGAAGGATCAAATGTATCTCTTTTATTTGTTATAAGGAAGTTTTACTAAGTAAAAAGTGGGGAAATGTAAAATCAATATTTGTTTTGAAATAGTTTCTACATAAACCCGTTTAAATTAACTTATTTGATGTAAAAATATAATTTTCAGTGCAGCTATTAAAAAATGTTGTGACAAAAAAAATGTTTCTCTCTCCTCAAAACAGGTTGCATATCATTGGAAAAGTCTACCTGTACAATTATATTTCAAATAGATTGTTTCAACTAATGACCATATAGATAACGAGCATTTACTTACCACCAAATACTGCCACTATAAATTGCTTGATTACAAATGTGAACAATGATATAAAAGATCAGTCATTTATTGTAAAGCATTTTTTAATAAATTGCCACCCATTCTCCACACTTCTGTTGTATACATTATCATGTTAGCTGTCTACTCTGCTATACTTCATTTACCTTGCTATACTGTAAGCTGCTAATTAAACATTTTAAACGATCCCACCATATCTAAATTGTCATTGTAAATATTTGAGCCCCCATGTAATATAGTGGAAAATATTGGATAGATTTTTAATCAATTCTCTCTGTGTATGTTAAACTAAATTTAGTCAATTTAAATTACATTACCATTACAGTTAATAAATAAAATGCACTTCTATAGGAGTCATTTTAATTTTTAATTATTTATACAATAAATATATATTTACTGTATATAATAAATTGTCTTTAAATCTTTTAGTCTTTGAATGTTTTCATTATTGATCTCGTCTATTTATGAAAAGGCTTGGACTTAGGAAAAAACAATATTAAGTTGCTATTAAATTAATTTTCTTTCTTATAAATGAGCTCCTAGAAATTAAGTTTATGTTTAATCTGGTGATATATTTTTCTTTTTTTGATCAGTTTAAAAATTTATCTGTTTATTCATGGTGTAAATAGAATTGTAAATTATTTTTGTGCAATAAGTGTCAGAGAGCATTGTGGTACAGATTCAAGTTGTTAATCTCTTTTTACTTTGTCAAGATCTTGATATTTTTTTCCCAACATTACTTTAATATCATCACACTTTGGTTCTTTGCTTTTTACAACCTTGTGTTTAAGATTATCTAGATTTTCTCTAAATCCTTTTGAAACAAAGTCACTTTATTTTTTAGATTGATTTTTCAGCCTTCTGATTTGAGAAGTTTTGTTTTACTTTTTCAATTATTCAACATTTTTTTAAAATGATTTACAACTTTATCTTTATAGTACCTTCATTCTTTGTTAACCTAATTTATAAGATTTTATTATTTAAATATTTTTCAGGCTATCTTCTTCGTTTCTAATCTTGTATTTAATTGTATGTTTTTAATCATTCTTTTTATATTGTCTTTCATTTTTTATCATTTGGTTAGGTTTATTTTTTCAATAATATTATAAGTAAAAAAATTAGATTTTACAATAAGAGTGTAATAATGGCTGTTACCATGTACATTCTGTTGATTGTCAAATTGAAAAGAATCTTAAGTTTTTTAATTTGTTAAATTGTGACTGGAAAACTTGATATGAGAGTAAATTATCTTTAAAATGTTTTGTAATTATTGTTATGAGTTCATGAACATAAAAAACAATTTTTTTAAAAAAAAGCTTCCAAATGCTACTTAAAAAGATGTAATTGTCATTTATATTATTAATTACCATAGCTTACTTTTAAATTATTTAAAAAAATCAAAACTTGTGAATTTTAGAAACATTGTTAGGATGTACTTTACTGTGATTATCATTTTATTGTTAGCTATGTTATTTAAAAGTTACGAAAGTATACAACTTAATTATAATAAAATAGTGGTGATGCTTGTTTAAAAATCTTGAAGTCACTTCTTATAACATTTTAAAATCAGGGGACAGAAAATATGTAATTTAGAATTTTAGGTCTTAATTCTAGCACAAAAATGTGACTAAATAATTTAAATACATACTTTAGGTGTGACATTTTCTAAAATATTTTTTTTATTACAATTTGGGTGTAATTAAAAATGTACACGTGTACACTGGTTTACTGTTCTGTTACTGAGTTCAAAAATTCAAATATAATTCCAATTATTGCAATTTATTTTTAAACTTGCTTTCTGATTGTCCTTTACAGATGTTTTGAGTTGCCAACTTCTAAAAATGTGGAATGTGATAGTGTTCCTCTTCTATACTTACTTTTATTCCTACCATCGTTGTACGAGAATAATTTATTTGTATATTTATTACTGTAACATTGCTTTGTATGCATAATTTGATTATATTTTATTTTTCAAATGAACACCAAGTATGTTCTTGAAATAGATTTGCTGATATAAAAACTATAAGAGAAAATTTGTTGCATTATTTTGTTTTGGATGATTCTTGGATTGCTTTTCTATTTATATTCCCATTGATCAATTCATTTGAGAGGCTCTAGTTTACACACTTATCTGTTTTAAAAAGTACTTTTTTAAAAACTTTCTTTAGAATAAAAACAAACTTATAATGTAGAACATAGTGCTATACAGTATACCCAGCATGTTTAGTTTAGGTTATGTGTTTTAAAATCATGTCTATAGTACTACACAGTGACTGTGTAAGTAAATGTTTACAAAAGGGCTTTAAATTAACAATGATTTTTAGCAGAGAGAAACAAATCAAACATGTCACTTACAATATTTCTAACTTAGGTTTGTTCAAAATTCACCTGCTTTGCTAAGCTAGTCCAAAATTTTAAGATCACTGCTTATATTATAACAATTGCATAAAAGATGTTGAAGGTATTATGTGATGCCATAAATTATAATTATAATAAAATAATTTGTCAGGAGGGACGACAGGCAAACCTAACCTAACATAAGTTTAAAAGCATGGTCGAATAGTAGAGCTTACGATTGCTTTCCTGAAAGTCTCAAGTTCTAATCCCAGGCTTGAGTCAGTTAGACATCCCTGAGTCCACCTAGCTCTGATGGGTACCTGACTCACATTAGGAAAACAAAGGCAGCTGGGTATAGTGCTGACCACACTATACCATTGTATGCTGGGGTCATTGAAACATATGAACTCTACTTCATCTGCCCCATGTGTCTTGGGCACAAACGGGAAAAGATGATAATGTTACAATCAGTTTAAAATAAAAAGTAAAATACCATTTTGAACCTGATGGTCCATGGGGTAGGTGAAGTAGAGGTTACCTGTTTCTGTGACCTTGGCATAAGAAGGGATAGTGTAGTCAGTACTATGCCCAGCTGCCTTTATTGTCCCTAATGTGAGTTTGGTGAACTCTGATGTATTTCTGACACAAACCCGAGATTTGAACTCGAGGCTTTCAGGTTAGCAGCTTTACATTCTACCAACCAACTACGCCATCCCACTCACTCAATTTAGCCTAGTTAAATTTCATTCAACCAATATGGTTGTATCTTTAAACATATTAAAACTTAATTCTCACTGAATTCTACAGTATGGGACAGTAGTGTTATTAACATTTAATACATGTTAATATGATCATATGTAATTTTTTATATTTTATAGTACCAAAGACAGCAGAGGTTTTTTTTATGGGGGTGCTACAGATGACACCATATAGGGGGGGAGGGTGACACCATGGCAAAATTTTAAGTTGCAAAATATATATAAGAAATATGCTTCTTGCCAGTTCAATTAATGATTAATTAGAGTGAGTCCACCTTTATTAATAACTAACTATAGATAAGCATCTTTACTATTAAGTGTAAAAAGTTCCCTTTCAAACCTGACGGGCAAGTGAAGTAGAGTTCACTTGTTTCTGTGACCTCAGCATATGAAGAGATAGTGTGGTCATCACTATGCCCAGCCGCCTTTACTTTTCCTAACGTGAGTTAGGTACCCATCAGAGTTGGGTGGACTCGGGGACGGTCTACTGACTTGAACCCGTATTCGAGCTCAAGACTTACGGGTTAGCAGTCCAGCTCTCTACCACTAGACCACTCCGCCCCCTACTATTAACTGTATACACTTTAAAACTATCACCCAGAGGGAGGGGGGGGTGTGTGATACCAACTACGAAATTACAAAATTTACAGAGGAAAAAAGGTTTTGTTGAGCATATTGAATAACTGATAAGCCAATCAACGAGGGAGGGGGGGGGGGGGGTAACACCAAAATCTAATAATTTACGATGAAAACGATGCTTTTTCCACATGAATTAAGTGTTGGGTTAATATAATGTGTGCACAAATTGACGCCATTAGGCAAAATGGTAGGGGTAACACCAATTGCAACAATATATATAGGCCTATATGTATATAAATATATATATATATATATATTATATATAGGTATATATATATTATTAACTGAATGCATTCTTTTGTGTATTATAATTAATTTTCTAATTATTTTTCATTTCCCTGTGATAAATATATAGGCCTATAAAAATAAATTAAGCTAAGAAAAAATAATAACTTGGAGCAACTATGTATATTATATTGCCATTAATTATTTAATAAAAACTTGTAAAACTTAATTTGTTTTGTAGGTATTTATAAAATTTTATTTAAGGGGAGCTAATGGGAGTTGATTAAACCAGGTAATTCGCTTCCGGTGATTTTAAGACGTGTTGTTTACGTTTGAAAAAACAGGTTGACTTTCTTTATATTTAAATAAAAGAACTAGACATTTTAAACTTAAGTTAAATGAAATTTTCAAAAGTTGTAATGTTAAAGTGTTTTTTGATAAATAGCCTAGATCGAGATCTGTGTGCTTCAAAATTATTGTAACCATTATTTGGATCTACCAAACTCAAGTTGCAAATCTTAATCTGTCCTGTAGTGTGTCTGTGTCTCACTGACTCAAGTGACTACTGACCGTCTGTGTCTCAGTCCAGCTCAAATTTTTCAAATCTCAGCCACTCTCAGATGATGTTCAGTTACATAACATGACACACTGTTTTTGAAATAGATCTAGTTACTAGTTATTGACTCACCGTAAAATAACTAAAACTCAATCTTGAATCTAGAATCTAGATCTAGCTTAACTTACGTTAGATTAGATTGGCTAGATCTAGAATCTAGTTCTATTCTAGAGTAGCTCAGTAGATACAGTAGATAGATACTATTAGATACTGACTGTAGATACGATACTAGATTTGTGACTAGATAAATTACATTCAGAGCTCAGAGTGTATGCTGGATGTGTTATCAGTGTCCAATTGGCCAATAATGGCACAATGTTTGTGAATAAACAGAGCCTATTTAATAAATAATGGAATCTTCTTAAAATTAAAAAGGAGTGTTTCTGTTCACCCCTCCCCAAATTAACTGGTAGACTAATTAATTAATAATATATTATATTTAGTCCCTAAATAATTTAAAAAATAGGCAAGGCCTAGTGCCTAGTAAATACAATTAATATCACTTGCTAAACTATGTCTACTCATTAACCCACCTATTTAAGTATTTTCATAAGAGTTTTGTCAGTCATAAAAGTAAAAGTAATACTAAACAATAGGCCTACTCCTTGCTTTTTTTCCGATAATAGTTCAAGTGACCATGTCAAGATCTAATCTATAGATTATGCCTAACAAAGCAATTACGTTCTCAATAAACTGTTATAGCTTTCAGCTACTTTATTTAAATCTTTCTTTTTACAGAAGCCAGTTTATAAGAATGATGCGACATGACAGCAACTCAATTATATCATCCCTTCAAATGGACTATGCAGACTCAGATGAAGAAGAAAACGACTCCAAGAACAATTCTAAAAACAATCCAAATGATTTTGCTTTAGACGATGCTAAAATGGAAGAAGAAACACATGATTCTGTTTCTGGGGAGATTCCATTTGAATCACAAATGACTTACCTCGAAAAAGACACTGACAAAGTCTCCCCAGCCACAGAAAGAGATAGTGAAGATAAAAGTGAAGCAAGAAAAGAACCAGAAGTGAGTCCAGCTGAGCTTATATCTGATGATGAGGATGGTCACACACACAGTCAACAGCGCCACCGTCACTCCCCACACATATCAGAATTTAATAGGAGGTTAGCAGTCTCCGACGCAGTTAATACAGATTCTCCCTCCAGTCAAGGGTCAGTGAAACCGGGAAAGAAAGGTACTGTCAGACATCACAATGTTTCAATTATTTATATGTATTTTTATTCAATTGATAATTATAAATTAATTTAATTATAAATTTAGGCTTTTCTTTGGTTTAATAAATATTCTCATTATTTTTAGCTACGCGCTTGGTATCTTATGGTCCAGATGAAGACCTGGATGAAAATAGCTCAAGTGAAGAGATTGAAGAAGAGGAAACCCCAGAGGTAAATAAATTTCTACTTTTCCATTCATTTGTATTCTGTTTTTTTTTTTTTGTTTATTTCCAACGATGCAAAACATTTCTCTTTTTTTTTTTTTTGACATGGTATCTCATATTTATGTTTTTGTTTACAGCTGATTTTTTAAAAATTGTCTTTAAAAAGTCTAAAATTTAGGGAAACAATGTATGATTTTAATAATTGATGATCGTAACATTCATTTTTATTTTTAACTTTTATTTCCAGCTGAGTGATTCAAACAGTCCAGAACTCACATCCACAGATGCTTGTAAGTAGTGTTGTCTTTAAAATATAAAAATGTCTTTTTAAAAAGAGAAATAACAGCTAAAATTCAGTTACTAACACTAACATTACTGAAATGCAAAAGTGTCTGAAACTCATGCTACTTCCCCCGTCCATCCCTAGGACTAGGATGCCTTTCTTATCCAAAATAATTGTCAATGGTTGAGCAACACATTAATGCAATTATGATTTGATAACTTTTAAAATTTGAATTTTATCACTTTATCTAATAAGGAAAAAAGTATATTTGCTTTTAACTAAATACTGTGTTGTGTTATCTATCTCACTCAATATTTTATTTACCTTCGATTTCTAAAGCTATACTTTCGAGAAGCGTCCAGAATATGGCTAGTGATGATATTAAAATCCCACCAGAACCTACAGGAAAATGTTCTGTCCAGTTACAGGTTAGTTAATTTGAATCTTGGTTTTCATTTTCTATTTAATATTTTGTTATATTATTAGAATCAATAAATTACATATGCAATTGCCTTCGTGTATACTGTTTTTGTTACAGAAAAAGGTTCAAGACTTGCATGAATAAATTTTAATTTTCAGTTATTTTTAAAAAAATGAAACAGACATTTACATGTTTAAAGGTCTTTGTGTAAACTATTTCTGTTACAGAAAAAAATTGAAGACATGTATGAAAGAATGAGAAGAGAGGGGCTTGATTTGAATAGGGCTATACAGAGCAAAAAGAATTTTAGGAATCCCAGGTAATTAAATTGTCTTTGTGTATCAGAAAGTCATCATAGGAATTCACAAGGAATTCCTCATAGAATTAATCATTTAATGATATCATATAAGTTAATAAACTTCTCATAATGGGATGTCTTTAAAGAATACAGCAAAGCTGCTGAATATACTACTAAAACTGTATGCCAGTAAATTTTCAGTAACATTTCTTTTTCACTATGTGTTTAACTTAACTATAATTGATTTAATGAAAGGCTGTTCAATGCATGACCATTCAGAATTTCAATATAGAAATTCTTTTTCTCCATAGATCTTTTTGCTTGTCTATACTTTTTATATTTTATTACATCAATTGTGTATATATTTTCATGATGCAATTTTATATTTACAGTATTTATGAAAAACTTATAGACTATTGTCACATTGATGAGAAAGGAACAAATTTCCCACCTGTAAGTTGAAGTTTTTCAGTCATTAAAATAAAGTTATTTATTGTCCGACCTAGTGAAATTGAGTGTAAAAAGATGAATTTAAAAAATTAATGGATGGTCAACTTTTTGATGGTGTATTTCTGTTTTCTTCTAACTTATTAAAAGTTATTAATTTTTTTCTTTAGGAAATATATGACCCTCATATATGGGGAAAAGAGTCATTCTATGATGAGTTAGGTAAGTTTTTCAGTGTCATTTGGTAATCTCTTTAGGTTATGAACATAATAGGTTTTACCCAGATATCACTTATATATAACTCAATAATGACTTATTAAATTGTAGAATAACTCACTCCTTTACTTCATTTTGAAGTATTTTTGATACTGATATCTTTTTAATAATACCGATTTTTAACACTTTAATGAATTTCTTGCAGATAAGCTACAAAGAAAAGATATGGAACGAAGAGAGAAGGAAAAGAAGGAAAGAACTAAAGTAAGTTTTTATGTTGAGAAAAATTAACTTTTTTTAATATTTTGCAAAGAAAACATTTTTCTTTTAGGTCTTTAAAATATTTAATTATTTTTGCTAGCATTTAATCTAAAAACATGGCCTACAGGCTTTAAAAGTAAGGTTTTAAAATAAAGATTCGTTTTTATTTCTTTCTTGTTAAGATTGAATTTATGACGGGCACAAAGAAACCAGCTTCTGCAGATGGAAGTGTTGGTCCTTCAGGTAAGTTAAGTCTTTTCACCTTCAATGTTTGATCTTATCTGTATATATATATGGTATTTTTAAGTTCTAAAAATCTAAGATTTTGCTATGTGGACTTCTCCACCTTGAATATATGAATGTGATATTTAAACTTCTAGAAAAATCGATCTTGGTATTTGAAATGCTTATTAAGTGTAAAAATCTTTCAATATTGTTGCAGATGAGAAAAAGAGAAAGACAAAATGGGATGCCCAGCCAGCAAGTATTATTCATGTTTCCAAAATCCCATCAGCCTCACAGAATCCAGGTGTTGTTAATCTGACAGCTATGGCCACAGGTACAAAAGCCACCATCATTCCAGCAGTTGGGTCATTATCTAAAAAACCTTCATCATCGTCAGGGAAATAAAAAATAATTTTTTTTTTACAAACTGTTTAGAATTTATTGCATTTTTAAGGCAGAGTTAAGCATTTCACCAGAATGTGGTGTTTTTAGTTACTGCATTGACATATTTACCTTAATATCAGGTAAATTAAAAAAAAAAATTTGTTGAAAAGCACAAGACAGTATAGTATAGCTTCAAATCTGTCATAACTTTAAATGTTACAATAATATATGAACTGGGTTGTTTTGTTTTGGTTGATTAATGGAAGCCAAAATATTTAACTGTGTTATGTCACAGACTGACATAAAGGATGAAACTTTTGAGGTGTAAATACAGTGATGTGATTATGGCAAGGCACAAAGGTTGGCATATATTTGTCCTCCCTACCCCCATGTGCTGGAATCTGAATATCTATGTGACTAAATATCCAGTGCTAAAGATGTTTTATTTAAATTTTTTTAGCTTTTCTATAATCATAATTTTGGTGTGAACAGAAGAGAAGTATTTTTTTAAAATTACATGTTTAAAGTAAAATATCATTTTAACATTTATTTGAAAAAATTAAGATTTTCTAAAAAAATTTTTGTTTCTGAAGTAAAATGTAATAGCTTTGCCAGCACAAAATGTAGTGTACCATATGTTATGCTTAATTAAGCATTTGTAAATATTCTCAATTATCAAGACATATTACTGTACATATAGTTATAGAACCTAATGAAAATAAGGCAATAATGTCATTTTGTTTGTCCATGTGTAAGCTTTATTGAAAATATATCTGATGAAATACACCTTGTTGTTGCGACTCTGTAATTAGTGTAAAGTCAACTCATTTTTATGAAACCAATAAAAAAAAGAGAAATTTGAAAAATGTTTTTGTGTTGTTAATGTACTTGAAAGTTAAAGCTTAGCAAGAAAGTGTCTTAAGTTGTTAAAAGAAATAATTTTGGTGATACAATTTTCAAGAGTTGAAGCCATCGACAAGTGACAAGAAGCCAGTTTCCCCCAGCCAGACACTTTTAGGTAATGGAAAAATATGTTTACATAGTACTGTATCTTACTGCTGCTTACCCACAGCTTTTGTACTGTGGCACACAGTCTCATGTAATGGGAAGATTTATTTACATAGTGCTTTATATTGTTATAAACAGTTCTTCATGGTAAGACATACCAGTTTGTATTTTTAAATAACATTGGATTTTTAAATTATAGCTCCCATATTACTTTTTAAAGTAATTTAGCTCTAAACCTGTCTGGATTAATTTTTTTTTAATGTTTAGTTCAAGTTTAAAAAGTGAAAGAAAGTAGGTCTTTGCATGACAAAATGTTTTAAGGTTCCTGAAATAAGTAGATCTAAGTGGTAGAGCATTTTGACTCAATTTGGCAGAGGTTGATTGTTTTTTAACGGGAAAAAAAACTATATTTTAATATGATTTAAATATAGATTCTAGATCTAGTTAATAAAAGTGTTTTAATAGGGAACTGCATTATATAATAAACTTATTTTAAAAGCCCAAATGCCTTTTTATTCCGCTAAACCCATTTTTTTATCAACCAAAAATTAATACGCCCCCCCCCCTATCATAACGTATCACACATAAAACCTAGATTACAGGTGCGTTTGACTTTCATTATATCAATGACACCCTCCCCTGTATATAAATTATTATCACTCAAATTAGCGTAGGCTGCAAATGGGGTGGGGGGAAGGGAGATTAAAAGTGAAGAAACTTTAAAAGTTTAACGAGGTGTGCCATAATAAATGCGAATCAAATTTACGCTTAAAAAATACTAAACTCAATAAGTTCGATTATAATATGATATATTTAAAAAATAATTAAATCAATTATGCATTATAAATGTTTTAACTTTAAAAAATTACACTGTAATATACTGCTCTAAAATAATTTAGTTAGGCCCCTATTTTTGCTTGGCGCGAGATTAAGTAAAAATTAGGAATATCCAAAAACTATATATTCTGTGCTCTGATTGTGCCACCACCCTCGAAAGAGTCGATATACTTAGACCAAAAATCTAACACTGACATTATTGATTAATTGATTATTCACTATTATTTAAGAATAATAATTCATTTAGCCCACCACAATGTGTGACTACGAATCAATAAGGATAAAAAATTTAGAAGACAACCGTCGAGTTTTGGCTTCATTTGGTCTTTTGGACCCGGTAGTTACAAAAAAAAAATGATTTTTTATTTCATTGTATTTTTGTATTGTTCTAGATCTAGATTCCTGATCTACTATCATGATCTAGTCTAGATCTAGGCCTGATCAGTTTTTTTAACTAGTATCTAGATCTAGAGTCTAGTATTTTTAGTGAGAAAGGCATCCTGTGGGGAGGGGGGAAGTAGCATGGCCATGAGTTTCAGACACTTTTGCATTTCAGTTATGTTAGTAGGGCCTAACTGAATTTTAGCTGTTATTTCTCTTTTTAAAAAGACATTATTTTTAACTGTAATAATAGAATTGATAAATATAGGCCTACTGAATAAATATTTTAGGAAGCAATTGTACTTCAAAATAAAATCAATTGGAGTTTTGAGTGGGTGGATAAGATGAGATCTGGATTTTTGTGAATATTAGTTTAATTTTAATTAGCCTATCTATAGGCATTAGGTTATATTTTAAATTTTTTTATTTCAGTTCAAATCTCTGCCTCGTGTTATCAGACAAAAAAATGTTTCAAAACCTACAAGTACAAAGAAAAATGAGAGGAAAAGGCCAGCACCAGCTGATGATATTATCGGTGGTTCATTGTATGGATCCAGACGCAAATCTGCAAGGCTACAAGGACAGGTTGGAATATTCACACACTCTGGGGCTTTTTGTTCTACTGGGAATTTCAAGAGGGGGGGGGGGGGGGGGGGGGGGGTTAACACTTATTGCTATAGTTCTAACTAAATATCTTTTATGATTTTAATTTATTTACTTTTTTATTTTGAACTCGTAGTTTACTTTTAACAAAGTGTGACAGAACCAATTTCTTCTCTAAATCAGTGTCTATTAAAGACACAATTCCGACATTCTCTTCAAAAAGAGGTGTTAAGCTATTCCTAGTAAACTAAATGCTAAATAACTTGCTAATGCTATCCCAAACCTGAACCTAAGTCCCAGTGGCGTAGCGAGGTCTGGTGTCACCCGGAGCGGCACTTAATGGTGTCACCCCCTCAGAGGTCCCCTTACCGGGGACAAATTTTTAATTTGCACCCTTCCCCCCTCAAACTTCCCCCCCCCCCCCCCCCCCCCCATACTATTTTTTGCCTTGGTGTCACCGCCCCAAATAGTGTCACCCGGTGCGGTCCGCACCCCCCCCCCCCCCCTCTGCTAAGTCCTACCACAGCCTTAACCCTAGTTTCTGACCCTAACAATTAATCTGATTTCACAGTTCTTCTAACAACCTGCTTTCAGAAGAGTCTGTTGTTTGACACTGGTAACACCAATCCTCAACTTTGTACTATAAATTATGAACTCTTATTCCTTACTCTAGTACTGGTTCATTAACTGATTTACTTTTAAGTACCCTGGATTGTAACTGTAATTAATCAGCTGATGACTTTAATTTGTTACAAAACTATTTGGATGATATATGAATATAATGGCAAGGCTTATTGACAAATGGGCTTCTCTCCCCCACACTTCACGATTTAATGACCTAAAGATTAATTGAACATTTAAAAATAATTTATTTTATTTTACATTTTATAATCCAGTAGAGGACAAATGTGTCACAAAATGGGATAGTCTAATATTGAAAGCTTTTTCAAGTAGGCCATATCATTTATTGATGAAGATTTCATTAAATTTTAGGTTCCCAATTTGGATGCAGTAAACTTTGTTGATAATGATGAAGAAGAAACTGAACGCCCACAAAAATTACAAGCTAACAGACCAAACTTTTATGGTGCAGTTCCTGGTTAGTGATATATTTTTATAAATTTATTCGTTAAAGAATTTACAGCTTTATTGTTCATCTCTGTTGTAATTAGTCCAGGTTGGGTTGAACCCCAGTGGTTTGGTGGAGTTCAAGACACACAACCGATTTATATGAATCATGATTGAATTTTGTCAGTGTGGACAATAGAATTCTAAGAAGGGTTTGTTGAATAAGTAAATGAAACTAATTGTTCAGTACCTCCAAAAATGTTAAGAACCACTTAATTCATCTGTACTAGAAATCAGCAAGAAATATACTCCTTATTTTTTAAATATTTATAGTGACTGAAAATGGAATAAAATTATAGGTTGGAGATTTAAAAGGAATGTATTGAACTAATATCCTTCTTAAGTCATACTAATATATTTCAGTTGTTAAATTTCACCCCTTATTCATGTTGAATAGTTATGTAAACAGAAAGTTATATCACATATCACTTTCTGTTTACATTGCTATTTTAGTAACAACGCCTGCTTCTATCCCCTCTACATGTTGAATAGTTGTATCCAAGAAACATGAACTAGGCCTACACCATTATTTAGCCTCAGTTTTTATTATAAGTTAAATAATTCAAATTTTTACTATCAGATTATAAAACTTTCAGGAGTTGAAGTTGGTACAACGTGGCTGACACGCATGGAATGTTGCAGAGATGGGATACATAGGTGTGTAGGTTTTAAAACTAGTCTCCCCACAATCCAACACATTAACTTCTTTCTGTTCCTTTTTACTCACTTATGAGCTTAATACTGAGGACATACCTAAACCAGTGAACTTTATCGCTGGATATTTTCTTCACTTCAGACCATTTCAATCCAACATCTCCCATCTCCCTTTGAAAAGATCTTTTCCAGTAGGTCTTTCTTTCTTTCTATGGCTCATTCACCAAGTGTTATTTTAAGTCCTGATAGTTTACCAATCAATCTCTCACTTACTTTCCAATTCATTATTTTTAAGTTATGTTTGTCTACATGGGGCTGGGTAGTCAAATGGTAGAGCATTTGTTTGAAAGTCTCAAGTTTGGGTCTAAGAGTCCCAAGCAAGTCCCTGAGTCCACCCAACTCAGATGGTTACCTGACTTACTTTAGGAAAGTAAAGGCAGCTGGGTATAGTGCTGACCACACCATCCCTTCATATGCTGAAGTCATAGTCATGTCCTTTGGGCTGCCAGGTCTGAAAGGGAACTTTTCTTCTTTCTATGTATATCTACAGCACATTAGCTCTATAATTGTTAAAATATCAGTCATCGGTTAGGGGTCGGCCTGGTCGAGTCGTTAAAGCTCATGGTTGCTAAACCGAAAAGTCTCGAGTTCGAACCCTCAGGCAGATGAGGCTCGTTAGCTGGGGACAGCCACTCTTCTAGGAGAGAAAACTCCAAAATCAAACAACTGCTGCCTTGTAGTTGGTTCTTGGTTGGACAAAGGCTATGGAAGCAAATCCAAAAAGAAAAGCAGGCTGAAATCGGAGTTGATAGCCTCAATGGTGCACAACCAGTTGAGTAGCGCACAACCAGTTGACACGTATCCTTAATTGTGTTGGAGGGGATCCCTTCCAACACTAAAATTAAGAACGAAGAAGAAGTCATCAGTTCATAACTTTTCTGTTGTTCTTGTAGGCCAACTGTTGCTGGTATTCACGGGGGTGAAAACGGAGCCTACTCCATAGCTCTGTCAGGAGGTTATGAAGATGATGTCGACCTTGGAGAATGTTTTACCTACACCGGAGAAGGTGAGTAAATGAGAAAAAATTTACACAGAATACTTACTTGATTATCTAGCTTTGTTTTTGTATATTGTAATATGTATTATTTGGGGTTAAATTGTTTGAAAATGAACCCTGAATAACTTTTCCAAAGGGATCTGAATATTGGTTGAAAGATGCATAGATAAGTAAACATTTTCTGCAAAATGTCTGCTCCTTCATTGAAATGTTTTTAAAATGCTCATTTAGATTTATTCATTGTTTGATTGTGATACATATTGAATTGCATAGCCAAAGGATGATACATCTAGTATGTCAGAAGAATGTATTGTAAAAATGTAATCAGTACAGGTCCATTAAATACAAAAGCTATATTACATCAAGCATTTGAACAGAGATAATATCAAATAATAAAAATGTTTGCTTTATAATTTAAAACCTTTTTCTCCAGGGGGTAGAGATTTGAAAGGCACTAAAGCTAACCCTAAGGTAACATATTTTTTATGTACACATTTAATAACAGTTACCTTAAAAATTCAATATTTCCTTTTGTGTATTCACGCCTATAATTTATTACCTCTATCCTAATTTGTTGAATTAAATATACCACATAATTTCTACAGAACCTACGTACAGCTCCGCAGTCAAAAGATCAAACATTAACCAGAGGCAATTTAGCTCTTAACAGAAATGTGGAAACTAAAAATCCTGTACGTGTTATCAGAGGCTACAAACTGGACAGTCCATTTGCTCCTGAAGAGGGGTACAGATATGATGGTAACTTGTTTGTTTCTTTAAATTTTCATTCAAATTTTTAAAAAAATCATCATTTATTTAATTAAGGATAATTTTTTTGTTTGCTTAGAGTGTTAAAATTTTTAAAAATGCAACTTCTATTATTTCACCACAGTCATAATGAATTTATCCAAATGAAAATTATTAATATTAACTAGATGCATGATTTTATGTTTTATATCATGAGTGGCTACTGTACCAAAAATTGAAGTTTAGAGTGACTTCCCTTTATCTCATATTTTCTAGGCCTGTACACAGTTGAGAAATGCTGGTTCACTACAGGTCTGTCTGGCTATGGAGTTTGGAAATTTGCTTTAAAACGCTGTGATGACCAAGCACCCCCGCCTTGGCATTTTTCCACGGTAATTTCTGCTGACATTTATTAGTTAGTGGAGTTTGAAGAGGCCTTAATAAAAATTATCATTTAGACAGAAAGTAGCTTAAAGGCAAGTTCGGGAACTGAAAATTTGGGGGAGGGGGGGGGGGGGGCGGAAAGACATTGTGGTAAAATAAAACGTTTAAAAAAAAATCTGACTTCTTAAAAATTAAATTCTTAATCTCTTTTTGTTATATTTGTCAGTTTCAATATATTTCAGCTGCACAGTACAAGTTTTTTAAAAAAGATTACAGTAAATACATGATATGTCAATTTAAACTTTTTTAGGCACCTGGATCACCACATAAATCTTCAGGAAAAACCCAAGATAAAACCTCCAATGAAAGCCAAGATGAAGATTCAACCTCAGGTGACAATAATGAAGCCTCGGCAACCAAGTGTGATAAAAAATTAGATGAAACTCCAACCCCGGGTGATGATAAAAAACAAAATGAAACCTCAGCAACCAAGTATGATAAAAACTTAGATGAAACTCCAACCCCGGGTGATGATAAAAAACAAAATGAAACCTCAGCATCTAATGGCGATAAAAACATTGATGAAACAAATGGTGACTCAGCTGATGAAAGAAGTGAAGATTAGCTCGTTAACTTATCTCAAATATTTTTTAAATAAAATGTTTTATTTTTACTTAATGTAATCAAAGGTTCATTCCTGTATATACAAATATTTTAAGATACTGTGTATGTATGATCAAACTGGCAGCTAACCAGTTGAAGCATTTTTTAGATAATTTTTAAAAATATTTTAAGATTTTTAAAATATACTTTTTTAAGTTTCTTCGGATGAAATGGTATGTTTATACAAGTACCAGCAATAAATTTTTATATTTTTTTGTAACAGATTTGTTTTTTTTTCTTTGTTGATGTGTAAAAATGTGCATACATTATCTATAAGTAACACCATACTATTTTGTGAACAAATGTTAAAATATGACAAATCAGTATAGAAATATTAACATGTGCATTTGATGAGTTCAATACAAGATATTTTTCTTGTGTTTTATTTAGGGGTGACTTACATTATAGATGTATTTTTGTTACTACAGACTTGTTTTTTAAGTTCCCATCAACAATCAGCATTTTGGGTCAAGACCTCTCCTGGAGAAAAATTGGCTTCAATGTTACAAGTGTGAGATCTGACCCCACACTTCATATCACAATGGTTAGCCCTGAACAAGGCCTATATTATGAGCACATTGTAATTTGCATCATCACGTGCAAATGGGAAGTATAATGCACATAAATAAAATACATAGAAATGTAGCACTGATTTGTTTTTGCAAACTTGCTTGAGCTAGAAACCACCACACATCCCTGTTCACAGATTAAACTCCTTTAAAAAAACGAACGGATCAATTTAAACATTGATTTGTATGCCCATATGAAAACCAAACAATGGTCGGTTCACTTGGGCGAAGATATACACGTTGAAATGAAGACAAGAAATTACTATTTTAAAAGAGGGTACCAGTGACCACTGTTCTATACATTTATATGGGGGGGGGGGGGGACTTCAGTGTGGGTTCATTCGTGATGTAACAAAGGAGGAAGTTGGTGGTCTATAGCAGGGGTCTCCAAACTGCGGCCCGCGAAGTCCTCTCATCCGGCCCGCGGAGATCTTTTTGTCCAAGGAACAAATCGTTTGTTGGTGATGACTGAGGAACTTTGCTCAGAAAAATCAAAGACATGCCTGGAAGAAACTGGCCCCCGAACTGAAATTTGATAGTTAATGCGGCCCTCGGACTGAAAAGTTTGGAGACCCCTGGTCTATAGAAATGTTAAATGCTAATATATGTGGTCCGAAGTGGGTTAAAATGTTATAAAAGTAGTTATCCTTTCGAATTTGTCTATAGGATTGATGGACTAGGGTTCATCAGTTGTTTTTTTTTTGGTGACATATGAAGGAATATTGTGGTCAGGTCTATGCGTAGCCGACTTTACTTTCTCCAACTTGAGTTAGGTACTTATCAGAGCTGATTAGATTCGTACTGACTTCAGGAAATGAAGTAGAAAATTTCTGGTTAGCAGTCATGCGTACAAGCCCCCTACCACATCGTCCCATATCGTACAGGCATTGGGTGAGTGCGATGTCTATCATAAAACATTTTTCTGGATACATTTAAAAGTACGCATTTTTTTAAAATAATGCGGTCGCTTTAAGTCGCCACATATTGCACACATTGCGCTGCATCCAATTCTTTCGTTCATTTCGTGACATTTATATTACAAGAAACAAGAAAAATTAATGCAAGTATAGTTATTTAATGCAATAATGGTTATTTCATATTTTTATAATCAATTGTAAAAGATATTTAATCTTCGATACATACATTTTATTTTGAAAGTGTAATTATTTAAAGCAATAATGGTTATTTTATTCTTTTATAATCATTTATTATAGGTGTTTGAACTTCAATAAGTACATTTTATTTTGCAAGAGTAAATATTTAATGCAATAATGGTTATTTTATGTTTTTATAATCATTTGAATAAGGTATTTGAACTTCAATTTATACATTTTAGTTGGATCTTTGCATCGTAAAACATAAAAAGTAGACTTTTTAAAATGATTACATTTGGAGTTATGCTATTTGATGACGGTAGCTTTTTTAAAATTTATTTTTATTTATAAAAAAAATTCAAAGCTGAAATCCTAACATAAGAAACGTATACCACTTGGTAGAATAGGATAAGACAAAGTTTAGGCTGTGGTAGGCCAAGAATAAATAGGCATTTTTTTTTCCTTTTTCCGATTTAACGACATTACTTCACAAGCCATTGATCCTAAACTGCTTCACTAATTCGATTTGACTAACGAAGCGTTTTTTTTTCTTCAATTTTTCCCTCTTTGTTTTTCCTTCTTCTTTTCTTTCCCTGGTTTTTCTTTCTTCTTTTCATCTACGTGTTTTTCTTTCTTCGTTTCGTCCCCGGCATTTTCTTTCCTCTTTCCACTCCCGGGTTTCGTTTTCTTTTCCCCTTTCTTAGATTTTACCGACCTTTTAGTGATCTTGTTTTTTTCCCCCAGGGAAAAATCAGCTTCCTCGACATCTCTGATCAGGCGCTTGACACCACCCACCGCTTCACCGAGGTCGGACACGTTTTTTATTGTGTTCTTGAAGAAATTTAATCCAGCGGGGTTGACCACAGACAAGTCCATCTCCCAGTGACCCTCGGCTCCATTTTTGAGAGAACCGAAAACCAAGTTGTCTTCAACCGTATTAGAAACACTTTCCGTTTTATCAATAGGGCGGTTTTTTTCCTTAGTATAATCTATAGGACGTGGGATTCCATCTGGTCTTTCGTTTCCATAGTTGATCTTATTTAGGTTTGTTTCGCTATCTTTTTTTGTCCCGGGGAAAATGGCTTCATTTTCTCTTTCCGGCAAATTACTTGTTTTTACATTATTCTGATTCTTTGAAATACTAAAGGGATCATCGTCCCCACGTTTGGTTAAAATATCAATCATTCTTTTAGGACGTTCGGCTGCCCTGTCGTCTCCCGCCTTATCATTCAGCTCAAGCTTTACTGGCAAATACTTATATTGTTCGGTATCATCTCGGCCAGATTTTTCAGACGGTTCGATCATTTTTTTGTTTTCCCGTTTCTTTTCACCGCTCATAATAGATGGGTTGATTTTTTTTTCGTCCTCGAGAACGGCCATCACGGAACGTTTGGCTATCTGGCGATTACTGGAATCAAAGTATTGGACGATAACTTTATCGACTATTAAATTGGTGTATTGGCTGCATAACTGTGACGCAATTAGGCCGGCAAATGTAACATTTTTTACTGCACGTTCTAAAATGTGTCGCATGACGCGTCTGATTGGGGCGATAGTGTCCAAGGTGGTTTGGCAGACTGGAATTCCAAACCTTATATCCAAGCTCCATGGGTATTCCAATGGACAGCCATCGAATTCTATATTTTGCATTTTAAAAAAGATGCATTGTTTTTCATCGTGGTTAACTATGGTTGACCATTTTGCCCTGCGGAAAATTAAAGGAATTAAAAATAATATCTTTTGTCATGTTTTATTGCTAATTTTCATTGCGATTAAAAAATGGAAAGTTAAATTTTGACCCTGTTGCAAACATGAATTGAAAAGTATGATATGAGTTACATTAAGTTATTCATTTATGTGAGCTCCACATAAAGTAACGTCGTTTCCATAGAATCAATACTGTTTCAACTCCAGTTGCAAAAACCTTTTCACAACAAGGCATTATAGTTATAGTATTGTTTTCCTTTATATTTTTTTTAATATTCAGATCCTGGTGAAATGGAATTGTTGTATACTAAATGTGAAAGATATGGCTACGAATTTTTAAACCACGAATCCGTGATGTATTTAGAACAAGATGGTGTAAAAATCTCCAAAAAAGTAATTGAGTTTAAAAAGTCTGGTTCTGTGGGAGGGACGTGGTGTGAGCTACAGCATATAATTAGTTAATCTGTGCTGAACGTTATTTATTGATCTGAGCTGATTTCGAACAGTTCCTTAGACTTGATTCACAACGTAAAGCGCACCCTAGGTCATTGACAAACAGCGTACTCCAGGTGAAGGACGTAAAACAACCCAGGTCATGTCCATACAAGGTAAAACAACCCAGGTCATGGCCACACAAGGTAAAACGTACAACCCAGGTCATGGCCACACAAGGTAAAACGTACAACCCAGGTCATGGCCACACAAGGTAAAACAACGTAGGTCATGGCCACACAAGGTAAAACAACCCAGGTCAAGGCCACACAAGGTAAAACAACCCAGGTCAAGGCCACACAAGGTAAAACGTACATCCCAGGTCATGGCCACACAAGGTAAAACGTACAACCCAGGTCATGGCCACACAAGGTAAAACGTACAACCCAGGTCATGGCCACACAAGGTAAAACAACGTAGGTCATGGCCACACAAGGTAAAACAAACCAGGTCAAGGCCACACAAGGTAAAACAACCCAGGTCAAGGCCACACAAGGTAAAACGTACAACCCAGGTCATGGCCACACAAGGTAAAACAATCCAGGTCATGGCCACACAAGGTAAAACAACCCAGGTCATGGCCACACAAGGTAAAACAACCCAGGTCATGGCCACACAAGGTAAAACAACCCAGGTCATGGCCACACAAGGTAAAACAACCCAGGTCATGGCCACACAAGGTAAAACGTACAACCTAGGTCATGGCCACACAAGGTAAAACGTACAACCTAGGTCATGGCCACACAAGGTAAAACAACCCAGGTCATGGCCACACAAGGTAAAACGTACAACCCAGGTCATGGCCACACAAGTGAAAACAACCCAGGTCATGGCCACACAAGGGAAAACGTACAACCTAGGTCATGGCCACACAAGGTAAAACAACCCAGGTCATGGCCACACAAGGTAAAACGTACAACCCAGGTCATGGCCACACAAGTGAAAACAACCCAGGTCATGGCCACACAAGGGAAAACGTACAACCTAGGTCATGGCCACACAAGGTAAAACGTACAACCTAGGTCATGGCCACACAAGGTAAAACGTACAACCCAGGTCATGGCCACACAAGGTAAAACGTACAACCCAGGTCATGGCCACACAAGGTAAAACAACCCAGGTCATGGCCACACAAGGTTAAACGTACAACCCAGGTCATGGCCACACAAGGTTAAACGTACAACCCAGGTCATGGCCACACAAGGTAAAGCATACCCTTACTCACTACACACAACATTAAGCGAGCTACAGGTCATAAAAAGCTTACCCAATATCATGTATGATCTCACTGTACTGATACCCATCGCTCGACAAATATCTCCTGTGTATACACTGGGACTCTGACAAGAAGTGCTTAAAGCCGTTGCTCTACAAGGGGGAAAAATAGCTTCACTAAATTGTTGGCATAAGATTGGGGTGTTATTTATGCAAATCTATAACTGACTAGATAAATGGCCCGTTGAGGAAGGGTACAACGGGCGCTAGGCTGATAGTGCTGTCTCTTTTCTCTAAACTAAAACCATCCCACCCCCCCACACACACACCCCCACCCCCAACCCCTTACCCCCACCACCCCCACCCCCCACCCCCACACACCTCCACCCCCCACACACCACCCACCCCCACCCCCCACACACACCACCCCCACCCCCCACACACCACCCCCCACCCACCCCCACCCACCCACCCCCACCCCCCAAAAAAACATGTCTACCGTCCCATTCAACGAAATATAATTATATACTTTTTCCAGTGTCCGCCCCCTTCCCGAAAATTCTACCCCCGCCCCCGAAAACCTCAATTATAGAGTATCGATGAAGAAATTTCTTTTGAGTTGGGGAGGGGGGGGGGGGGCTCAGACGTTCTTACGCGTGGGGTGGGGCTTCGCCCCTACCCGAAGAATTGTATGCAAGAAACTCTTCACGCAAACCATTAAGATTAGACAACATTTCCTTTTTATTCAATGTTAACGCGAAAATCAATGACGTCATATAACTGTGAGCACTCTCTGGGTTTGAGATTATTTTCTACTCTACGCTAAATGTGTCGACGTCATATTTCGTTTTTTCGAATTACTGTGCATGTTTTTATTTTGCTTGTGTTTTCTCTAGAGCGTTCTTGTCAGACAGAGCGTTCTTGACAGACAGAGCGTTCTTGTCAGACAGCGAAACTATTAGTATTAACTAGATAAATGGCCCGTTGAGGAAGGGTACAACGGGCGCTAGGCTGATAGTGCTGTCTCTTTTCTCTAAACTAAAACCAACCCACCCCCCCACACACCACCCCCACCCCACCCCCCCACCCCCACACACCAACCCCACCCCCACCCCCCACCACACACCACCCCCCACCCCTCACCCCCACACACCACCCCCCTCCACACACCGCCCCCACCCCCCACCCCCCAAAAAAAAACATGTCTACCGTCCCATTCAACGGAATATAATTATATACTTTTTCCAGTGTCCGCCCCCTCCCAGAAAATTCTACCCCCGCCCCCGAAAATTTCAAGTACCCCCACCCCTCTCCGGGGAGGAAAAAGTCTGAAAGAAACACTGAAACCAACCCACCCCCCCCCCCCCACACACCACCCCCCCACCCCCCACCCCCACCCCCCCACACCACCCCTCCCCACCCCTCCACCACCCCCCACCCCCAAAAAAAAACATGTCTACCGTCCCATTCAACGAAATATAATTATAAACTTTTTCCAGTGTCCGCCCCCTCCCAGAAAATTCTACCCCCCGCCCCCGAAAATTTCAAGTACCCCCCACCCCTCTCCGGGGAGGAAAAAGTCTGAAAGAAACACTGAAACCAACCCACCCCCCACAGACCCCCCCCCCCACCCCTCCACCCCCCCCCCCTCCCCCCCAAAAAAAACATGTCTACCGTCCCATTGCAAGAAACCACATTTTAGATTAGACACATTAATTAGGCGGTAATTTTATTATAGAGTATCGATGTGGAAATTTCTTTTGAGTTGGGGAGGGGGGGGGGGGGCTCAGACGTTCTTACGCGGGGGGTGGGGCTTCGCCCCTACCCGAAGAATTGTATGCAAGAAACTCTTCACGCAAACCATTTAGATTAGACAACATTTCCTTGTTTTCAATGTTTACGCGACAATCAATGACGTCATATGACTGTGTGCACTCTCTGGTTTGAGATTATGTTCTACTCTACGCTAAATGTGTCGACGTCATATTTCGTTTTTCGAATTACTGTGCATGTTTTTATTTTGCTTGTGTTTTCTCTAGAGCGTTCTTGTCAGACAGAGCGTTCTTGACAGACAGAGCGTTCTTGTCAGACAGCGAAACTATTAGTATAGATAATCCCGGCCAATTAAAATAGATCTATGAAATGACGTTGATTTTTTTAACCATCACAAACCGAAGCTTTTAATTTACAACGCCAATCTTAAAAATAAACTAGATTTTATTTAGAATACCAATTTTAAGCGTTTCTTTATGAAATTATTTTTAAAAATATAACATACGATGACCCCTATTTAAGTATTAACGCGTCAAGACACCGCAAAGGTGTAGAAGTTGGGTGGGTTATTCCTCACTGCCCCCCCCCCATCTAGACACCACACAGTTGTAGAAGTTGGGTGGGTTATTCCTCACTGAACCCCCCCCCCCCATCAAGACACCACAAAGGTGTAGAAGTTGGGTGGGTTATTCCTCACTGCCCCCCCCCCATCTAGACACCACAAAGTTGTAGAAGTTGGGTGGGTTATTCCTCACTGCGCCCCCCCCCCCCATCTAGACACCACAAAGTTGTAGAAGTTGGGTGGGTTATTCCTCACTGCCCCCCCCCCCCCCCCCCATCTAGACACCACAAAGTTGTAGAAGTTGGGTGGGTTATTCCTCACTGCCCCCCCCCCCCATCTAGACACCACAAAGTTGTAGAAGTTGGGTGGGTTATTCCTCACTGACCCCCCCCCCCCCCCCCCCATCTAGACACCACAAAGTTGTAGAAGTTGGGTGGGTTATTCCTCACTGCCCCCCCCTTCCCCATCAAGACACCACAAAGTTGTAGAAGTTGGGTGGGTTATTCCTCACTGCCCCCCCCCCCCCCCCCCATCTAGACACCACAAAGTTGTAGAAGTTGGGTGGGTTATTCCTCACTGCCCCTCCCATCTAGACACCACAAAGTTGTAGAAGTTGGGTGGGTTATTCCTCACTGCCCCCCCCCCCCCCATCTAGACACCACAAAGTTGTAGAAGTTGGATGGGTTATTCCTCACTGACCCCCCCCCCATCTAGACACCACAAAGTTGTAGAAGTTGGGTGGGTTATTCCTCACTGCCCCCCCCCCATCTAGACACCACAAAGTTGTAGAAGTTGGGTGGGTTATTCCTCACTGCCCCCCCCCCCCCCTCCCCTTCCCCATCAAGACACCACAAAGTTGTAGAAGTTGGGTGGGTTATTCCTCACTGCCCCCCCCCCCCCATCTAGACACCACAAAGTTGTAGAAGTTGGGTGGGTTATTCCTCACTGCCCCCCCCATCTAGACACCACAAAGTTGTAGAAGTTGGGTGGGTTATTCCTCACTGCGCCCCCCCCCCCCCATCTAGACACCACAAAGTTGTAGAAGTTGGGTGGGTTATTCCTCACTGCCCCCACCTCCCCTTCCCCATCAAGACACCACAAAGTTGTAGAAGTTGGGTGGGTTATTCCTCACTGACCCCCCCCCCCCCATCTAGACACCACAAAGTTGTAGAAGTTGGGTGGGTTATTCCTCACTGCCCCCCCCCATCAAGACCCCACAAAGTTGTTGAAGTTGGGTGGGTTATTCCTCACTGCCCCCCCCCCCCCATCTAGACACCACAAAGTTGTAGAAGTTGGGTGGGTTATTCCTCACTGCCCCCCCCCCCCCATCAAGACCCCACAAAGTTGTAGAAGTTGGGTGGGTTATTCCTCACTGCCCCCCCCCCATCTAGACACCACAAAGTTGTAGAAGTTGGGTGGGTTATTCCTCACTGCCCCCCCCCTTCCCCATCAAGACACCACAAAGTTGTAGAAGTTGGGTGGGTTATTCCTCACTGCCCCCCCCCCCCCCCATCTAGACACCACAAAGTTGTAGAAGTTGGGTGGGTTATTCCTCACTGCCCCCCCATCAAGACACCACAAAGTTGTAGAAGTTAGGTGGGTTATTCCTCACTGCCCCCCCCCATCTAGACACCACAAAGTTGTAGAAGTTGGGTGGGTTATTCCTCACTGCCCCCCCCCCCCCCCCCATCAAGACACCACACAGTTGTAGAAGTTGGGTGGGTTATTCCTCACTGCCCCCCCCCCCCATCTAGACACCACAAAGTTGTAGAAGTTGGGTGGGTTATTCCTCACTGACCCCCCCCCCCCCATCTAGACACCACAAAGTTGTAGAAGTTGGGTGGGTTATTCCTCACTGACCCCCCCCCCCCATCAAGACCCCACAAAGTTGTAGAAGTTGGGTGGGTTATTCCTCACTGACCCCCCCCCATCTAGACACCACAAAGTTGTAGAAGTTGGGTGGGTTATTCCTCACTGCCCCCCCCCATCTAGACACCACAAAGTTGTAGAAGTTGGGTGGGTTATTCCTCACTGCCCCCCCCCCCCATCTAGACACCACAAAGTTGTAGAAGTTGGGTGGGTTATTCCTCACTGCCCCCCCCCCATCAAGACACCACAAAGTTGTAGAAGTTGGGTGGGTTATTCCTCACTGCCCCCCCCCCCCATCTAGACACCACAAAGTTGTAGAAGTTGGGTGGGTTATTCCTCACTGCCCCCCCCCATCTAGACACCACAAAGTTGTAGAAGTTGGGTGGGTTATTCCTCACTGCCCCCCCCCCCATCAAGACACCACGCAGTTGTAGAAGTTGGGTGGGTTATTCCTCACTGCCCCCCCCCCCCCATCTAGACACCACAAAGTTGTAGAAGTTGGGTGGGTTATTCCTCACTGACCCCCCCCCCATCTAGACACCACAAAGTTGTAGAAGTTGGGTGGGTTATTCCTCACTGACCCCCCCCCCATCAAGACCCCACAAAGTTGTAGAAGTTGGGTGGGTTATTCCTCACTGCCCCCCCCCCCCATCAAGACACCACAAAGTTGTAGAAGTTGGGTGGGTTATTCCTCACTGACCCCCCCCCCCCCCATCAAGACACCACAAAGTTGTAGAAGTTGGGTGGGTTATTCCTCACTGCCCCCCCCCCCCCCATCTAGACACCACAAAGGTGTAGGAGTTGGGTGGGTTATTCCTCACTGCCCCCCCCCCCCATCAAGACACCACAAAGTTGTAGAAGTTGGGTGGGTTATTCCTCACTGCCCCCCCCCCCCCCATCTAGACACCACAAAGTTGTAGAAGTTGGGTGGGTTATTCCTCACTGACCCCCCCCCCCCATCAAGACACCACAAAGGTGTAGGAGTTGGGTGGGTTATTCCTCACTGACCCCCCCCCCCCAATCAAGACACCACAAAGCTGTAGAAGTTGGGTGGGTTATTCCTCACTGACCCCCCCCCCTACCACCTTATCAATAACTGCACGTATGTTACGATGGAATGTGACGTCACAAACCATTACCTCAATATCCCCCGGGATCTGCTGGTCTGTGAAGAGCAATCCAGATTTGGACGAACACCTCCCTGACAGCGTGCATGGCGAGTCTCCTAAAACAATTCATCTTCTCATTATTAAGGGGTCGTAATTAATCTATCAATGACGTCACTTTTAAAAATCGTACTTTTATTTCTCCGCTTCCCATTGTCACAGAAACCAGACTGTGTTTCTTCCAGGAATCTCTTCTAGGGGGCACTCTGCTCCCCCCCCCCCCCCCGAACGAAATGGAATTTATATAGTAAACATATACTTTTACCAGTGCTCCCCCCCCCAAAATATCAAGTGACCCCCCCCCCCCGGAGAAAAAAGTCTGGCAGAAACACTACGGCCAGACCACCCACTCCCCCTTTTCCTAAATTGACGAAGAGATGCCTGGAAGAAACTCTGGTCACGGTATCGATCTCCCATCTTCTCCAGACATAGGACACTCAAGTACAGGGTTGTAACGATACCATACAATCAGAATCTACCACCCGACCACGTGACATGTTTTTCATCACATTTATAATCAAGAGATTTAAATTTTATAACTATGCAGTCTCATTTCCACCCCCCCCCCCACCAACTAATCCTCACAAAATTCTGAACCCCCTCACTCTCACTAACACATGAGCCCGGTCTAAAAATAACTCATGGACTTACCCCGCAGTAAAAAATTCTCGGGGAAAACAGCCACCAGCGTGATCAGCACGCAGAGAATGAGCGCGAAAATAGCGGCGAACACCAGAAACCACAAGATGTTTTTGATGCGTTGGCCGATCCCCAGTCTCTTGGCCTGGACGAACAATTTCTTCTTCTTAGGCTTGCCATCGTCTTTCACCTGTGTGATGACGGGGATGAGCACTGATCGGCTGTCCTGAAAGGTGTAAACAAGTTAGGCAAATAGAAGCAGGTAAAAAACAACACAATAATAAACAAACAGGGAGCTAACTATGTGGTATAAACATTGTTAGAGTAACGCCCCTATTGTTAATTTGTTAGGGGAGCTAACTATGTGGTATAAACATTGTTAGAGTAACGCCCCTATTGTTAATTTGTTGAATAGCATGAAAAGAGGGATCAGTCTTCATTTGAATCGGAGTTCGTTTCAGACATTTTTCTCCGATGGAGGGCGTGGCTCTTGAAACATCCACGGGGGTTGGTGGCACTTCCAAGGGTGGGGATGGCGGACAGTGGTAAAGCATATATTTTCTACCTAACTCATGTATTTTTTTCTCTTTTGTCAAGGGGCGGTGGAAGTTCTTCTTGAGGAGGGGACTGTTTTCTCCCCCCCCCCCCACCTCCATGGGGATATGCCGTAAAGAATCACTGGTCTCTGGGTACCAACCGACTGAATTACATTGGCCTATAATCCGACATAATTAGTGTTAATGTGTGTTATTTAGCACCCATCTATTATCGTCTAGATCTAAACCAAAACAACCAACATCACCCACATGACTCTCCCAAAAAATTTCGGCATGCAAAACTTATTAGGAAATATGCGCAGTAGGGCAATAGCACAACACAATAAAGTAGCCACGGTTAGAGCAAGGGTTAGGGTAACATTGCGAACATACGCAAACTGATATACGTTGCCGATTTTCACCCCTACCTACCCTATGGTCCCAAAAAACCAACCCACTCATCTTCTTTACGCTTTGTGTTAATATTGACGGGGATTTCCTCCAACACATTTGTCAACATTTTTTTTGCGCCAATTTCAGCCTCCTTTTATTGTCTGGGTGTACTACCATAGCCTACGTTCTACCCAAGAACAAACTATAAGGCAGCAGTTGTTTAATTTTGGAGTTGTCTCTCCTAGATGGGTTGCTGTCCCAAGCTATCAAGCCTCAATTGCTCCGGTGTGTGATCTCGAACTTTCTGGAGAAAGCCAACCCTCTCGAATGACATCACAAAGTTTCAGCCACCCCATGCTAGGAAAGAATCATTATTCTAACGTGATTTAAATTTTTAAAAATAGTGTAAAGAAATACAAAATAATACGCCCCCCCCCTCCTACACACAAACTCGAGGCCAGCAAAAATAAGCATCCCCCTTTCTCTTTTTCTCGCAGCAAGTGCTTGACGTAATCAAAGAACGCCACCCCCCCCCCTCTCTTACCTGGGATGAGGCATCACTAATAGCAGGAGAGGATGGGATACTGAAGGACATCAGTGATGGCTTGTCGTGGACAGTTTTGATAGCAGCTGGCGTCTTGATGACGGCCATTTTATTCTAGATGGTGATGTTAGGCGTAGCCCGCTTTAGATAAGATGGTGATGTTAAATATAGCCCACTTTAAATAAGATGATTATGTTGGATGTAGCCCACTTTAGATAAAGACGATGATGTTAGATGTAGCCCGTTTTAGATAAGATGGTGATGTTAGATGTAGCCCGTTTTAGATAAGATGGTGATGTTAGATGTAGCGCGTTTTAGATAAGATGGTGATGTTAGATGTATCCCATATTAGATGGTGATGTTGGATGTAGCCCACATTAGATAAGATGATGGTGTTAGATGTAGCCCGCTTTAGATAAGATGATGATGTTAGATGTAGCCCAGATAAAATGATGATGTTAGATGTAGCCCACATAAGATGGTGATGTTAGATGTAGCCCAGATAAGATAATGTTAGATGTAGCCCGCTTTAGATAAGATGGTGATGTTAGATGTAGCCCGCTTTAGATAAGATGGTGATGTTAGATGTAGCCCGCTTTAGATAAGATGGTGATGTTAGATGTAGCCCGCTTTAGATAAGATGATGATGTTAGATGTAGCCCACTTTAGAAAAGATGATGTTAGATGTAGCCCATATAAGATGATGTTAGATGTAGCCCAGATAAAATGATGATGTTAGATGTAGCCCGCTTTAGATAAGATAATGTTAGATGTAGCCCAGATAAAATGATGATGCTGGATGTAGCCCACATAAGATGATGATGTTGGATGTAGCCCACTTTAGATAAGATGATGATGTTAGATGTAGCCCGTTTTAGATAAGATGATGTTAGATGTAGCCCGCTTTAGATAAGATGATGTAAGATGTAGCCCACTTTAGATAAGATGATGATGTTAGATGTAGCCCGTTTTAGATAAGATGATGTTAGATGTAGCCCACTTTAGATAAGATGGCGATGTTAGATGTAGCCCGCTTTAGATAAGATGATGATGTTAGATGTAGCCCGCTTTAGATAAGATGATGATGTTAGATGTAGCCCGTTTTAGATAAGATGATGTTAGATGTAGCCCACTTTAGATAAGATGGCGATGTTAGATGTAGCCCGCTTTAGATAAGATGATGATGTTGTGAGATGTAGCCCGCTTTAGATAAGATGATGATGTTAGATGTAGCCCAGATAAGATGATGATGTTAGATGTAGCCCAGATAAGATGATAATGTTAGATGTAGCCCGCTTTAGATAAGATGATGATGTTAGATGTAGCCCAGATAAGATGATGTTAGATGTAGCCTAGATAAGATGATAATGTTAGATGTAGCCCGCTTTAGATAAGATGATGATGTTAGATGTAGCCCAGATAAGATGATGATGTTAGATGTAGCCCGCTTTAGATAAGATGATAATGTTAGATGTAGCCCGCTTTAGATAAGATGATGATGTTAGATGTAGCCCAGATAAGATGATGATGTTACATGCAGCCCGCTTTAAATAAGATGATAATGTTAGATGTAGCCCGCTTTAGATAAGATGATGATGTAAGATGTAGCCCAGATAAGATGATGGTGTTAAGTATAGGCCATCTTAGATAAGATGATGATGTAGGCGTCGCCCTTCTGAGGAGAGAGATTCCATAATTGCATGTGAACGAATCATTCACGCAAATACTTATAAAAGTAATACAGCCAACATTGTTACTTCCATCCTTAGATCAAGCCTAGTCTTGTCAAGTGTAGTTTAGTTTCATTTAGGATTATATGATTACAGCAAGGTAGACCAGCTGACACCTCCCTAATCCCCACCCCTATTGTTTTAAAAACAAACTTAAAAGGAGATAATAAGCACAGGGTTTCTTTCAGACTTATTGCTCTATGGTGTGTGTGTGAGTGTGTATTTGAGACACGTGCGCGTGTGTGAATGTAGATATATATTTCTATTTAAATTTAACATTTTATCTCTTTTTATCTGGGGTGAGGGTGGACTTGCTCCGGGGAGAAGAGCCCCCCCCATCCCCCAGTAGAACTACCGAAAAGAAACAGTGGCTCTTTAACTAACATAGAACTATATTCTATAACATACAATCATCCGTCAAATAAAAATAACTACAAATGAGTAACATTTAGATCTAGTGGGTGAAGAAAAAATAGGAAGGGGTCATTATATCTAGATCTAGATTCTAGATCTAGATCTAGATCTACCACCGGAAATGATAAGAATCCGGATTTTCATGGAACTTTTGTCAACCAATTTCCTAACAGGATGACACGTAATCAACTATCTGGACATTAGAAATAGGTCAAGGTTGGCTGAGGTGCAGTACAGTGGTGAGGCTTAACTAACTTTTCGCCCATGCACTGTTTGCATTAGTGGCGGGGCTTATCTGGACAAGATCCAGAATTTCATCTCATAGTAGAATCTAAACCCATCTAAATAGTAAATAGTTACGCCTACATTTTGCGGCTACAATATTTATTTATTTTTTAAAAGGGAACTTACCGCCACACTACTACAAAGCCATGTTTTCTCCTGATTAGAGCATTTTAAAACTCTTTTGTTGTGGCTTGGAAACCCGTTTCCAACTGTCACGTCACTTCTGGTGCAAACATATTCGCGCACCTTTTCTCTCATCTGGTGCGCAAATGTGCAACAGACAAAATGAAGACTTGTGATAAGTAGCCTACAAATACTATGTATTCAATGATGTGTTTTTTCGGGCAGAAAATGACTAAACGTTTAGGCCCACTGTTTCTTTCATGCATTTCTCCGGAAGATCACCCCCCCCCCCAATAAAAAAATTTGAAAAAATGTGTCCCACATTAACCCTATATGGCATAGCGTTGCAGTTTTGCAACAATACTTTAGGAGTAATCAAGTACTGTATTATTTAATATTTTGTTTCGTTTTCAACTTATTTTACTCCGGATAGCACTTTTTAATTCATTTTATATCGGAACTCTTTTGAAAAGAAGATTTTCTTTTTCAAATCGGACATTTTTAGAAGCGATCTACACTTTTCTGCTTTTTGCTAAATGGTAAGTATAAAATTACGTTAAAACCTGGTTAAAATTAAAATAAACTAGCTGAAAAAAATATATTTACAATAATAACTATGCATTAGTACTAATTTAGTTGATTCACAATAAAATTCTTAATATTTCATTAGTAACAGCCTAGGTTTTGTATTGTTGCAGTAATGCAACTACATGCAACGGAATAAATAAAAATGGCTCTGCTCTGAGCTAGACTTTAGTTTACTTGGTAATTATTTCTATACACAAAATAGTTTATTTTATGATGTGAAATACATTTAGTGTTGTGGCATATTATTTAAAGCTTCTAGATCTAGTTTTTGCCTATAATAATCATAATAAATTATAGCCTAACAATAGTTTTATTAGTTTTATTTATATATTTATCGTTAAGAGCTAGACTAATCATATATAGGCCTAATGAATAACCTTTTGTTTTTATTTTAGGCTTTCACATATTCATAACCATGGATCCAAGAGTCTAAGTTGAAAGTCTTCTACCAGTTTATTCTGAGCTACTCCTTTTGGCTCAAAAGATAGTGAGTTGTCCAACGATGAAATAGAGAACGTAAACAGTACCCGGGACCTATCGGATGTTGGTGATGAAGATTTGTCTGACGTAGTTGAAGGTAACATATTATTATTGCATACTTTAAAGCTTTGCTTGTAGATTAGTAAAGCAATTATTGTTTTGTATACAATTATTGCATAATTTATAACCAAATAATGTTCTCAAAATTTATTTCATTTCTACAGAGTATGCCCATTTGCGAAAAATGATGAAACTCCTCAGGACCTTCTCAATTGTCTACACCAAGGTCTTCATTAGCATCAACAGAATGATCAGTCCCAGTATACAGCAAATGTTCCACCATTTCCTGATCCTAGGAGAGAAGCCAAACATCAGAGGCGGCCATTGGATTATTTCAACATCTTTACAGATAATCTGTGTTCGGGCAGTTGTGTATCAATCCAACCTGTACTGTCCTCTAACATGACATCAACAGTCCTTTAGCACTGGATAAAGATTATTCCTGGAAATTAGATTTTACATAAACATTGTAAAAAATTCCTAAATGCCGTGTGTATTGGAGCCTTGCCACCAAGTGTGTTACGGTCACATACGTCATGACCATCAACAGATTCAAGCGGATTAAGACTAATCAGCACCTGTCAATGTCCTCAGCAGGACAAACAATCCATTAGCACGGGATAAGATTGAGCTAAAACATTTCCTAGGAATTGTGTGTATTACATAAAGATTCTAAAAACTCTTAGATGCCGAGTGTATTGGAGCCTTGCCACTAAGTGTGTTACGGTCACATACGTCATGACCATCAACAGATTCAAGCGGAATAAGAATAATCTGCACCTATCAAACAATGTCCTCAGCAGGACATAAACAATCCACTAGTACTGGATAAAGATGAACAAAAACATCTCCTGGAAATTGTGTTTTACATAAACATTGTAAAAAAAATTCTAGTTCCCAAATGTCTTGGTGCCTTGCCACCTAATTTGTTACTGTCATAGATATAACCATCAATAGCAGTCCAACCTACAACCATAGAAAGCCATATAGATGGGCTACAAAGTCTTTGTTGTGTCCAACAACTTGTATAATCCAAGATTTTGAAGTGCATACAGGTAAAGCTACAAAGTGACAAGATGACAAAGTACTGTTGCTAATATTGAGGCATCATTACAGAGTGTTCCCCAATATGTTGGGCTCAAGATTTACATAGACAATATTATTTAGTTCATCATTTAGTTGCAAGTTGTTCTGCACAAACAATCCACAGAAGTTTTTATTTGTTGTATAGCAAACAAAAAAAATGCTAATAAATTTTTTACTAAATAAACCTGCATGTAATTTTTTAGTTTTTTTCTCTTTCAGTGTACATGTTTTTACTTTTGTTTTCATCATAAATAAACTCACATGTTACTATTGTTACTCTCAAATGATTTGTACAAGTTATTTACATTTCTATCAACAATTCTATATAAATATTTTTTTTTCTTATTATGGAAAAAAAGTTTGACCGTTGCGCATAGTTGCAGAATTGCAACGACCGAAATTGTTGTGATATTTATCATCTATTCAAAAAAAAAGTTCCCTACATCTCAAGTTAGTCCATTTGCTGTAGAAATATGAAGTCAAAAAATTTTTACCAAGTAAACCAATAATTCATGCAATAAAGGGTTAAATACAAATACATTGTTCCCCTCCCTCCCCGGAGTTTCAAGTGCCCCCGCTACGGAGAGACATGCACGCAAGAAATACTATTTAGGCCTCCACTAGAGCAAACAAAAAAAAAAAAGCTAGTCCTAAGGCTAGATCTATTATATTTATAATTACTAATAAATTAAAAAAGCGAATGAAATTGAAAAACATTAAAAACTTAATTTCGAAAGAATGTATTCGTAACACCACATCCGAAACAATGTTCAACATTCAAAACATAGAATCTAGATCTAGATCTAGACCAGGGGTCGGCAACCTGCGGCTCGCGAAATCTTTTGATATCAAGATGCGGCTCTCCAGCTCCTTGCGCAAATACTAATAATCTTAATAAAAGAATAAAATATTTGAAATAAAAAAAACGTTAGTGGCTCTTTAAAACCAGGGAAATTTTGAAAATTGTAACTTTTGGCTCTTCAGCTTCAAAAGGTTGCCGACCCCTGATCTAGACTACTTAATATACTTATTTATTACTTATGACTTATAGATCTAGATCTAGATAGATCAGTGGTTTTTTTGAGGTTCCGAACCCCACCAGTTTCATATCCACATTCGCCGAAGCCTTCTAAATACTAAATAGTTCTATCGTCAGACAAACTACGTTTGCAAACCGCATTAGTCGGGTATGTGGCTTGACCTCCGCCGAACCCCTGAGACTGAATCACCGAACCCCTTGGGTTTTATCGAACCCAGGTTAAGAACCACTGACTTAGATGAACAAAGATATTTAAGATAACCAGGATCCAAGATATAGATATCAAAATATCAACCAAGAATAAACACTGATGAACAAAATAACCATGGATTATAATCAGAGGCGTAGCGAGGGGGGACGGGGGGTGCGGAACGCACCGGGTGACACCATTTAGGGGGGTGACACCAAGGCAAAAAAATAGCAAAAGTTATAGAGAAAAACTTGAGGGGGGGGGGGGTGCAAATCGAAAGTTCCAGGGGGGGGGGCGCAAATCAAAAGTTGGGGGGGGGGTGCAAATCGAAAATTTGAGGGGGGGGGGGTGCAAATCGGAAATTTGAAAGTTTGTCCCCGGGAAGGGTGGCTACGCCTCTGGGGGGGGGGGGGTGACACCATTAAGTGCCGCACCGGGTGACACCCGACCTCGCTACGCCACTGATTATAATTCAACATATAGATGAACAACAGAACTAGCAAGCAATCATCATACACAGCGCAAGATGAATAAAAATTGATATTTTCGGGGGGGGGGGGGGGGGTGGGGGCACTGGTAAAAGTATGTTTCTATGCAAAATCCCCACCCCCACCCCGAAGAGATGCCTGAAAGAAACTCTGAATAAAACAAACATTCAGTCCAGTTAAATGAACAAAATAGTGAAACAAAACAATAGTCTAGAATAAAAACAAACCACATATAAGAAACAAGTAAACCATTCAAATTGAGTTTTATTCTCATTTAAAAAAATAATCTAAAATCAAAATGAAATAAAAATAACACCATTTTTCTACCAGCAATGTTAGAATGTTATTTAAGTTATTAACAAAATGCTAAAACCAGTAAGATAAAATATAATGCCAACAATCAATAATGAGTGCAAGTGAAGCTCTGATATAGATCTATATATTATTGTATTGTTTCTTCTACCAGCTGTAATAAGTGTTAGTAAAAATTCATACAAACATGATTAGTTGGTAAATCACGAAATACTGTTTTAAATGTTTATGCAGAATCTGATACTGCCATTGTACTCGACAACAAATTCTATAAAAATAAAATTTTTTTTTGTTTCTAATACTCAAATTTTACTTAAAAATCATTGTTGTAAAAATATTTTTGGAATACCTGGTTCAGCTTTTATATCTGAAAAATATTCTTTTAACAACCAAGAAAGGTTTAAATTACCATTTTTAACAAGGTGTAACAGAATAGAAACAGTGAGTTACAATTAACCAATAACCATTAAAGAGTTATCAATAGAACTTTTTGTTCAACCGGTTTGAAAGGGTTCTGAGCAAACATTTGCTGAAGTTACAATAATAAGTGATGCTGCAGTAATTTATAAAGCGACATAATATAATGATGAGTAGCATTGGAGGGATGTATACCTACAATATACATGGTAGGGAGTGTAGTGTTTGTTTTGATATTTAGGGGGATGTTGGTTGTTTTGGCATGGAATGGGGTGTTTTTTGGTGTTTAGGGAGGGGGATGTAGTGTTTGTTTTGGTATTTAGCCAATTTAGGGGGATGTAGGTTGTGTTTTGGTATTTAGGGGTGTGTTGTTTGTTTTGGTATTTAGTGGGGGGGGGGGGGGTGTAGTTTGTTTTGGTATTTAGTGGGGTGTAGTGTTTGTTTTGGTATTTAGTGGGGGGGGGGTGTAGTTTGTTTTGGTATTTAGGGGGGTGTAGATTGTGTTTTGGTATTTGGGGGTGTGTTGTTTGTTTTGGTATTTAGGGGGGTGTGTTGTTTGTTTTGGTATTTAGTGGGGGGGGGGGGGGGGTGTAGTTTGTTTTGGTATTTAGCCAAATTAGGGGGATGTAGGTTGATTTGGTATTTAGGGGGGTGTAGTGTTTGTTTTGATTTGATGTGTGTGTGTGTGGGGGAGTGGTGTCATGTTTGTTTTTGTATTGGGGGGGGTGTTTGTTTTGGTATTTAGGGACTGTAGGATGTGTTTCTGTATTTAGGAGGTGTATGTTGTTTTGTTATTTAAGGGGGTTGTAAGGTTGTGTTTTTGTATTTAAGAGGTGTATGTTGTTTTGGTATTTAAGGGAGTGTCAGGGGTTGTGTTTTTGCCTTGATTGTGAACAAATGTGACAACAACTTTGCATAGCTGCTATTTTAATCAGCAATCATGTTATACAGCACAAACTTGACCCTTGGGGGTCAGCAATCATGTTAAACAAGCCAAACTCCATTACAACATGTTTTATGATACAATAGCAGTATGAAAACTTAACTATCATACAACACATGTGATAACAGTAATTATGTAATTGTACAAGTACCGGTATTAATATTCAAAACACTTCAGCTTAAAGAAAACAATTCATAGGTTGTGTGGACAGATTATTCAGTGGGAGAATAATGTCGAAGAACTAAAAGAAACATAAAATCATAATAAAGCAAGCAAATGTTTTAGATATATACATTAACTTGGATGTTATTTCAACATATTCAACAAAGTTTAGATTACCAGAAAACAGGGGAGGATATATTAAAACAAAGCAATTAGTAAACTGTCAATAAAATCAATTTTAAAAAAAATTGACGTAAATTTTGCTAACACACTGTGTAGAAAACTACTGTATTAGATGACTGTGATAAAGGCAAAATAAAATAACTAGCAAGCACAACTACACTCAGTGCAGAAAACCACTTTATTAGAATATTAGATAGCTGTTATAAAGGAAATTAAAATAACTATAAAGCATGACTCTTCAGAGAACAGGGTCAATGAGAATAAAAAAGTTATTGCGGGTTTTACTTTTTAAAAGGCAAATCCATTCATTTTAGTGATAAGGTCATATAGTTTAAAATCATCCATATTCGCAGTGGCATCACTTGATAAGATATCACCCTGTGTGGTAACTGAGGGCGTCATCCCACCCCCCTCCAATATTTCTGCAGTTTTGGTTTGGTGTCACCTATCTTCCCCTACTATTTTGCTATCATGTAAAACATTGTTTTTTGTACAGTAAATTTTACAATTTTTCAGCTGAGTGTCACCCTTAACCCACTTGTGACGCCACTGGATATATGTCAGGTAACATGCATACAGTTCAGGTGTTTTCTTCCACTAGAAAATAGAGTGCAATATTAAAACAGGAAAGTAAAAAAAAATTTGGAATAACTTTTGAAAAAATTATAACGTCATCTTTGTCAGTAATTATGCTCTTTACAACAACTGAAAAATAAAAAAAAATAGTCAAAAAATAAAAAAAACAACTTCAAGTTTGAACAAGGAAAATTTACTACACACAGCAAAGTAAATTGTTCTATGTAGTGGATTTTTCTAAGTGACAACAAACAGTGGGCTATTTTTTGCATCTATTTAAACAAATAATTTTGTTTTTAATGCTGTAAATTGCAAACAGAGATTAAAGCTAAATTAAAAAACAATTAATTAGACACAATATGATGTTTTATATCTTGAGGTCTTATTTTTTCTCTCTTTTACTTTAGTTTTTATCATCATATAATTTAATTTTTTTAAAAATGTCAAAAATATATAATAATAATAAATAAAAAATTTGTCATGCTGAGTAGTGTCAGAAAACAAAATGCTTTCAAAATAATTTCAAAATAATGCAGTGACTGCCAATTTATTATGATAAAAAAATTGTTACCCAAAACAATATTTCATTACATTTCATAATGTACAGTATAGAACACTAAAGACCAATCTTTAACTTTAACTATCAAAAAAAGTGAAAATCTTTGTTAAAAAATCCACAATTATAATTAGATAAAATCTGATTTTCAATTCAGAATACCAACTTAAAAAGAAAAAAAAAACTGTCCGTTTCTAAATTTACACATAACTTAAAATTGTTAAAATTTGTAATGCTTTTAAGAAATTAGTTTTAAAAAATCGAGCATTAGTAAAGTTAGCTAAAAATTTATTTTTAATTCTGCAACTGGTTGTATTATTTGAATTTAAATTATGAAATCGTATCATTACAAGGTATACACCAGACAAGTGGATCAACATTCTGTGATAGTTAAAGGCAGTCGATGATTGGTCAGGAAATGAAAGCCCAAATATATTTTGACAAGCTTACATATGCTTTTTTTTTGCTCACAAAATTGTTGAATAATGGATGAAACTCAGACTGTATAGAGGACAAATGCAGATTGTCCAAAAAAAATAATCTTGATAAAAAGGAGTTTATAAATCTCTTTCCAATATTAAATTAGTGCAAAATATGTTTAAACATTCGTAAAATATTTATATTCTATTATTCTAATATTATACATGAGTGTTCTGATTGCTTGTATTATTGACATTATAAGTATAAATGTACAATGATTTCACAAAAAAGGGGACTTACTGCATGTGTTTACTATACAGTCGAAACAAAAGACGACAACAACAATGAAAATAACTGTCACAGATAATGGGGACTTTACTGTTTGAAGACTTGACACATATCATGAACTGGCTCTAGAACAGGCGATGCTACGAATAGAGCATTGGAGTTTCATTTAAAAAATCTCTCACGAGCTGCCTTCTCGTTAGGTAGTTTGCTTAATTAGCCTACCTTACATAATTTTCAACAGCAAAAAAAAATAAAAAATAATTCACCTTATTTGACAGATTAACAGTTGGGATTTTACAGATTAACAGAATTTTTTTATTCAATTAAACAAGATTTAAAATCTAAACATCTATGAATAAATCACTAAATGAACTGGAGTAAAACAATTAGTATAAATACACCTGAAAAAATGAAATGGACTGGAGAATTCTATTTAAATTTTACTGGCGGCATCAGTAAGCATTCTTGCATCTTAAATAAGAGCCACAATATCAATTGAGATTCATTGTTCAAGGAGCTCAAATTAAATATTAACAAATGAAAATTACTTTTACCAGTAATTCAAAATAGGATCACAGTTAATGTGATTAATTAAGCTTTATATGAAAATTTAATGTATTTATTAACGAGCTTGTTTTTCTCAATACAGCTCTCTAACACAAATCATTATGCGTATTTATCAAAGCAAGAGGGAATAAAACAACTTCAGAAAAACTTGGCGCTATTTAAATAACTAGAGTATTTATTTCAACAAGGGACTTTCTCTAAAACCTTAACTATGTACAAAGACAAAAAAAAATTATGCACCTGGAATAATTTAATAAAACTTACAACATTATATAAAAAAAACTAGGTTAATACTTATTGTTGTTATTTTGGTACAACTTAAGTTAGTCAGGACAAAAAAGGAGTATCTCCTCTCTTAATACTAATGGAAGTTAAAACACAAACACTATACAAGGGCATCCTGACACTTGAATCAGGTCCATGCAGGTCTGTCGATGTAAAGTAGGGCGTTCACCTGACTTCTCAAACCTGGGCGCCGGCAGATCTGAATGAAATTTCTTTCTCATCTTCCACCCACTCCATCCAGTGATGGGGCTTGCGGTAAAACTACAGACAACAGATGTTTTAAATCAACACAAAACTACAGACAAAATATGTTTTAAATCAACACAAAACTACAGACAAACAGATGTTTTAGATAACACAAAACTACAGACAAAATATGTTTTAAATCAACACAAAACTACAGAAAAAATATGTTTTAAATCAACACAAAACTACAGAAAAAATATGTTTTAGATCAACACAAAACTACAGACAAAATGTTTTAAATCAACACAAAACTACAGACAAAATATGTTTTAAATCAACACAAAACTACAGACAAAATGTTTTAAATCAACACATAAAAATACAACAAAACCTGAATTAAAAATTTAATAATTATTCTTTACAAGATAGGAAACTGTTGACAGCTAACCCCGAAGTCTTGAGTTGGGATTCTGTAGTTGAATAATTAGGACATACCTGAGTCTACCCAGCTCTAATTAGTACCTGACTCACATTAGGTAAAGTAAAGGTGGCTGGGCATAGTGCTGACTACACTACCAGATCATATGCAAAGGTCACAGAATCAGGTGAATTCTACTTCACCTGCCCTGGGTCAAAAAGGGTAACTATTTTTTTTACTATACAGCTAACCCAGAAGTCTTGAGTTTGGATTCAAGAGTCAAGTAATTAGGACATACCTGAGTCTACCTAGCTCTACTTGGTACCTGACTCACATTAGTTAAAGTAAAGGTGGCTAGGCATAGTGCTGACTACACTTCCCTTTCTTATGCAAATGTCACAGAAAAAGGTGAACTATACTTCACCTGCCCCAGGTCAAAAGGTGTAACTATTTTTTTACTATTATAACAGCAACTCACATGTATGTCATTGATCTCCTTGTAGAATCTCTGTGTCAAACAATCTACTTTCCCAGCATCTATTTTCAGCTCCTGGCCCTGGTAGAGTATCTTGCTGACTGGGCAGACGACGCATGCCGTACCTGCACCAAACACCTCCTTCACCTGGTGAGACAAGGATCAAACTCACACACAAAATAGACAATATTAAGGTATACACGCTTAAAATGTATTTTAAAAACTTCACTCAAAGCTGACGATATTAAGGAATACAAGCTTAAAATAAATTTTTAAAAATTCACTCAAAACCGATGGTTTTAGGAACACCTGCTTAAAATATTTAAAACATTAAACTCAAAGTAGACAGTTTAAGGAATAAATTAAAATATATTAAAAAAATATCCTACTCAAATGAGACATTTTAACAAATACACACTTAACATATTTAAAACATTCCCACTCAAAACAGACATTTTAAAACTTAAAAAAAAAAACTATTGTTCTGCAATAGCTTGTTACAACAATTGCAGCTTAATTATAAATTTTGTTTTGACCATAAGCAAAAACTTTCTATGATGCAGGCTATAAACACTTCTAGAGTTTAACAAGCTACCACTGATATTTACATTAACATGGCGAATATTATGTTGTTGCTTTACATCTTACTACAACATTGTTCTACATATAACCATAATTAAACTATTAATTTAAATTATTAATAAAAAAATTTTTTAATAGAAGTTTATAGAAAAAAAAGCCCATTAAATTCAAACATCTAAACAATCAATTTATCATTCAAGTATACACAGCATGTTAGTTTTTTAGCTTTTTGTGTCACAAATAAGTCAAACACTTACCCTTCCTTCATTTAAAGCTTTGATGAACATTTTCATTGTTATCACCTGCTCAGACACTTTAAATTCATCCTGCGTGAAAAATTCAGACAAATATTTCAAGTTAGAAAGAGAAGAAAACTGAAGTTATAAACAATACAGTTGCTTCCCTTTATAAGGAAGCATCTCATACACATTGCAATGTAGAGGAGTATAATACACCTTCAATTTTAAAGCAACACATGTTTTTAGTGAAATCCAGAATTCATTACAACCATTCAGTTTGTAGCCTAACAGATAAACTCACAATTTATGACGTCCACACAGAGGGGTGATGCCAGTGATGGTCATCTAACAAGACAACTTTTGTCTAAATTAATAGACTCCACCCCCCTCCCCCACCTTTCATAAATTAATTTAATTAATTAATTAATTTAACCAAACATTTCATAAAAGCATTGGAATAATATAATTTAGGCTTTATTATTATTATTAATCATCACGTTGGTAACTAAACAGATAGAAGGATTAGGTAGAAGATATTCTATACTATTTAAACAAGCATATCATTAAAAAGCACCGTAATAATATAATTTAGGCTTTATCATTATTATTACTCATCACACTGGTAACAAAACAGACAGGAGGATAAGGTAGAAAATAATCACCCATTGTCTGGACAACTCCAGCAGAGATTTTCTTGTTACCCCAGGTAAGATCATACCTGTCTCCAGTGGTGGGGTGATCAACTCCTCCTCTAAAACACACAAGTTTCATTCATTAGGGGCTCATTCATTAACAAATACACATTCATTAACACAATACACACATCTCATTCAATAGGGTCTCATTCATTAACACAATTCACATTCATTCACAGAATACACACATCTCATTCATTAGGGTCTCATTCATTAACACAATTCACATTCATTAACACAACACACAAATCTCATTCATTAACAAAATGCACATTCATTAACACAACAAACACATCTCATACATTAGGGTCTCATTCATTAACAAAATACACATACATTCACACAACTCGAACATCTCATTCATTAACAAAATGCACATTCATTAACACAATACACAAATCTCATTCATTAGGGTTTCATTCATTAACAAAATTTACATTCATAAACAATACACACATCTCATTCATTAGGGTCTCAATCATTAACAAAATACACATACATTTACACAACACACAAGTTTCATTCATTAGGGTCTCATTCATTAACACAATACACATGCATTCACACAATACACATCTCATTCATAAGGGTCACATTTTTAAACAAAATTCACATTCATTCACACAATACACAAATCTCATTCATTAGGGTCGCATTCATTAACAAAATTCAGATTCCTTAATTAACACAATTCACAATTCTCATTCATTAGGGTCGCATTCATTAACAAAATTCACATTCATTAACACAACACACAAATCATTCATTAGGCTCTCATTCAATAACAAAATACACACATCTCATTCATATACCCAATAGTATATACTAATATGTCTAACTGAAAATATAGTAGCGTAGTTCATAATAAAGTTACTCTTTCAGACCTAGTGGTCAATAGGGCAGATGGACTAGAGTTCATAAATTTCTGTGACATCAGCATAGAAATGAATAGTGTGGTCAGTAGTAGGCTCAATCACCAAGAAAAAAAATTTAGATAAACTCTACATCATTCACACTGTTGACCATCAACTTAAATGCTACTTGTGTATTTCACTAAGACAAGAGTTAAGCTGTTGAGTGTGTCACCTCCTTTTTCATTGACCCAGAAGACAAACAAGTTCATGGTGCCCACTTCTGTCATCTGGTGGTCCTCTCCAAACAGCCATAACACTTGTTGGCAGTCATGTTTCTTTACTGCTATGGACTGGATTGCTGTAGTTGGTGCATAATTGCTATGTCAGAAAGAAAGAAAAAACCCTAGTAAAACTAATGTAATAATGTGTTAGAGATTATTTTTAAAAATAAATTCTAGAGAGATAATTACGAAAACATTAAATAGCAGACTATGACAACTTAAAATATTCTTAAAAGAATTATCTGTAGGATTTATAAACTTAAAAAACAGCAACCTGAATTCTTTATAAGCAGTAACTATTATATGATGTTTTAGGATTTATAGATTTTAAGAATAAAATTCAGTAAGAAAAAATAATAATATAACAACATGATAATAAAAACAATTTCTTTCATTACAAACTTTTAAATAAAAAATATTTAAAAATATGTGTATAGAATGCAAGTACAAGAATGAAAAGGAAAATTCAGTAATTTTTTTTTTTTAGAATGGAGTAAAAGTTTCCTTTTTAAAGTGACTTCACTTGTCCCATGGACCGTCAGGTTCAAAAAGGAAACTTGCTTCTGTGACTTCAACATATGAAGGGATCGTGTGATCAGCACTATGCCCATATGGAGCAGTAGGATCAATTTGATAGATAAGGACAAACTTGTAATGGCCACAACCAGACAGACTGGTAATCAGCTACGATATGAGGAAGTTAAAGATAAGGACTGTACCTGCCCATTTTGTAGTTGCCACAACCCCCAGGCCACGCCCTGACATACTGTGGGTCAGCTAGGAGACTCACAGGCTTCATGCCTGTAGGGAAGTATGGGCCAACCGGCCCAGTGATGACGAAAAGTTTGGCCATATTTGATTCAGTCACACCTAGTGTAGGCTATGAAATAAATACACTCAAAATTAAAATAACTGGTTGACTGAGGTTATTCTAATTTTTTTAGCTTAAAAGCAAATATACTGTAAAATATAAATAAATAGTATCATTGTTTGACAGTTAATGGAAAATAAATGATATGGTCATCACAGATTTATCTTCAGAAAATAACATAAAACACTTTTTATTTTATGCAGGTCATGGATTAAATTTCTATTTTTTACCAAACAAGCAGTAGAAAATTAATATTTTTTTTTAATTGAGTCAGGAACACTATCAATTCAACAAACATGTTTTTAGCATCACCCAGAGACCATTAGGGGCGGCCTATCAGTTAAACAAGTCAGCAGCATTTCATCAACAGTGACAGTCAACATCATCACAATGTAAAGTGAATATTTTTTAACACTTGGCATGACAAAGTGGCAAGTGGCTAAAGACATCTGATAGCTAATTAGCACCTGGCCAGAAATGATATGAATGGCTGCTGACTCAGCACAAATGGCAACACACAGACTTTATACAAGGGGAGACAATGCTTACCTCAGTACCTATAAAAGTAGGTCTGACATACAAGGTACATTTGTCAGAATAAGGAACCCACTCTTGGTCAACGCTGATCAATTTCTTTATACATTTCAGAAGCTCGTGTTTGTCAAAATCCTAAATATAAAGAACATTTTAAAAGTATATGAAAACAGTTGACTAAATGAGCTTAAAAATTTGTATTTTCCCCCCACCTTGTACTGTTAAGATTGTTTTGAAACACCTGAATACACATTTTATACAATCATAACATACTATGAGTTAGAATAGTTAACACAAATATTTAGAATCAATCCCTGGTTAATGGTGTTTTGACTCAGGTTTCAAAGATGATTTAACAACAGCTAGCGGAGTAACAAATTTTAATCTACAGGTGTGACAACTCAACTGGTGTTTAACAGGCAGAGTAATGATTTTATCCATTCCTTCAATTTAGTGTTATAGGGAAAAAGCTTCCCAGCGCAAATAATTTCACAATTTTTGACAGGTACTTACTCTTTTAAATATAAAAAAAAATAAAAGTTTGACTGCATTATGAAGTTAAAATATTGAACTGTAATCTATTAGGAACCCCAATGGAGCTTCATCCAGCACTAATTTTGTGCTTAATACAAGATGCTGTTCTGTTATCAATACTAGAAAAAATATTCCAGGTGGATACTGGTCACTTCGCCAGGTGTTTCTTGTATAATCTCTTTTGCACTCCCTTTGGGTATCGTACATAGGTGTTTATGAGTTGTTTATACTTTACAAGAATATAGTTAAAGTTCCCTTTTCAAACCTGGCAGTCTATGGGGCAAGTGAAGTTCACCAGTTTCTGTGACCTCGGTATATGAAGGGATAGTGTGGTCAACATTATGCTCAACCACCTTTACTTTCCCTAATGTGAGCTAAGTATCCATCAGAGCTGAGTCGACTCAGGGACATTGTACTGACTTGAAACCGGATTCAATCTCGAAACAGGGATGTATAGTGATCTACCATTAGGCCATACCATCCCTTTACATGAGCTTAGACTTACTGGTAATGCTGATCTTTTGGCAGAACGAGACATGCGCTTCATGTTTTCCATTGGCCTGAACATTCGGATTTTGTTGTCAACACATCTGTAAGCCTTCATACCTTCAAATAGCTGTCATGAATAAAAGCAAATAATTAACATTTTAGATAGTAATTTTTTTTACATGTTAATGGTTTATTATTTATACACTCATGTAATTTTTAAATTTAAAAAATAATAATTTTTAAATTAAAAAATTAAAAAAAAAAATTTATTTTATTATTTATATTCTCATGAGCTGCTATAATATTTTGTGCTGCCCAAGATCAAGATATTGATAGAAATAACTGTACATAAAAATTTAAAACAAAAACAAACACTGGGTTTTACTTTCTCTACATAAGTCAGATACTTATCAGAGACTCTGGGACATCCTATAGTAACAAGTCCAAACATAGATCCGAACTCGAGACTTTCAGTCTAGCAGCCAAACGCTCTACCCCTTGACCACTACGTCCTATCCCAACATGGAAATACCAGTACTGAAAATGAATTCTCTAGACTGTCAAATGTGACCCACCTCACAAGCATAGTGCAGGACCTTGGCAGCGGGGTGGATCTGTAGTGGGGTCACGGGTCTAATCTGCGGCACCCCCCAGCCATCCTCAGCTGACCAGTCAATCTCCAGCATGTGGTCAGCTGTGTGGGCGCCAAACTTGAGCTTGTCATTGTCAGGCTTCTTCTGTGGTTTGTCTGTTAGGGTGATTTGTAGGTCCTCATACTGGGGGAGGAGAGGACATTTGAGATTTGTGATCACAGATTCAGATTAGTTGTATGAGACTAATTAGTTGTATGAGACTAATTAGTTGCATGAGACTAATTAGTTGCATGAGACTAATTAGTTGCATGAGACTAATTAGTTGCATGAGACTAATTAGTTGCATGAGACTAATTAGTTGCATGAGACTAATTAGTTGCATGAGACTAATTAGTTGTATGAGACTAATTAGTTGTATGAGACTAATTAGTTGTATGAGACTAATTAGTTGTATGAGACTAATTAGTTGTATGAGACTAATTAGTTGCATGAGACTAATTAGTTGCATGAGACTAATTAGTTGCATGAGACTAATTAGTTGCATGAGACTAATTAGTTGCATGAGACTAATTAGTTGCATGAGACTAATTAGTTGCATGAGACTAATTAGTTGCATGAGACTAATTAGTTGTATGAGACTAATTAGTTGTATGAGACTAATTAGTTGTATGAGACTAATTAGTTGTATGAGACTAATTAGTTGTATGAGACTAATTAGTTGCATGAGACTAATTAGTTGCATGAGACTAATTAGTTGCATGAGACTAATTAGTTGCATGAGACTAATTAGTTGTATGAGACTAATTAGTTGTATGAGACTAATTAGTTGTATGAGACTAATTAGTTGTATGAGACTAATTAGTTGTATGAGACTAATTAGTTGTATGAGACTAATTAGTTGGATGAGACTAATTAGTTGTATGAGACTAATTAGTTGTATGAGACTAATTAGTTGTATGAGACTAATTAGTTGCATGAGACTAATTAGTTGCATGAGACTAATTAGTTGCATGAGACTAATTAGTTGCATGAGACTAATTAGTTGCATGAGACTAATTAGTTGCATGAGACTAATTAGTTGCATGAGACTAATTAGTTGTATGAGACTAATTAGTTGTATGAGACTAATTAGTTGCATGAGACTAATTAGTTGCATGAGACTAATTAGTTGTATGAGACTAATTAGTTGCATGAGACTAATTAGTTGCATGAGACTAATTAGTTGCATGAGACTAATTAGTTGCATGAGACTAATTAGTTGCATGAGACTAATTAGTTGTATGAGACTAATTAGTTGTATGAGACTAATTAGTTGTATGAGACTAATTAGTTGTATGAGACTAATTAGTTGTATGAGACTAATTAGTTGTATGAGACTAATTAGTTGCATGAGACTAATTAGTTGCATGAGACTAATTAGTTGCATGAGACTAATTAGTTGTATGAGACTAATTAGTTGTATGAGACTAATTAGTTGTATGAGACTAATTAGTTGTATGAGACTAATTAGTTGTATGAGACTAATTAGTTGTATGAGACTAATTAGTTGTATGAGACTAATTAGTTGTATGAGACTAATTAGTTGTATGAGACTAATTAGTTGCATGAGACTAATTAGTTGCATGAGACTAATTAGTTGCATGAGACTAATTAGTTGCATGAGACTAATTAGTTGCATGAGACTAATTAGTTGCATGAGACTAATTAGTTGTATGAGACTAATTAGTTGTATGAGACTAATTAGTTGTATGAGACTAATTAGTTGTATGAGACTAATTAGTTGCATGAGACTAATTAGTTGTATGAGACTAATTAGTTGCATGAGACTAATTAGTTGTATGAGACTAATTAGTTGCATGAGACTAATTAGTTGTATGAGACTTTCAGTTTTTAAAATATTGTTAATGTATTTTTATTTAAATTTTAAAAAAAATATTTTTGATAAATTAAATGAAATATCTACAAAATAATTAAAAAAAAAAAGAGTTAAAAATAGTAGCCTAATGTTAAATCAAAATATATACATGTTGAAAGGATAGTAATTAGTTTAAAGAAGAATAAAAAATACTGCAGTAGGAGAGGATATTTGAGATTTGTCTTAACAGATTTAAATTAGTTTTATGAGACTTACAGTTTTTAAAAGTTATTACTGTCATAAAAAAAATTATTTTACTATATCTGATAAGTTTATTGAAATATCTACAAAATAATAATTAAAAAAAAAAAGAGTTAAAAATAGTAAGGTTAAATAAAAATATCTATATATTGAAAGGTTAGTAATTAGTTTAAAGAAGGAGAAAAAAATTGTTTGATAAAAACTGTATTAATTTTTTTTTTTTTTTTACAAGAGAAGCTCAGGTGGAAAAAAGTAGGTATGTAGCATAGGCCTTAACTACATCGTACTTAGTTCATTTATCGTCATAAACCATTACCCTTTGTATGTACCAAAGTCAAAAACCTCATAGAAAAAAATAAAATAATAGAAATAAGGAGCCACTATATTATCTAATCTTTATTACATGGCTTCGTTTTTTACAAGGTCAGAAGTCTTGCTGCAAATTAAAAAAAAATTGCTTGCACTTTTAAGGAAGTTTGTTTTTTTTTTTTACAAGGACCGAACCCTCTATTATCCGATGAAGGACGACGAAGGTCGATGGGATTTTAAATTATGTATCAAGTGTCAAAACACGCCAACCATTACGGTGTATTCTAAACTCAGGTTTTAAACTGCTGTCAGATAAAAAACATAAGTGAACTATTTCAACTAAGCTACAACTTAGAACCCGCCATACAAGGTGTACTCAAAAGTTAGGTTTTAAACTGTTGAAATTCACGAATGACCTAAAATTTCGATGGCATGTCTGACATAAGTTGTCTGTAAACCTTATAGACGACAATATTGCGAAAGTGGTCTGCCATAAATGACGTCACGCCTTTTTTTTTTTTGACGATTTTTACCTCCCTCCGCTCCACCGTCACAAAAGCCAGACCCCCACCCCTAAAATGGCTATACACCTATTCTAAAATGCACTTTTTTTTTCAAACATCTATTTAATAAAATATTGACTAAGCTCAATTCTATTACAATTTATGAAAAGTTTTCTAATACTCGAAAAAAAAACAACCCGTTACACTATCTGAACCCCCCTCCCCTTCATCGAACATCGTCATAAAATTACGAACCCCATTTCACCCTAGGAGTGTGACGTCATTTATGGACGCCCCATTAAGCGGTAGGGTGATGTGTCCAGTTTGTTTTATGTATGACCAAGTGTTTTTAACATAATAGAAGATTTAAACATAAATTCAGACAACCCTTTGAGAACCCTTGTATTACATACATACATATGTGTACACATATGTAAGTATGTGTGTATAGATGAGAAGGGTAGTAAAGAGGACCCCGAGACTACACACAATTGAACAAGCTCTCATTAGTAACAGAGACAAGATCAGCTGGCCAGGGTAATACACATAGTTAATGGCCCGTCTTCAAACTTTCACAAACAATGCACAACTGCACTCGAATTTGCATGTTCCCAAGCGTTTACCTCAGTAAACTGATAGACCGAGGTCTAGTGTTCGGATATCAGTAGTGCCCCTCCCCCAAGGACAATAAATAAAAAATGTATGTGTTAAATAAAAAAATATTCTTATGGTCTCTCCCCCCCCCCCCCCTCCAAGTGAGAAAAATATCTGAAATAAACCTAATTTACCCTAAAACGTATGCCGTATTTAATTAAACAAAGTATTTAAACATCACCTATCACATCCCCTACAGTAACTTGTTTCATAAACAGAAGATCGTAATTAAATTGCTAATGATGAATAAATATGTAAACACATCCCCCATAGTAACACGTTTCTACGTGATTAAAATGCTAATAAAGATTACGACAGTATTAACCATAATACCCTCGCTCGAATGTGCGTACTTTATTATACAGTTGTGACAGCTAGGTTGTAGCGGGCGATTACACATAGAATCGTTACCAAACAGCGGCTATGGAATACCATTATACCGTGGTTTTCATACGGAGGCTGAGATGTGTATGGTGGGTGGTGGTGGGAGGGTGTTGGGAGGGGTGGCGGTGGTGAGAAAAGTGTGCGTATAAAAACGTACTTTGATATCCCCACCCCAATGGGTTTCATCCAGGTTAGCATGTTTAAAACACCAATGCATGTGATTTAGAGAACAAACCAATCCCATAACAATCCAATTCAAAACAACGCTACTATCAGCCCAGCGCTCATATTAAAAAAAAAAACTAATTATTTCTTAGAGAAATAATCCGTCGTTAAAATATCGGGCCAAGGTACCACAGCTAGGCCTTTGGGAGCGGGGGGAGCTCTTAAAAGTACCATTTTACGCTCAAGTATTTCAATACATTTGACTAATGCACATCAGATCGATAATAAATTTGTGCCATGGTTGTGGTTAAAAAAATCGATTCAGGTCAACCCGTGGAACGTTGGAATAGGAACAAGAAGGTAAAGTGGCGCCGTTTAAAAAAAAAAAAAGATTGGAGTTATAGGCCTTCTTGTACCAGCAATAACAGTGCTGTCAATGTTTAAACTCTAGTCTATGATTCCAACACAATGCAATTGGAATATATAGGGAGGGGTGGGGGGTACATTGCATTCGGCGTTAACCGTTATCAGTCAGTCATGCTATAATCGATCAGATCGTCATGCTATAATCAATCAGATCGTCATGCAATGTTCGATTAGATCTGTAGCGTGGACAGGGTGGTGCTTCTAAGAATGCCGGCGTCGCTGTTCTTAGAAAGTTTATCCCTGCCCTAACTTTAATCCTAACTAATCCTAACATCGTTACCGGCACACACATAGCCCTACCGGCATTCCTATCAGAAACACAAACTGTATCATTTAAATATATTGTTTGTTCTTGCTGATGTGGTCGCACATTCCAATACTTAACGCTTTTTGACGATTTAAAAACTGAATCAATTTTTGCACTGAAATAGTGTCCTACATTCAAGACAGCCAACGTTAAATTTTTTCTTGTCAATTTTTTTCGAGCGCTGGAAGATGCCTAAATAGGTCACGACTAGCCAACCCTGGCAACACAAAAATAGATGTTGATAGACGCTCAAGTCAAGCATGAAATAGAAAGAATCCAACCTTTATAACCTGATCCTAGTTCACAAGGGGCAAGTCATTAGCAGCTGAATTAATAAGCATAATCCTAGTTCACAAGGTTAACGTTAACATCTGGGTGCACAGTGCTAGTCCACAAGGTTAACGTTAACATTTGGACGTTAACATTTGGGTGCTCAGTGCTAGTCCACTAGGTTAATGTTAACATCTGGGTGCTCAATGCTAGTCCACTAGGTTAACGTTAACATCTGGGTGCTCATTGCTAGTCCACTAGGTTAACGTTAACATCTGGACGTTAACATCTGAGTGTTCAATGCTAGTTCACTAGGTTAACGTTAACATCTGGGTGTTCAATGCTAGTTCACTTGGTTAACGTTAACATCTGGGTGCACGGTGCAAGTCTAGAAATGTATAGTCGACGCGATGGCCGTGTAACCCTAATCCTAGTCCACGATGTTGAGTTAGCTGTAGTAAGTGCATAGAACAAGTAGTGCACGTCTCAATATTGTAACCCTAGCCTTCAGTTCATACTGTTTAAGTTAATGGAGGAGCTCTTATTGCATGTCTCAATATGGGAACCCTAACCCTAGCTAACAGTAAGAGTAAGTTAACAGGTGAGTACTCGGTACATGCCCCAAATGGTACAAGTCCCAACATAGTGGACCAACAACCTATACCAGACGGGCGCGTAGAGCCTGATTCAAGATGACTCAGCACTTTTCTAATCAGATCTAATGAGCTACTTAGGATAAATGATTGTAAACTTGTCGAACCAGCACTATTTCTTATCTATTACAGTGTCTCTCAAATTGTCTCATTCACACCTCAGCTTTATTTAAGGTGGAGAGGGGGGGGGGGGGGGGGTGACACGACGTCGATACATGACACTACACCTCAGGTGGAGGGTAGTTCGGACTTTAGTGACGGTCTGTGACAAGCAACAGGGGAGTTAAGTGAGGGTGTATGACGAGCGAAATATTTAAAATGTATTTTTTATATCGAGTTTTAACCGTTAATTCGCATTTAAAAAATTAAATTGTAATAGAAGCTATACGATGCACTCAAATTTAATACAGCTTAGGCAATATTTTTGAAAAAGAAAATCCTGTTTTGAAAATAATTGAAACATTAGGTTAGGGGTAGGTGTGGTGATAAACTAAAGTGTGAGGTGATTTTAATGACAATAGGTGACGGTGGGGGAAGTAAAGCGTTTACAGTGGTGACACTGTTTATGGACCACCTCTAATATGAATGTACTGTAGCTTAAAGTGTGGCTAAAACTATTATGGAGTTCTACACAAAGACGCCCATTCCAGGAAAACGAAAAGGGGTGCGGTACTGAAATTTTAAACTGATAGTAAAGACTGAAAAATAAAAGTGGGTAATTCAGTGGCTGTGCCTGAATATATTACTTGCTGCAAATTGAGAATACGAGTCTCCTGTCAAATTTCTTTGCTTTTTCGTAATACTGGACTCTCAACTAAGCGGACATCTTACATAGGCATAAGAATTTTTTTTAGCATAGTATAATGGAATCAGATCAACATTTGTAGCGTCACATATTGGAATTAGAACAATATTTTAAGCCTAATATATAAGAGGCAGACCAATACTTAAGCGAACGAAATGGAAAGTAGACACATATTTTAAGCTTACGATATGGAAAGTAGAACAATATTGTAAGTTACGATACGGTAAGTAGACCAATATTGTAAGCTACGATACGGTGAGTTGACTAATATTTTAAGCCCAATATATAAGAAGTAGAACAATATTGTAAGCTACGATACGGTAAGTAGTCCAATATTTTAAGACCAATATATAAGAAGTAGAACAAAATTTTAAGCTACGATACGGTAAGTAGACTAATATTTTTAGCCCAATTTATAAGAAGTAGAACAATAGTGTAAGCCTACGATACGGTAAGTTGACCAATACTTTAAGCCCAAAATATAAGAAGTAAAACAATATTTTAAGCCTACGAAATAGAAAGTAGACCAAAATTTTAAGCCTACGACATAGAAAGTAGGCCAGTATGGTAAAGACCATTGATAGCCCGTGACTTAAATTTAATCTGCGACCTCTGACGCAGCGCTTTACAAATTAGCCGATGTTGCACAATCGTCCATGGATGAATGGACTAAGTCTCGATTATTTCTCTAAGCTAACTACCATAGATACATTGAATAAATAGGAGTCGACGTGGTCGAGTCAGTAAAGCTCATGGTTGCTAAACCGACAAGTCAATACTTAATTGTGTTGGAGGGGATCCCATCCAAAAATTAAGAACGAAGATTTAATAAATAAGGATGTGTGTTTACAATCTTTTGGTACGGCACTAGTAAGCCAACCTACACACTCTACACAAAGGATATGGGTACCGTCATTACAATATGAGTACCGCTAAGCCAGATGCTGACCACATTCCGTGGGCTAATCTACGGAAATGGGCTGACCTTGCGCGTTATCGGGTCAATGCAACACAGCGCGTGTCATCTGTACTTACACGAAAGGAAGACATGAGACGTGTGTAGCATAGTGTCAGCTTCTTGGACTGTCTGCTCACTTGAGTCCACAGGCTCATTCTACACGGCAATCTGGGGACATTTCAAGTTTTTTATATTAGACGACAGGTCAAGAGGACAGATGATAAATAAATAAACATATACATATAGGCCTATATATATATATATATATATATATATATATATATATATATATATATATATATATATATATATATATATATTGCTTTGTAAAATTGAATGAAAAATCGAGTACGTTAAATGCAGTAGTACACTTAAAGACAAGGTAGAATACAACAATTTGAGAGGCAGAAACGTGTATAGAGATATTGCTAACAATACTTGACACGACCACCTTCACTCTTAAACAGCCTTATACTTTTATATACGAGTCGATCCAGATTCGAGCCGAAAAAAAAAGTCTAAGATCATGGACTGAGCTGGAAAACTTCCAGGCAATGTCATTGAACTAGCGATAAATTTAAAAGTGCTAATTATCCGAAAGTTTAAGTGCAAGACATGTACGATATCAATTTCATTTTTTTAAACAACACCATGAACAAATATACTAAGCGCTCAACTGTCCATAAAGTCCCACAATTCCTTGTACTTCTCAAGACCCGTGGCCTACAAGAGGCGATTTAAACTGGATACTCTACACAGGAAGGTGATATCACGTAATAGAACATGAATAATGCAAGTGGGGTAATTCATTGCGAATTGGCGGGGCTTGTCGAGGAAGCTGTTCCACGGTGTTCTGTATACTGTGGCTGACATACGACATGAGTTTTATCATGATCAGAGTTTCTTCCAGGCATCTCTTCGGGAGGGGGGCATAAACTGGTAAAAGTATATATTTTCTACATGAATTCCATTTCGTTCGGGGGGGGGGGGGGGCGGCTCCTATAAGATCTTACGCCCCCCACCCGAACGAAATGGAATTTATATAGAAAATATACTTTTACCAGCGTCCCCCCACCGAAAATATCAAGTGCCCCCCCCTCCCCCGGGAGAAAAAGTGGAAGAAACACTGGTCGTGATGGGCTAACCGGGGTGGAAACACTTGTTAATTCCCTAGAGGGGGCGGGTACTGGTTTTAGTATATATTTTCTATATAAAATATGTATTAGTTTTATCTTTATTCGATCGGGGGAGGGGGGTAGATTTGTTCGGGGAAGAACTATATTTACCACCGTTTATATATTACCCGTCTAATAAATCAACGCATATACCACCTAACTGCGCAATATATTAACGTACATACCACCTAATTGAGCAATTTATTAACGTACATACCACCTAACAGAACAATATATCAACGCATATAACACCTAACTGAGCAACATATCACCGTATATACCACCTAACCGAGCAATATATCACCGTACATACAACTTAACTGAGCAACATATCACCGTATACACCACCTAACTGAGCAATATATCACCTAACTGAGCAATATATCACCTAACTGAGCAATATATCACCTAACTGAGCAATATATCACCGTATATACCACCTAACCGAGCAATATATCACCGTATATCACGTAAGTCACTTATCACCTACATGTCTGAAAACACACCACCTGCCATGTTACGTGTTAATCATCGATTTCAACAATCGTAAAATGTAGTCGAGCATTTGTGTCACAACAAGGCGTGTTGTCTTGTACTCGATTACACGCTGATAAAACCAGCCAATAAACAAACAGGAAATGACGCATGGTCACGAGAGTGAAAGTAAGGTAAAGCAGGTTTCTAATATCTGTCCTTAGGCCTAATATAAAACCGCGTTTACACTTGCGACATGAATGCTGGATTTGTTTAGGGAAAAAAAATCGTAGCAAGTAGTAGGGGGGGGGGGGGGTTATCGTCATTAACGACCCACTGATAGTGTTTTTAAAACAAATATTTTCAGTGGCAGCATTGGTACTGTCGAATTCACAAATTATGAATTACTGAAAAGTAGAAAATAAAACAACGTAATAGCGGCATATGATATTTTACCTCCCTTTACTGGTACCTCCAAATGGCGTAACACTTCATCTTCTGCCGACCCCCCCCCCCCCCCCCCGGTTTTTTTTTAAATGAAACGTTCTATCGTCATTTAATACATGGAGCTATTTTTTAAATCTAAAAACGTTTTTAAAATTCCAAAACAACAACAATAATTTAGTTTAAAAAAAAACTATACTAAAATCACACAAATCCTGAACCACCCATCGTCACAAAAAATCAGCCCACCCCCCTCCCCACCAACAACGCCATTTGTGAAAGACCCGTTAAAAGTAAAATCTCCATACTGTTGCATAATTGTATTAGAACTAAAATCAGTGGCGTAGAGGGGATCGTCTCAAGGGGGGGGGGAGGGTTCCAATTTTTACCCGGGAACAAACTTTCGATTTGCACCCCCCTTAAACTTTCGATTTGCACCCCCCCCCTCAAACTTTCGATTTGCACCCCCCCCCTCATACTTTTTATATATACCGAGGGGTCTGTGGGGGGGGGGGGGGGTTATGACCCCCCCCTAACCCCTCCTGCCTACGCCACTGACTAAAATGTAAAAATATCCTAGCTATAATAAATCTGAATGCCACTGCTCTAAAACATCGTAGTGATCTGACTGTGAGATCTCCAACGAGAGAGTTTAAAAAACAACAACCGGTTCAGATAATGGGAGATTTCGTCATCTAGGACAGCCACGTGACAACCTCAGACAACAGATGGTCCACCATACCGTAGTCCGACTTTCTGAGTGGAAAGAAAAAGATAACTTGAGGTGTTTTCCACTACTTGCATCATCTCTAAGACCCCAACACAAACACAATATCGGCTGTCTTAGCCCAGTGGTTCTCAGCCCGTGATGCACACACCCTTATGTGAAATGGGTCGTACATGCTAAAATGTCATGTTATACTTCACTAAACACATGGCCAGAAAACTCTGTCTTCTCCATTCTCTATACGTGTGATTTTATTTATTGCATAACAAATGTATACGTTTTGGACAAAGATAAAATTTCCAGATG